TCTCTCGGGTTCGTGGCTTGGCTTGCCACTCTGGCGGGCTGGGCCAGGTATGGGCTCGCTTTACTGTACACGCGTAGAGGCTTTCACATCTTAAAAAAATGCAACAGCGACGAAAAGCAGCGCTCTTTCTTATTCTCGTTCACGGGAGACGTTGCAATTCTTTGAACCTTTTAAACTGCTTGAATATTTTTCTTCTCTCTTTCTCGTTTTCAGAATAGTCAAGGAAGCTAAGAAAGTTCCCATCTGTTATTTTCGTTTCACCCATTCAACAGGAAAACGCTTTTTATCTTCTTCGCCTTATCTTTTGCAGTAAGAACTTCCTAGCCCACTATATTTGCCACGTGGGGTCCAAAGGAGAAACTTCCCTAGTATTAACTGCGGACACTCCACAGAGAGATCTTTCGAGCCTGGTATGCGTTGGAAAATCATAGAACAATCAATCAGTGCAAGAACCATCAAGAAGACAACAATGTGTATCGGACCACGCAGACCTATAAAGCTTGTTCAAGCAGCCGGATCTCGGAGAAGATCTAGGAACTGCACAGTAGAAAAGCGCGTTCTATTCAGAATTTCAGATCTCTTATCGATTTTTGATAGATCATCAATAATCCCAGCTACTGTCACGATGGAAATAGCGAAGTTTCTAGCAACTTAGTAGTAGATGGATCTTAGGGATACATTTTTTCCACTGATTCAATTCTCGAACACCACTCAGTGATTCACCTTATCACCGAGGTAAACTCCCTCATCGCAGGTGGGAGTACCAGCAGTATGTGTAAAAATATGTCGTTTTCCGAAGAATGAAAAACAAATCAGATGTGAGCATATTGATATCGTGGGTAACAAAGATGTTTCTTCTGAGCATGAGATGGGTACTAGATAAACGTGAACGAACCTGAGTTGTCAGGTTTCTCCGAACCTTAGGTTATACCCAACGGTCGTATGTTCTAAAACTTCCCCTTCTCTTTCCCCTGCGCTGCCCCCGCTTGTTCCTTTCTCCACTTCTTCATTTCTGCTTTTCTGCTCACTTGCGTTCCTGCCTTGTCAGCGGCCATTTGCAATAGTTCTGTGTTTTTGAGTTTCTTCTTTCGCTCTTTCGGCACGCCCTTGAGCTGCTTCTTTTCCTTTGCAACCTTGTTCTGCTTTGCAAGTGCGGTTTGTCGCTTCGCTAAGTCGCCCACTGTCTTCGTGCCCTCTCGAAGTTCGCCCTCCATGCGCTTGCGCCGGGACTCCTTCTGCTTTCTGCGCACCGCGGTTAGCTCCTCGCGGTCAAGCTCGGAATGGACCTATTGCACAGATCGATAATATTTAGGTTCGATTTGTAGATATTTTTGAATAATGTATCGCTGTATCACGTTAAATCCGCTACAGCCCCATCAAGAAAATTCACTGAAAGTTGTTCCCAACAGAACTAGTACAAATATTCAGATTATGACAAGTATAATCACCTTCAATTTGTCTGCAGCCTTGATCTCTGAGGGTGCTGCTTGTGTCGAGGCGGACATTGCGATAGGCACCGCCTCCTCCATCTGGATACTTGCCACTGAATTGCTAGACGCCCCTGCGATCGTCATCGGCTTCGGCGTGAAGTGCGCGTTGCACAGCTGGTCCAACTTGTACATCAGCTGTTTAAGGTGTGGAGAAAAACCATTTGTCTACTTACTCTTAAGTTTATTATAGTATAAATGAAGGTGAGTGCTAGCCCGATAAAATACGTGGCTCAGCTAAAGGAAGAAAAATGAACACTCAAAACCAGAAACTCCCTAAGCAATCAAAAAACAAGCGTTCATGTTCTAGTAAATACGTGGCAGAAGTAGAATTTTACCTTGCCGAAGAGTTCCTTGCAGATCTGTTTTTCCCTGGAGATCTTCTCGTCTTGTTTCGAACCCTGCCCGAAGACCTCCTCTTCGTACTGTTGTGCATAGATGTCGCCTAATCCCACTCGCGACTTCGCAAAATTGAGGACTTCTTCATCGTTTTCACCTTTTTTCTTCGCAACACTAGGACGTGTGTCGGCTTTGCGGACTACATCATCGAAGAGATTATCGGCAATACGTTGTCGCGTGATCTGCTCAATATCGAAAGCTTGGGGCTTGTTACCTTCCTCGTCGCTTTCCTCATCGTCAACCTGCTGTCCGGAGGCGATGGCTGCGTCCAAAGTGCCTAAGATCGAGATGGAAAAAGGAAGACAGTGCGCATAATGTAACTCTTATTGTTTGGTTTCAGGTAAAGGTTTGGTGTTGGTTTCAATTGAAAAAGTAAACATCAAGAAAGGGTACAACTGGTAAATCATCAAGACCTAATGAATATCAACTTGCATTCAGTGTCTTCAGAGGGATAAAAGAATCTTCAAACATTTGAGGGACGCACTCAAAAAGTAGAGAATTTCTAATATACGTTTCGATTGGAAGTGCGTCATGGGGAGATCGAGATGCAGCTCCAGTAGCGAATTGCGGTCACGCTGTTTGCCTGAGACCTCACCACCCAAGGACCAATGCTTTTGCGATAGAGCTTCTTGTTCGAGGCGATCTACCTCCTCCTCCATCTCCCGGATGCGTCGGTCTTTAGCCAACAAGGATTCTTTCGCCGTCTTTTTCCTCTCCGTTTTGCTCGTTTTGTTTGACGAAGCGCTAGGTTGCAAGTCGTCGCCGGCATCTGCTGCTGCGTTGATGTCCTCCACATCTTCGTCATCTTCTTCTTCTTCTTCCTCTTCACTACCGTCGTTTTTGCTCTTGTTTCTGTAGTCTGCGCCATACTCTGAGGACTCTTCGTCGTCATCCTCCATATCCTTCATGCCAAAGGCCTGGTCGTCCTCGTCCTCTTCGGCTGTCTCTTCGTCCGAGCCAGGCGCGTCCTCGACTTTTCCGCCCGCATAGTAGGCTGGCGTGCGACCCACATGCCTCAACGCTAGTTCCAGCTGTCGCTCTTCAGGATCGTCCAAATCCGACAGGTTGCAGTCCTCACCATCCGAGTCGAAACCAGAAAACGGCAGGGCCCTTCCCGCGTCTTCGTCGTCCTTCTCCCAACTACAGGAAGAGGAACCCTCGTCTTCACTATCCATTCCAGCAACATCATCGTCGTCCGCTTCGTGGTCCTGTGAGTCGTGGTCAGAGGTTGTAGAATTCTTGGTAGACGATTTCTTCTCTTTCTTCTTTTCGTTCTCGCTCGTCTTGTTTTGGTCCTGGTCCATCGCTTTGCGTTCGCGTCGCATTCTAATGAGCTCGTCTTCCTCTTCGGAGTCATCCTCTTCATCCACATCAGCAGTAGACCTGGAACCCTGCTTTTCATCATCGTCATCCTCTTCTGCTGAGAGATCAACTTCATCTTCCTCTTCTTCTTCGTCATCTTCATCTGCTAGAAAGTCAGCCTCATTTTTGCGAATCTCTGCTAACAGGGCCTCCTTCTTCTTTTCGGCTAGTGTCGTAGCAGCATCGTTTCCGCTCGTTTGTCGCTCGGCCTCTTTGTTCTTGCTTTCGCTAGTTCGTCGTCTCGTCGAGGCAGAAGTCGAAGAACCCCCATCAACATTTTCAAGTGCAGCTGCTTTGTCAGCGGGACCAAAAAAGTCGTCAAACATGATGTCGTCTCCCTCGCCAACATCGTTGGAGAAGAAGACGTTGTAAATATCATCGCCCGCTGAGTCGTCATCGTCGCCGCTCTTTTGCATGCGCTCCCACGCTTTCTCACCCTCCTCAGCAAACTTGTGCATCTCCGCGAGTGAAAAAAAGTCGTCATCAACTACGGAACGCTTGGTGCGGCGAGCAGCAGCTGCGTGCTCATCCTCACCATCATCTGCCATCTCACCGAAAAAACGAGGTTTTGAACTGTTGGAATTATCTTTTGAAGATGTTTTAGTCTTATTTCCGCCCTTGCTTATACCTAGGAGCTTTTCATCTGCAAGCTCATCAGCTAATTTCTCCTTGCCTTCCTCGTCGCTGTCTTCGTCACTCTCGCCATCGAGAGGCAAAAGCCGTTCTTTTTTCGCTAGAGCGGTCTTGGCAGACGAGTCATGATCTTTCTTTCTCCTTTTAGCCTCTCGCTCTAACACCGCGTCTAGCTCAGGGTCACTTCGGAGCAAAGAAAAAGCTGCTTCCTCTTCAGTGACACTGGTACCACGGGCACCGGCCTTTTTTGACTTCGCTTTTAGATTCTTGGCACGACTAGCAGAAGATGAACTTGGCGTGTATTCCGCATTGGAGGACACCTTGGAGGCACCACGCTTTTGCACAGTATCTCCAGTCTTTGTAGTTGATGTGCTACCCAGAGCTTGCTCCTCAGGCTTTTTGCTCGTCTCCGATGACGCAGCCAGTCTTTTCCGCCAATGCCTGCCGCTCTTGGCGCTATCCTCTAGAAACGCCCAAACCTGTGATGCATCCTCGAAAGATGGCGTACAGCTGGAAAAAGTCCTACAATTCGCCAGAAAATCCGTGCTGGTCCACTTCGAGTATGAACTAGAGTCCTCCAGTAGCCCTTCGCCTGCTTTACGCGCGTCCTCGACGCACGCAACGAGACGAGGCGCGTCTACATTCTTCTGCCCTTGTGTCATGATCGAACTTTTATTGGTCATGGATGCGCTAATGAACTACCGAAGACGTATCAAGTACGGAAAATTAATGTGGAATGGAGGAAAGAAAACCTATCTACACAGAAGCAACGTCATCGTGTCGTTAGTTACCAAATTGCAATGCTCGGTGACCACCTGTCAATCGTTGGTGTCAATCGTTTTCCAAATAGATGAAAAAGCGACGTCTATGTCTATCCCATGTGTTCACAATCAATCTTGTAGTTGATGGCCCTCTTGTGTCAGACATTGCCAAGTATTCTCCAAAATTTCCCCGACACTTCGGACCTCGTTCAAGGTCTTTGTCTTGTCTGACCCGTGGCAAATATTTCTGAAATTCCCCAAAAGAATCCGCGCGGACTCTCTCCACTTTTGGACTCAACGGGGCTACGGATTTCCCCAGATTTTTGCAAGAATGCTTGGCAATGTCGGATAGAAAATTTTTGAAAAACGATCAGGGTCGTTGACAAATCGGCACAGCTTGACAAATCGAGGATCTTGGAAACACGTCTGGATCATCACACCCTACGGCGAGAGGATCTGGCATGATAGATCAAACGACGGTGTGGAATGGAACGATGTTTTCTTGATCTTTCACTTTTTTGAGGGATCTTCCAACGAAATTTTTTTTCATGATCCATCAGTATAATATTTTGCTGGCAGTGCTGTGACAAACCAAGGATCACTGGCAACACGACTTCTGTTGTAGAGAAAATGTGGGGCAGAAAGTTGCTAGGTGCTCCTGATGGAGTGCAAGATCGTTTTAGGCATATTATTTGTGCCAATTAAGCAACCGGATCCAGATTCCACAATTTAGATCTGAGTTTCAGATCTTAAAACTCGTAGTTGTTTTGAGGACCTAACTGAACTAATCTAGACATGGTTCATCGTTGGGTCGAACGCGAGACCATATTGTATCACAGGTGAGGTTCCTGTAAGGCTTACACAAATCTTCAAGCCTTCAATCATGTTGGTTCGTTTTAACAAAAGTTCGTTGTGAAACACGATCGCTGTGAAACAAGAATGTTGCGCATAATTGCTATCACACATTTTCCACAATAGCCTAGAAGATGTCCTAGAATCAATAGGACAACTAGGACTAAGTACTCAAATTTGTATTTGCGTCTCAATTTCGGTCATCAATCCATGAGAATGTATTCATCATTCACTTAGTTGTGGTCATACGGAGGCTTACTGTTACTCGAAGCATGTACTTCTAAGTACTTTGAGGATGTGCTAAATGCAACTCTGTTCGCCTCAACATTGAATCAAAGTCTAGTCGCATTCTTTTATGACAGGATCGCGTTTTTGAAATCGCTATGGAGACGGGCGCCATTGACGGTGAGTGGTTTCTTGTCGAAGCACGGAATGCCGGCGTCATCCGTTTGCATCAATTTGGCCGCATCCATCCAAACGTTGTGTTTTTTCACCTCCTTTCCGGTCCACGGCTTACGCAGTGTCTCTCCTTCCACAAGAATGTGGTCGCCTGGTTTACACCCATCGGGCAAGCCGGCAAATTGAACCTTCCCCTCGCTTGTCTTCGCGCACAAAACCATACCATGAGAAGTAATTCCTCGCATCTTCGCGGCTTCCAGATTGCATATCGTTACTATTTGTCGTCCAAGCATTTCCTCCAAAGTATAGTGCTCACGCAAACCTGGGGTGGTCGGTCATGGTTGTAGTTGTACAAGTGGATCATGAGGGGAGATCTAAATTTCGATTTATATACTGATGTGGTAAGTCACTGTGGTAAGTGCAGTAGCGAAAGAAATTAAACCAAACCATAGAAAAAACATCCCGCTTATTTCACCCTCTCAAGTTCAACAACAAACTAGTGATTTGTACTTCAGTTTTCTGATCGAGACCGCCCAATACGCTGACATCATTTCTAAGTCAGTACTCCTAACCTAAATAAGAAAGTACCTGAAATAATTGTTCTAGGCTCGGCTTCACCGACATCGATTTTTTCGACGTAGAGACGTTCTGCATCGGGATGGTTTTCTACGTGAACGATCTTTCCCACCCTGAGGTCCAACCTACTGTAGAGTGGCTGATCCATATCTAGTTGTACTGGCGGTTGAGCTGGCGCTTTCGGTGCCTTCTCCTTTTTCTTCTTTTCGCCACCCTGCTGTTCTCCTTGTTTTCCTCCTCCCTTGTTCTGCTGCTGTTTTCCGTTCCCTTTCTGCTGTTGCTTTCCTTCCTTCTCCGCTGGCACCGCAGCTGGGGTTTTTGCCGTCTCTTCGGCGCTCGGTCGGACCATCACTGGGGTGTCGATCTCGAGCTCCTGCGGACTGAAAGTGGCGAATAACACGGAAGTACTGGAAACTGGAGCGCCCGCCTTCAGATTCTTGTCCAGTTCCTGCAAGGCGTCCAGCGGCAAGATTTTATCCGCCTTCAATTTCTCCAGCAGGATGGCCTCAGCCGCACGCGGGATGAACGGTGCGAATAAGTGCGCGAGCACGAAGACGGCTTCCAGGCAAACACGAACGATACCAGCGGCTTTCGCGGGATCCGTTTTCGACAATTTCCAAGGCTCAAGATCGGCCAACCACTTGTTCGTCGCGGCGCTCGCGTCCCGGACCAGCGTCGCGCCTTCGCACGTTCTCGCGTTCTCCATGGCGCGGCAGAACTTAGACCGCAAGTCTGCGACATTAAACGGCACACCAATGGACTTATCGCTACTCAGCTCGGGGACGGCGCCCTTACACAAATTCACAGCACGATTCACCAGGTTCCCAAGGTTGTCGCACAGCTCTGTGAAGTGACAGAATGGGGGCATTGTTGACTGTACTAATCAACCCGAGATGAACATAAGAACTAAAATTCAATCCAACTTTAAGAAAAATAATCACGTTGGTTATAACAGCACACTTTTTAGTTAAGTAAATACCAGCATTGTGCTTCAGCTTGAGGTCGGAAACTGAGAAAGAGAGATCCTTGCCGAATTCAGTGCCGCGGCAGAGGTACCACCGGAAGGTGTCTGGCGCACACCAGTCACAGATATCGTGCGGGTTGACCACGTTACCTTCCGACTTGCTCATCTTAGTTCCTTCCTTGTCGTTGATGAAACCGTGTACGACCACGCTCTGAGGTAGCGGAATACCCGCTGATTGAAGCATAGCCGGCCAGATCACGCAGTGAAACCACACAATATCCTTGCCGATAACGTGCATATTCGCTGGCCAATATTTCGCGTTCTTCCGGTCAAAGTTAACACCCGAAAAATAGTTCGTCAATGCGTCAAACCACACGTACATAACGTGCTTTTTCCCATCGGGACCGACCTTCTCCGGGACCTTGCATTGGATTAGATTAATTTGCCTTTCATTGATTGGCATCCCGATTGGATTAATTTGCTTTCTTCAGATGTTGACATTAAATAATGTTGTATCACACCTCCATTCAAAGAAATTGATTTTACGTAGGATGGACTACGTGTCATAGCAGTACTACACAACACCTCATCATGCTATAATTAGAGGAGATTAAAACAAAAAGCGTGATTGCAAAAGTACCGGAACGCCCCACTCAAACGTTGCACGCGAGATTGACAAGTCCCTGAGTCCACCTGATTCTTCCATGTCCTTCAACCTCGAAATGAGGGACAATCGGTACTCCTCTGGCTTCACGAAATCCGCATTCTCAGTGAGAAGCTTGACGATGAAGTCCTTGTATTTGCTCAGTCGGAAGAAATAACTCGGCTCCTTCATGCCTAAGTTTAAGTGAGATCATGTGCAGTCGTGAATAGATTGACAACTTTGGCTATTGTGATTCCTGAGTTATCTGAGATCCAGCAAGAAGACAACATCACTTAAACGAAGGATAAAGAACAACCACAAAATAAAGAAAACGAAAAGTACGTTGCAACGGCTTTCCGTTGCTCGGATCCAGGTATTTCCATTCCTCAGCTTCCTTGTCGGTGACAAAGCGCTCCTCGCGAACCATGTACCAGCCTTCATATTCGCCCAAGTAGATGTCGCCTTTGTCGGACACCTTTTTCCAGAGGTCCTGAACGATTTTGTAGTGCTCTGGCTGCGACGTGCGGATGAATTGGTCCTCGGAAATCTCGGTTCGCCCGAACAGACCCTGAAATCCCTGGACGTACATGTCGCACAAAGCCCTGGGCGTGGGCTTTCCTTGCGCTACCGCTGCCTCGGCAATCTTTTGACCGTGTTCGTCAGTGCCCGTTTGAAAGAAAGTGTCGTAGCTAGCAAGCCGGAAGAAGCGAGCCAGGATCTGGAGTGGAAATACGATGGGTCAATAAATATCAGATGTTTGTGCTGTGTGTTTTACTGCTTATAATAGAAACAAGATGTTCAGCCCTAATCATAAAATAGTTCACTAGGATAGATTTCGCGCTACTTATAGAGTAAATGACGATTGAGTATCTATACAACCTAGAAGATGAAAACTGGCTGCTGTATAAAAAGCTGATGATCTAAATATTACGTCCGCCTGGATAGTTTCGTAGGCATGGCCAACGTGCGGCCATCCGTTAGTGTAGTGGATAGCTGTCGTAATGTAACGTGTTCCCTTCTTTCCAACGCCAGGGAAGTTCGTCGCGCCCGCACCCCTAGGAGGCTGCACCGGGAGGGCTTTCTCCCTGTTTTCCATGGGCACAACCTTGCAGTCGACTTCTTTCACCTGTTGCAATGAGCAGACAGAACAACTTCTGATTTCATCGCAGTTAGCTGCAGTAATTTAACAAAGATGACCTTTTTCAACAAAATATTTGTATTTACTCGGGTCGCAACAATATGAAACTACTCGTCCTGGTAAAAATTATACGTCAGTTTACAATTGTTCATTATCACTCCTTTTTGTCTGCTAGCAGACGAAAATAAGAAGTGATTAGAATGTCATCTCACCGTTGAGCCCTTCACGTAAGCCGGCTTCGCGGCCTCCTTCGGCTGCTCGCTCTTGCGCTCCATAGCTGCGCTTTTGCGGTCCGCCTTGTTGGGCTTTGAGCCAGAGCTCGCGGTAGAAGAAGCAGCGAACTGTCCCGATGCCTGCTCACTGACTCGGGTCAACGCTCCGCTAGAGGGCAACGCAGCTCCGAATCCGGCAGCCTCGGAGCCGGTCTCCTCGACCACGAAGCGCATTTGGCGCATCCACCTGGCCACTGACGGATAGTCCTTTTTGAAGCCTTCCGCCTCTGAGTTGGCGACCTGCGTCGCAGCAGTTTTGTAGAAGCTCACATCGCGTGCGCTGTAGCTGTGGCCACCATCGACGTAGCTCGCGGCACGCAAGAGCTCGTCGGCCCGAGCCAGCTCGGCTGCAGACGAGAACGAAAGCGATGGACCCGCCGGCATAATATTTGATAGCAATCTTTGTTCAAGTACTTCTGCTTGATGAAGATTAGTATCACTTGCTGTACTCAGTGGGCGTTGTTGATGATGAAGAAATGTTTCTCTTGTAGCTATTCTTGGGGGACTAGTTCGTTGTAAGGAACTTTCATAAGAAATATTTGATTTAATAAAGCGGAGGTGTGGTAGCAAAAAAACTGAACCATATGGGCAATGGTAAATATCTTTGTTCGCAGACTGGTGGATGTTCTTAATGGTGTGGGGGGATATTCTTATTCTTCCTCGGCAAGAAATTATTGTTGCCAAAACATATTTTCTCTGCACTAAGCTCTCAAAAACCATGATCCTTTTGATACACTACGACCTAGAGTTTCTGGAGTAAAAGAAAGCGAAGTTATCACTCCGTTCTATAATTTTCACCGTATAATTTGGATCGGTTCGGGTTCAAGAAATGGCGCAGTCTCGCACTAGCGACACAGGAACGATAGGATCGGTGTATCCAGGATGATTCAATTCGCCCTGTGCGAAGGAACGCGAAGAGGTACTAGGGGAACCAATTTGCTTAGATCGCAAGATGCTGGAACAAGAAGACAAATGATGAACACACACAAACAATTATATTCTCTCGCAAAAATGAAGGTGCTCCGAAATTGAGGAGTGGGAGTGAGACCCAAGCTTATCTTCAAACATCCTAAAAAATGTTTCTGAAGGGACCTTTCTATGAAGTTTTGGCGTAGAAAAATCAATGCGTAGGGCTCCCGTCATTTCGATTTTTGAGAGGAAGAGCCAGAGGGCAATGCGCAATTGATCGAGCAAAGTTGTGAGAAAAAGCATAAACTCAAAATGCCTAGTAGGTCAAAAAAACAACTACGAAGTTACTTCAAAATTCAGATACAGAAACCTGTGTCCGCTTTGCACACCTATACAATCCTGCAATCCATCAGATGCAAACTCCTACAAAAGCTGCAAAACCGCTAAAAAACCGTCCTAATATCTTCATATTCTTACTCATCAGGACGCAGGAGCGCCTTCTGCTCTAAATACGCGATGCTGAGAAAATCAGGATAGTGTATGTCTTGCATCCAATTACAACTGACTGAGATTTCGCTACAATAATCGATGTACCTTTCAATACACTCAACTACTCAAGCATCGCCGTATACATCTCTGGGGTTGATGTGCAGCGAAAGAATGTAAGTGCGGGGATATGTTGACGGCAGTCACCTCTTATACAACTTCTTCTGTAATTTCTAAGACGACATGAGTGTAACTACAATTATAACTATGCTGTGCAGCCGTATGAATGACGGAACGTGTAAGCACATTGCTTGCGCCACGGACCACAGCTGCACTTGCCACGTTTGTATCAAATTGAGCATTCTATTTCACACGAAGGAAAAACATCTGAAGGAAGATGCGCCAGGGCCCATGAACATGAAGACATGATTGATAAGCAGCGTCGAAGTTATTATTCAGCTCCTCCGTCTCGGGAAATTCTGCAGCGCAGTTGCAACCTACCGTCAGCAGTCATAATTGTTTAGGACGGCCTGTCATGACTTGTCAAAAATACATCACATCTACAGTATATAGCTTTTAATCGTCCCAACTGCGGCTTATGCGAGACTCAGATGGGCGCAACTGAGGATGCGGTGGCTCGTTATAAGCGTCGAACCTTTTCTTTATTCCTGCCCAGCAAAGTCGGTAGTCTAGATCCCGGATTTGCATGGCGAATTCCGTCGGCCGCCAAATACGGTTCGATTCCCACATGAAAGCAAGCGCATTGTTATACCGCTCCGGCTCTCCCCTCGCCGCAGGGCTCTCGTCCGCGTACCCGGTCTCGACCGTATCTCGGTCGGGTCCGTGAGGCACAAACTGATTGTGGATGCTCGTCGCACCCGGGACAAAGCCCGTTTTCGCGTCGTAGCTGCCCTGTATGAGCCCCATGAATTCACTCATCCAATTTCGGTGGAACCAGGGCGGTCGGAACGTGTTCTCTGCTACTACGTATCGCGGAGGAAAGACGACAAAGTCGATATTCGCGATACCCGGCGCAGTGGTGTAGCTACTCATGACACAACCAATCGACGGGTCTGGATGGTCATGGGAAACGGTGTTAATCGCCATAAAATCCCGCAGGTCGAACACCACTGGCACGTGGCTCCCATAATACGCTACCACATCGAAAGGCGAAAAACATGAAAAAAGACGAGGAGGAGAGGTTGTTGTTGAAAACCTCTTCTGTTTTCTAATCAATATTTCAGCTTCATTTTAAAATATGTTAAATTGCATAGTTTCTTTTCCACGTACAGCGTTATTTTCATCGTCCGGTGGCTCTAAACAGGCCTATTAGTCATTTTTACAAAATCTTGATGCTCGTTCAGATGGAGCATCTTCTAATAGATATCTTATATCGGGTTTTCCAATTCGAATCTCTTTCTCTTGATTTTCATAAATAGTTACTTTCGCCACGAAAAAAGTTGTCCTGGAATTTGACAATGTACTCTGTTTTCTCCTCTACATCCTCGAATTGGGCCACTGGTGGCGTGAAGTATTTCGGATGTGCAAGCCCCGACGAAATCCCAATGGGACCTAGCTCCGGTAATACGAAAGGAGAGCCAAAATTTTCGAGCACGTATCCGCGACAAGTATTGCCCTCTGACTTTAGTCGTACTTGGACAGACAGTCCGCGAGGTATCAGGCAAAATTTCTGTTGGTACGGAGAATGAAGAAGGTGAAAAAACTCTTCTGAAATTATTTTTTCTTCCTTTTGCAAGTCCAAGACACCATAATTTCAATCTAGTCATCGTTATATTTAATCGCGGTCCACAGCTGGAAGAGGACATCTCATCATCATCTGCATCGAGGAGGAACATGAGCATACAACTCAATCTGATACTATGTATACTTTTCTAGCAGTTGACACTACATCGCTGTACAACAAGATCTCCTGTGCGAACAAGTCACTAGTACCTGTGGCTTCACTTCTAATTCACCCAGCTCTGTTTTTATTATGAGAGCCCCTTCCTGCGGAATGATGAGCATGTCTGCATCGTGATTTCTCAGGACGCGCTAGTTCTTAGAGTAGTTTACAAACGACATCTACAACCACAAACATAGTTTCAACCTCCTTCTAGTTGTCCTCTTGCATGAGTAATTTTCACTTAGTTCTAGCTCTAATCCTGTTGCTATCTTTCCAGATAGCCGTAGAGACTACGCTTCGTGAGGGCGCGACTAGTAAACTAGCTACTTCCTAATTGTCTCGCATATTCATGTAGTTGTGGCTCTCATCCCTTTGGAAGCGAAGGTGGTCTCACCAACTTTTACCATAATGAAGATACACTTTCATTCAAAGCTGTCATTTACCAACCCTTAATGTTCATTGACTTGGAGCAGGTATACACTCCCGCAGCAGCTCCAGTCTGCATATCCGCACATCCGTTCACTGCTATCGTAGTCTGCCCATCTACAAAGTCTACAGGGTCTTTCAATCCTAATGTCGGGTCAACCTTCAGATGTTTTCGTGAAGATAAAAAGTATTTTTTGTTTTTGTGTTGGCTCATAAAGTCTCAGGTATCTATTTCGTAATTGGCAATCTTATCAGACAAAGACCTCTCTGATCACATGACTCGAGCAGAGAGAACTAACTAGACGTCAGCAAAAGTTTCAATGAATAGTACTTCGACTCTAGGAAATCTGAACTGCAGTGGTGGGACAGGGCTAACAGCAGGTTTTACAGTCCATCGACGATTTGCCACGTCTGTTGCAGTGAGGTCCTTGCCTGGGTCGTGCACCACACTAGGTCGAATCCGGTACATCCATGTGTACTGGTTGTGCGCGCGTGGAGCAGTGAAGGATGTGCCCGATCAAAATGAAAGCAAAAACAAACTAATACGACCACGGCTCAAGAACTTATGAAAGGAAAAGCAAACAACTAGGTAAAACAATGACTGCATGTCATGAAGTGAGTGCTCCTTTTGTAGTCTGATCTCTCCTACAGCAGAAGCCGCATGTTCAATCTTGTATCACAAGTGGTGCACTGTATACTCTGTTAGATGAAAAATTGCGTCAGTCTAGATGATATTCACACTCATAGGAGGTCCAGAACTGGAATGATAAAAGCTATAAAGCAATGTGTAATACTACCTTGTTGTGTATTCGTTGTCAAAGAACGTGCTGACTCCCCTTGTCGTACTACTAGCTCAAGCATCTAGTACAACACAACTGTCATTGCTAGTATAACTTCTTCTGCTTGTTCTTTATCGTACAAAGACATGGCGCATAGTGTTGGAACACCCGAACACGTCCAAGCACACTATGAGGCTCTTGAGAGCAAATGGCATCAATATCGTTGCAATGTAACAGAAAGACGAGCAGAACGGACGCGCCGAATGATCACTGAGTGTCTAAGGCCCTGAAATGGTATCAAAATGGGTTCAATGTCATTGGGATATCATGAAGGGCCATAGTGCAGTTAAAGATCTGGGAGATCTTGCGGCTCATTCATGTTGGAACTCATTGAGTTCAAATGATGATCACGCGAAGAACTAACAAGAGTTCAAGACAAGGAACGGTATTGATCATGATCAAGGTGACGAGTAAGAGCAGACGTTTGGCATTGAGATCCGGTTCATTCATTGGATCTTGAGCCAGTAGTGACCATTGGCCAACACATAGACATCATCTTTTTCTTAATAACTTTGTTGATGTCTTTTATTCCTCAGTATGAAATTCATAAAACGAGCTCCGGAAAGAGACCATAGGGTGGCCGCTGCGGCGCGAACTGGCGCGTCGGTAATGCACCCGGTAAAGCTTCACTCGAGTGGAAATCCCCAAACCCATAGTTTCGTACTTGAGATTTCGTCGCCCAAATCACTCTTCGTGATCGCGAGGATGACGACGTGGAAGTGCGTCCCAATCCCCGCCCCACGGAAGCGAAAGACGTCAGTGACTGGTGCATGATCGTGAATTTGGCTGGGCGTAAAAACGAGACCGCTCTGTATCTGGGGGTCGTCTAAACCGGGCTAGCAAGGATGTTGGAGGCTTCGAGGCACGAAAGACATAGGAACGCACAACTGTTTCATAATCACAATCTTATATAGAGCAATTGCCTGAAAATAATGTGAAAGTCGAACTTTTCTAATCAAATAATTTTCATGATATTTTTGAGAATGAAGATTCCAGAAAGCTAAGCTAGAAAAAGAAAAGAGAGATTGCGTCATCGCTTCTAGCACTGCTTGGAATTGCATGATATCTAGTCAACGAAAAACTATGTATATTGCACGGCCAAAATAAGCGAGAGAAAAAGCAAAACTTCGGGGTACAACCAATGAATGGCTTTCTCGGGTATATAAATCAAGGGACAGAAAAAGGCTTGACTGATGAGGGTAAGACAATGTTGTATGTCTTCTGAATGGTTCTTCTCGGCACCTGCTCATCTTAGTACTCCTTCTTCTTCAAACACGCGATCAACGACTCGCAGGATGATCTGCAGTTACTTTCGCTCGTTTCGCTCCACAAATGGTCAAAAAATGAACACCAGCTGAGAGCCAACAATATTCAACGAAATAGACGAGTCGTTCTACAAGTTGGAGTTGTTTTCATATCATTTGTCTTCATGCTAGAAAGCTGCTTCGAATCACGATGAGTTTCAGACAAGGAAGTTGGGTTTGTCACACCCAAAGAAAATATCTAGGCCGAGGCTCTTAGAACTACATAATTCTGCAATACTTCCATCCTGCAAAAATGGCTGGCGGCATATCCTAGTTTCCCGTGAGCTCCAATGACGTCCGCCTTTCCAGCTAGCGCGTCTTCCGCGCCTTCATCTTCAGAAGCATAAAGCGACTATTCCGTCGTGGTAGCTGGACTTCCGTTGTGCTAGCTGTACGTCCCGCTTGCAGCATAAAAAAACCCAAGCAGACAAAGCACATCTTCGTCTGCTTCATCCTCATCATGAGCGCGTCCTTCATCCGTATTCGCGAAACTGGTAGCCACCACGCAGCATGTTTCTGACTGCCTTCGCAAGATTTCTGGCATCTGCTATGCCACTATGTAGTCTTCCTGTCATTCTTTCTCCGGATTCCTCTACCACGGCGACGCTTAGAAGAAGAACGATTGTTTCTCTTTCTCCTTTGAGGATTATGTCGTCAAGATATACCGCCCACGTGCCCCCGGCGTGTACACACTGTAAATTTTCTTCGTCGTTCGTTCTTGCCGTGACTGACTGAGATTCATTGAAGTTTATGGCCTGCACAAAGGGGATAGAATGTTCAACAACCTAGTAAAGTAGTACTGATGATGATTCGAATCTATATCTAAACGATAGATTGCCTAAGATTTCTCCTAGTATAGTAGTACTAATCATAAAGTAAGATTCTGCAGTGGCTTTTTATGGTTTCCTCTGTAAAAAATAGCTCCGTGACGGCGTGCATCGCGCCAATTGTTCGGATCTACAAGCCATTTCGGAACTTCCAGCCTCTTCCGTTCTACCTCCTCCGCTAGTTGTCGTCCATCCCACCTCCCGCAACAAACAAGAGTCACATAATTTTCACCGCCAAGGAGGAAATTTACATGATTTTCACCGCCAAGGAGGAAATTTCTGCTACACACTTTTGTAGATGCTGGTGCGGCAGAAGTAGCTTCTTCTATAGAAGACTCTTTACACTCTTGTAGACTTTGCGTATCACGACTCAAGAGGGCTCTTTTTGAGGGGGAAGGGGAGTCCACCTCGTCGTCAGAGTCGTCGTCTTGTAGTTGCTTATCGTGGTCCACGATACCTTGCCTCTCCTCCCTCTCTGGTGATGCTTCCACCTTCCCTTTGCTTCTAAAGGCTCCAAGGTGTATCTCGGCTGCTCTGTCCAACCATGCGAGGAAATCCTTCAAGACGAACTCCAACGTTTTAGCATTGCGCACTTGGGATTCTCTTATACCAGTCAATTGCGTGCAGAAGGCCGATAGTTTTCCACCAGATTCTTCAGGATAGACAAACTGGTGAAATTCTCCGAGCTCGGAACCACTCCCTGATAATAGGACGACAGGAAACTCTATGATTTCTTGTCGTGCGTGCGGCTGGTGTGGCGTGCTTTTCTTATCCCAACATGTGGCTTCCCAATCCAGCACAAGAAACAACTGGTTACTTTGCTCGTAGTTGCTACCTTGATGCTCCGCAAACGGATTCAAATGTCTGCTCGGAAAAAGCAGTTTACCACCAGGAACGACATCACGAGGATCATCTTCATTATCTTCGCCGTAATATCCATCATCAGCCCCATTCTGCTCATAAACATTCGCAAAATGGTACTCACGCCACAAGGCCTGCACGAGCTTCTTGACCTCTATACTTTTAGACTCATCGCCGCGTAATGTTGCTGGGAAAGTAGGCAATTCTTCACCCAAAGCTCTCGCAACAGTTCCGGAGGTAAGAGACTCCAACTCTTGAGAAATACTGCTCGTCGACTCTAAACTGGCATTGGATGCGAAAATAAAGCCTGCATTTCCGTTTCCACTTCCATTTTGTCGGCTTTCTCCACAACTCCCACTTCGACTTCGTCCATGAGAAAACTGAGTCACTTCAGCGTCAAATCTCTTTCTCAATATCGCGGTTAGCTGCCGCTTGCGCTTGGCAGAGAGGTGATGCGTTGCTGCAATTCCGTCCAGCACGTCTTCCAGTGTTGGCGTCACCAGCGCAGGCTGCTGTATCTTTTCTGACATTCTTTCGACTTTCTGCTTGTTTTCATCTTACACGTGGAAGACACAAATAAACTTACAACAAGTTGGAGCTGAAAAAGGTTCATTTCACCCTGTGGAGAAGACCATGAGTCTTACAAGTAGTAGTAGAAGTCAAAGACATACTGGGTACTGACATATAATCATTAGGCATAGCGGGGCTCTTAGATCATGATTGCTCGCAGCAATATCACTGGCCTGGGGTATTCGAATGGGAAATTTCTCGAAGTCATTGGCTCAATACTCATGCCATCATTTGAACAGGATACTCAACTCACTGAAAACACTGTGCTCTCTTTCTCTTTTGCTCTGTTCATGGCTCTAGATAAAGACCAAAGAGACAGCACACTATACTCGAACATTCTACACTGTAACTGTTGCGGCCAGGAGAACATCAAAATTAGATAAGCCTTAAGGTAGCCCAATGGCTACGGATGTGAATGATGTAGCTCATCATTCTCAGCGATGTCGCCCCTGTCCTGTGAACTAGTGCTAATCTGCACAAGCACAGGATAAATTTGAGAAGCCAAAGCATTTGGTTTTTGTTGTTGTTGTTAAGTACGAAGACCCCTGGGGCTTAGTGCCTCTCATCTGCCTAAGCTAACTAGATCCGGGCCAACTATTTAACTCATCAACTTGTTACTTGCTGCACACGTTTAAGACCTTAAGACTTTGATCTTGTTGTTGACGTTGATGATGTTGTTGATCTTGATGGTGTTGATCTTGATGGTGTTGATCTTCGTGTTGCTGTCGTTATGATTTTCTTGCTCCTGTTGTTTCCTTGATCATGATGTTCGTAAGTCTTTAAGTTGTTGACTTCTGTACTGGTAGGATGATCTTCATGCTCATGCTTGAGATGATTCATAATTTGGGGATCGACAGTAACAAAGATATTGGGAAGATCCACAATACTCATAGTGAGACAGCACACCAGAATTAGTCACTCACAGACAGAGCTAAACAGGCGCAGAGTCATCTAGGAAGCGGGTTATTAAGGCACAGAGTTACTTACAAAGACATAACAGATAGGCGTTTTCTCTGCCGACCGCTACAACGAACACTTGTTTCAACGATACTTCTCAAATCTTAGGATAAATTTGTGCCAATGAAGTCTACCTGAAGCTGAAGAACTCTAAAAATGAGAAAAAGCGGGGACGAGATCCTTCCAGAAGTTTGTTATGGGTTATGGACTACATGCGAAGTCATTATGAAGTCGGGTGCGTGTTCTTATCATACAAAGTATTGCCGTACAGGCACATCATCATTTAATATAGTAGAAGTTAACCGTTGAGGACACGGACACTCATCCAAATGCGCGAAAGTAGTCGTTTCGACTGCGACTGTGTTTCGTACATGATGACACGTCCCACAATGTTGACATCTTTTTTATGTACACCAATATCACCTTTTCTGATCCCCACAAAATTTAAATTCGACTGACATCCACCACAACAACAAGAACAACACTCACCATATACGCATGCAGCAAATACGAGAATCCTTCCCCACGCGCGCGTGACGGATTTCCTTAATAATCATGCCGTAGCAGCCATCCTCCTCCTGCAATAGCATGCATTTCTTTACCTGCTCGCGAGGTGTTCACTAGAGTATGCGGACTCAGTGTAAATCATGCCGTTTTGAGAGTTTTCTGCTTTGGGGCGACATTGAGCACGGCCCACATAACTATGGCAGCTCCATTCGTAAAGACGCCAAGAGTTAGAGGCTCCGACATTGCATTCTTCAGAACAACACCCCTGACTCGTCCTTTGGTACTGGAAAAAATCAGTGCGCGGGATGTTAGTGAAGGATGTAATGTGGGAACCCTTACAAGAAGATTTGGGATAACAACTGAATAGAGCTTCATCCACACCACACCAAGCACGGTCCATACTACGGAACATAAAAAGCCAGCGACGCACATTGCCATAGGACCTAGAATAGAAAGGGGTCTAGAGTAGAGAGGGGTCTCGTGTTTGAGAGTGAATGTTGACATAGACTATGACGAGCAGATCTTTTTATCGACCGTCGAGAGTAGAGTTGTATGAGACAGTGAGCAGATGTTATCTAGTATAGGGATCTCGGTATGGTGAGATTACCTTTAGCTCAGGCTGATTATATTCCAATGGCTGGGAATACTAAGAATGGGACTACGAATACTACGCCTACAAATAATCCTTCTCGTATTCAATACAGAAAATAGACTTTGAACAAGTAGTTGTAAAAAAAAAGTACCTAGTAAGATTGAGTTTTTCTTCTTCCATGCGGCACCGAGACTCTCGAGCGGCGCTCCACACATGACCATCTGCAGCGCACACGCGACTGAAGGACACCACTCTCCAAGGCCGTAAATTGCCAATGCCCCGCTCGCAGTTGAGATTACACCGACAAAGAAAAACAGCTGCCGAAGAAAGTCCCGCATGCACGTGTCAAGAACCGCTTCCCGATGAAGGTAGGTTAGTACTACATCCAGGAAAAACATGTCTACAGAGAAAAATCTACAAGGAACGATTTCCTCTTATCTACCAATTTTTACATCGTTTTCTGCTGTAGAAATTCAGTTTACATCGTACACAATATGGTGGAGGGCCACACGTCCCATTTCCAACTGCTGGTTTTTTCATTTGGTCTTCTTCTTCAGCACTATATGCTTGAGTAGACACGCTCTTCTTCTACGAAGTCGACTTATTACTTAGAGTTTTCGGCGACCAAAGGCACTGCCATACTTGCGCGAAGACTGAGCCATTGCCGCTTTCTTTTTCGGTGATGGGGACCGCGATCTTGACCTCTTTTTCGGCGATGCGGCATCGCGACATGAGAGTGAAATAAAGCCAGATAAAGGGCGGATACAAATAACGACAACAAGAGATAGGTAAATTGATAGCACTTAGAGAATATACCTGGTCTACAGGGAAGGGAAAAACAAGACATCATGTTCGTGATAAGTAGCCCTTACATCATGTTCGTTATCACTGATAACTAGCCCTTACATCATAATAACAAACTCAACCTTAAATTTGGGAAAAAGCGAAAAAAATTTGGGAAAAATCCCTATTTATTCTAGCAGCTAAGAAGCTTACAGAAAAAATCTTCTCATCTCAAGAAAAAATTGATGTTCTTGGTCATCATAACTTGTTCAAAGCAGGGCTTCGCAGTTCGCAGCGCAAGGAATAGAAATAGATCCCACAATAGATGACGCCCAGTGCTACACCGACCACATTTGGTCGAATCATCGGTGCTTCCATGGTCTCCAATCCAACGATCAGCCAGCAAAGGCAGCATCCCACGAGTGCAGAAATGAATCAACAAGTACGAATTTCCTGTGAAAAGTGATCAATAATTAAGAACAAGCACTTATTTCCTACTAAATTAGCCGTACTAATCAGGGCGGCGGGCGCCGTTGACGGAGTTATTATTTCTTTACTACAAAAATACCAGTTGTAAGTTGTCGTAAAATAATTTTCCCTCCATAACGTACTTAGAGCCTATAACTTGGAATTCATCAGGAGTTGTATCAAGAAAGGGTCTTCTTGAAGATGAACATCATCAGGTCCGGTACCAAAATTCTCTACTTCTCAATTCTGGCACTCAAACTCACGACAGTGAACATAAACGTGAAGGCGAGTGGCGTGAGCGTACCCACGGACTTTTTCTTGAAGACCTCAAAAAACGCACCAGCGGGAGCCAGAAACATGAGTATCGGGAGCGCTGTGCCAAGAACTTCAAAAACAGCCCTAATGTCCTCGCTCCGTTCTAGCTCGTCAGACAAAGCAAACAGCATATCCACAACCACCCCCATTTTGTTCGTTTTTGTCGGCTCTTTTGCCCGGTCTTCCTGTTAGTTTTCACTCTTCTTGATGTTCACACTCAAAAAAAATCAGGGAGGTTTTTGATTTTTACCGAGTAGTCGTCGAGCTAGTAGCACTAGTAGTAGTCAATCCAGTGGTCATCTACGGGTACATTTATGTCACGACCTAGTTACCTTCATGCAAGAAAGAAGTAAAAATCTAGGAACATTCTCCTCCACTATCATGAGCATTGCCTCCTTCTTTCGGTGCTGACTATGGATCGGGTGAATCGAAAGAGGGAAAGTAGGATCGTCCCCCGCCTGAACATCGGATCTAATATCGAACGCAGACCTTTGTCTATCATGGCAGCAGACCATTACGCCTCAAGCCAACTCTTGACATCACAAACAAACAGCTGCCACGAGCCTACAAGTTAAATCACCGGCAATAACCTGTGCGCAGTTAACCCCTCGCTACTACCCGTACGTGCAGTAGTCCCTTCGTATTGCATAATCCCACTATAACACCCAAGTCGTCCCTTTCTTTACACTTATTTCCATAGTCCCCTTCTTTATGCACACGAAATCAAACGCGCAATCTCCTTAGTACCACTGGCAAGTGACCAGAAGGTCTAATTCGACTAAACGTCAACGCACCCAGATCAAGATGAGGCTCCCCCGGGCTTGCCGCGCGCGGGAAGACGTGGATCTGGATTTACCCCCTAAATGGGTTTCTGCGGTGCAAGGAAGGATGTGGCGCGCCAATGCCACAGAAATGACGCGTTCCGGATCTAGACCCATCCGCCTACACCTCTTTGCGATAAGATAGGAGTTCACCTCTCTAAGATAGATAAGATAGGATAGCAGGTAGCATACGGGGAGGTGAGCGTTCACGACTATAGAAGAGCCGAATCCCCACAGCTACCCTTTGATATTCATATGGCTGCCTGTCGAACTTCGCCAGATACCCTCTTCTAAAAAATAAGATTACAACAACAATAGACATCCAAGATACACAAAAAAGTACAAGAGTCAACGTCAAGACAGCTCAACAATAAAACAGACAAACTCAATTAAATGTGTCGCAAAAACAGCTTGTATGTGCCTCACCTAGTTCGTCGCTTGCAACCCGTCTGAATTCAACACAGGAGGTGTTTTCGCTGTAGAAAATTTATCAATTATGGGAAAAATGTGATAGAAAACGATGCAGAAATACAGTAGTTAGTTAAAAATACCGCTCTTCATAAGACACAACAAAGCACACCGTATCGCACAGACACGAACACGATAAAAACGCATCCACTGTCAAAGAAACAACAGGTATACACGATAGTTACAGAATATAGATGCGAAGAAAGGTCTACGGATATTGGTTCGCACGATTGGTTTGAAATTCAGCAGTGACTTCATAAAATTTAAGCTTGTTCGATAATTTTTTGTAGCTAGCCTGACCGCAAAAAGACACATACGAGAAGTCTTATCCTGACGAGAATCAATGGTGACGAGAATCAAAATATGCAAGCGGTGTTAAACAACAACATACAAGAACAAGCTTCATCCGAGTTTGGATAGGATAGGCTAGGGCGCCGCTGCTGCGCCGCCACGCAGGGTTACTGCTCGGCTTTGGCGTATAACCCAACAAGGACTCTTTGTGGGTCGTGGTTATCGCCCCAATCGGACGCTGAATTACTTTAAAGAAAAGAAACGAAAATAGGGGAGGCCGTCTACTGCTGATTTAGTTTCTCCTTGGAAGCATCCCTCTCTCTCCCTCTCTCTTAGAAAACCGATCCACACATCGTTTATTTTGCCGTGTAATACCATAGAGGTGGGATGACCTGGACGCACAGATCACTGTTTGTTCTATGTCGTTGTAGTTCTTGCATGTCGTGTTGTGGCCTCGAATTTACATTTCTTCAAGAATAGTCTTGAATTTTCGATTTAGATTGGCCTCAAATTTAGATTTAGATTCCTGCAAGAATATTGAACACAAGAACGCGACTTCGCCAGCATTCACCAGCTCCTTCACCTGTGGGCCGTCTTCTACTACTTTTCTATTAACCACACTCCGCTTGTTGAAATTAAACTCCACAATAGGTCATATACATATAGGTTTTTTGGAAGTGGCTGATGCGAACCAAAGACGCTTAACCAGCTTCTACTAATACGGCAGGTCACGCGGTCATATTACATTACATAATTACATTACATTCCAAGTTTTTCGAGTTTGTTCGACGCGTCATGCATCGACCTTTAGTCAGTCCATATCATGGAGGAACAGCCCAACTCGGAATCATACTGTGTGAAATGACGACTAGTATTAGCATGATTTTCTGCCCGCAAACGCCACCTATCCCACGCAGGCGTTGTAAACAGATTGCAACTCAATCGATTAGGACTACTTACCCACAGCAGATGAGAGGAGGTGGATTGACTATACGAAAGATTGATTATCAAATGGCCCTGATCTGCAGAGTCGCGTCTTGCCTTTTCCCTGCATACTGGAGAAGTAAAAACAAAGATGTTCGTTGTTGCACTTATTGTCATTCTATCTCGTCGTGGGCCGTGAAAATGAAACCTCAAATTTTCTACCTGTCGTGATATAATCAAATCAATCATTTCGGTTCGAACTCATACATTTTTGCTGATCTAACTAAAAAACTCTGAAGAACTCTTTAACAACTAGAACAACACGAAACTATTTTCCACGCTTTTCATTTAAATTTAGGATCCTGCGAAAAAAGAGCGCCAAGCAAAGACTCAGTCACGCATGCTAAGGCCGAGTCGTGCTCTTGCCATGCAACTACCTCTGTCGTTCTAGGAGTCGTTCTAGGATCTCAGGATCAACATAAAAAACAGTTTTAAAAAGATATTGACAAAAGGATTATTTCTATACAACATGAACAGAAACAGCGCTAGGACTAGTTAAACTCGTGTAGAGTAAGACAAAACGCCAACACATTATCATTACCATCAAACATCGTATACATATCCCTACTTACGACATAAAATTACTCATGCTTTTCAGACAACCAAACCACGCGAAGTGTCGCTGATGCAAAGAAGCCAAACTCAGAGACATCATTAACAAGTAGTCTGGTGGCACGCTAGTATTTGAGGTGCAGGAGGCTTACCTGTATCTATATGTGTTGTCTTTTTTCCTTTTTATCGCCAAAGGTACTAAACAATCTTTCGCACGGTGATGCAGAATCTATCAACAGGCATTTATGTTAGTACGTAGTAAGTGCCTAAGTGAATCTAACATGACACTTTTGCGAGCGACCACAGCTTTCGTCTGCGGCAGACGTCTCTGTTCGAAATAGTTCCGTTTTGCGTGCCGATTCCCTCTGCCGTGAAAAAGAGGACGTCACCTGAGTTATATAATAGGGACTTTTTCATCATCGTCATTCAAAGTTGTTAAGGCCTCGCGAAGTTGCTGGCACCAGCGCCGGGCGCGGTGGCACCACCAGAGAGCAGTGCATTGTTGGCACGGCGGCGCAGCCGATGGCGTCGAATTAGCGTATTGACGCCGTTGCGTGTCTCCTCGAAACTAGAGGAAACAGCGGATGAAACTGTAGTTGTCGCTGCCGAGGAGACTTCTGTCATGACTGATGTCGGAACACGTGTGCTTTCCTCACTGACGCCAGTCTTCATGACTAGCGCATCAATCTGTGCTGTTCCAGGTGCTGGCATCACCTCGATATTCTCTCCAAGCATCTGTGCATCTGTACGAGGACCTGCTGCAGAACTGCTCTCTAATTGCGTGATGGTACTACTACGGGACGTAGCAGCACGACTGCTGCTCAGCAGGAACTTGGTATTTTCTGGTTCTCTTCGCGTGGCCCGCGCTTCCATCGTCCCGGAGGCTGACGACGCAATGCCATGGCTACTGGCACTGTCCTCAGAAGTGGTCCTGGATGAGACATGTTCGGAGGAGCCACTTGTAGTTGACACCAACGCCGCCTCCTCGTTCGGGCCTCGACTAGAAGACGCTTGTGGTGCGCGAAGATACTTCTGTGCACCAGCGAGTCGCGTTAGCCACACCGAGAGTGCAGAGACACACGCCATCGCAAAGGTGACGCCTAAAATAAAATGCGCACCATCAAGATCGCAACACATTATCAACCGACTAGGTCTACTAATCCCCCGCGGCGCCTTGTTCTTCTTCTTGCCGCCCCCACGGTGCTTTGTCCTCCCATTTCCAGGAGGCTCTACCCGAACAAAACTGACTCGGAAGGACGGAAGAGAAAAACCACGTACACCGAGATGTGGCCTCCACACCGAAAATGCTGACGCGTGTTGACCCTCAAGATTTGTATGGTGATCTCGTCGTTCTGCTTTATTTTTTATCCCCGATGACATAGCATGACGCTCGCCTTCTGTTGCTCCCGGCTGCTCTGGCGGTGGCGTGGCTAGATCATTATGATTGCCACGTGCTGCTCCAGTGGTAGTTAAAGATCGACTCACACGCGTTGATGTGGTCGCCAGCTTGTCAATGGCGCCGCCTTCCTCCAGAACGGCCTTGGTGGAGCAGGTTGAAATATTGTGCTCCACTAGCATCGCCTGAGGCTTATGATCATATCCAGCTATATGAAGATGATCTGGCATACTTACACTCAATGCGGATGTTTTTCTGTCAAGCAGAGGAGAGCCTTCGCCATGTTTGTTTGCGACTACCTCATCACAGTTGCCTTCAACGCGTGGAGCAACGCTGCCGCCCCAGGGCAGAGACTCGAGGCAGCGACGGTGCGACGACTCTCGCGGCAACTCTGCCTCTGCTGCTCTTTGTTCTCGCAAGCGCTGCTCGCCACATAAAATATTAGGAGGAGAACAGGGCGCCCCGGGCGGAGCAGACAAGGAACGACGTCGTGCAGGTGAAACGTCGCAACCGTCGCTCGAGCGAAAGCCCGCGAGGCTCGTCGGACGTCGCTCGACCTCCACGGCCGTTCCATCGTGGGACCGCGAATCCGAATACCTGCCAAAACTGTGCGGAAAATGCTGAGATTGATGTGCTGTCGTGGTAGCCAGAAAAGCGGCGGCGCAGTGATCGAGATTTTTGCTGAAAAGAACCTGGCTAACTTGATCTAGTTGCGCGCAAAGCTGGGCAACACTGCACCGATTTCGCGGGTCCCGGCGCAAGCAGAGACGTGTCACCAAAACCAAATGCTCAAAGACATCTTGGTCGTAACATAAACGCTCTTGTTGCCTAGATGAACTTTTGTAGGTTCTTGCACTACTTCTAGAAGATGAAGATTTTTGTGGCACTTGTTCTACTACAACATTTGATGTTCCTGCAGAGGGTTCTTCTGTCATCTTGCTGTGGAGAACTTCGGATTCTCCTCCGAGTTGTAGCCTCGTCGCGGCTTCACGCATGCGAACGAGGGGCGATTCCGAGGCACAGATTCTCGGAAATGCGATCGGAAACTTCGAATCACAGACAGCAAAATGCATGCGCCGACCGAGCCTCTCCAGATGCTGGAAAGGCGCGTGGCCATACAGGATGCTGTAGAACATGATTCCCAAAGACCAGACGTCAGCCGCAGGCCGCAAACAAAATACTTCGGGACTTTCACGCTGCCAGAAAGCTTCCGGCGCCATGTATCGCGGCGTGCCGCATTGCCCTTGCCGTGCCACGAATCCCTCATGCTCAGCAAGTGGACCTACCGCGTAATCATAAGAAAAATTACCTTCTGCACAACTAGAAGAGGATGCAGGTAGATTAGGCACGACGCCGATACGCCCGCCTAGGCCAAAATCCGAGAGCTTTATCTTTCCCCGAACGAGTAAAAAATTCGCCGGCTTGAGATCCAAATGGACGATTTTCCGATGATGAATGCTGTCAACGCATTGCGCTAATTCACAAAACAATTTGCATGCGAAATCGATAGGCTCACAGACAACACTCTTTTCCCAAATTGTGGTCTCTTCTCCTTTCATTTCGTGGTGATCTTCACGATCGTCCGAGTTCAGAAAAACGCCAGATATTCTTGATATTCTTCTTTCGTCCGTATCACCGTCAGGAGCGCCAGCACCGCTAGCCAGCAGCTCCGCACAGCAAGCACCACAGTGCGCCCCTGCATCATGGTCACAGACAAACTTGAACCTTCCTGTCTTCACTGTCCTACGGCCCGCATCAGCCTTCTCTGGCGGGGATTCTGCTTCAGTAGTAGGGACCTCTCGGATGCACCGCAGAGTTCCTCTCTGCTGCGCAGCATTCCCAAATGGAAAAGGGCTGCTAAAGCTGCCAAACGCATTCGGCTGCGCAAACACGGGGGTCGGCAGGTACAAGGGCGCCGGTTGCAGTGTTCTCCTGCATGTTGTAGCATTTAGTGCTGCAGGGGTGTCCCGCGGAGTTGTACTACACGGACGGTTGTTGTTCTTGCTTTTGTTAGCCATAGCCTCATGATTATCTTTACCTTGCTCTACTACGTCCTTGCTCATCTTGTCTACACGACGCCCAGGTGGAGGTCGTGCAGAAACCCGCTGCACGCCAATTGCGTTTCCTGGAAAGAGTGACAAATACGCGCCATCTGCGCCAGCCTCCGCCGAAACAGGAGAACACAATGCCCGTTTCAGGTAGGACCGTAGGTCTTCTTCTGCGTATTCAAGGAGCAAAAGCATGCAAAGTCGAGTCTCATGCGCCTCGGTCGCATAAATATCAATCACATGCGGGCAATCACGGAGGTCTACTAGTAATCCAGCCTCCTGCTTGTACATTTTAAACTGTCGCAGGCTCCTTGCATTCACTACTTTCAGTGCTAAAAAAGTTGTCTTTTCAGCAGCTTCGGTAAAAAATGCCAGTGGCTGTGGTCGTGTCGGAGCGTGGTCATCTGCCATATTATAGAAAGCGGAGGAGGTGTCGTGGTTGCGAGAAAGAGAACTGGAAGACTCGCTCACCCTACACGATTCCAGTGGAATGCACTTAAAAACGTAAGCACTCCCCCCACTTCCTAGCAGGTCTACGATGCGGCACGTCCAGCCAGCAACATGAACTAAGCGACCGAGGACGACTTCCCTGATCTCATGCTCAGTTCGCAGACCGAAAATGCCTGCCCACTCTGCAACTTGTATCCCAGAAGAGTCCACTAAACCGTTAGTTTCTTGTGCTGCGGGTACTTCTGAGGACAAGAAATCAACATCTGCAACAGCAGCACGGTCGGCGCCGTCTCTTGGAAGAACACTAGTATTTTCTCCCCTCAGTGCAGGTGGCCGAGGAGACGGATCAGCACTAATTTTTTTGCATTTTGGATGGATAATAGCAGGATGCTCATCTTCCCCCTGAGCATTGCAATTTTCGTCGCGCGTTTCTTTTCGGACTACTGTCGTCCTCCGGCGTCCAAGCGGAGAGGCCATAGGAGCTATTGGCGGTGATCCGCCAACTAACAGGTTAGTCGTCCTCTCCACCTCTAGTCCTAGAGCCCCGATGTCATCCTGCATCCCCAAGTTCGGCCCCTCAACACACGCTGTCCGTGCACCAAGTTCGGAGCGGCTTCGAACACGAATATTTGCTCGGGGACTCCTTTCAATGTCGCACGAGGTCTCCTCTCGTTGTACAACCAACCCCCTTTCGCATTCTTGCGTGTCCTTCTGACGTTCTGCCAAAACAAGAGAGGGCATCTCTTCAGGTTCAGGTTGTAGATGTCTTGAACAACCGGAACCGCGCTCTCGTTGCACAATTTCATGTTCTTGGGCCAATGCAACGACTTTGCACGTACCGTCATCGGTCGTTGGCGGAATACCAGCATACGGATGCTGCCCTGAGGAGCAGCTTTGGTGCACCTTCGCATTATCGGTCCGTGTTGTTTTCACGGTGGGTTCTAACCAACACAAGGACATTTTGTTGTTCGTGGTAAAACTTCTTTATACGATATCAACAAGGACGTACTGTTGTGGGTGATTCGCGGTTGTAGTGTGATTGAACGAGTGCAATGTCCGGAAAGTTGCTACTTACTTACCTGACGGCGTAAATCTATTCGGGAAATTGCCTAAGATCTCCCTGACGATTTCTACCCGCTTCTTAGTTACCTAGTTTGTTTTTGTTAGTTAGAATACCATCAAAACCAAAAAATTACAGTTCCGCTCGACGTCAAAACCGCTTGATTCTCGCACGAGACAGCAGTGATAAGCAGACCCAGCAGGACGACGCGCTAAAGAGACCTTGGAAACACCAGTCAGCCCAGCTGTTCGCTGTACGACGTAACTTTTTGTTAGCCTGCTAAAGCGTCACGAGGAACAATCATCTCATTAACTAATTATAAGGTAAACATTAACTAATAATTAAATATAGCTAGTCATTCATTTATTCAAATTCATCCATGCATTCCTTCATCTGCGGGATGCCAGCAAATAAATTTTTTTCAGATCCTTGTTTCCTACCTATATCATCTATTCTGGTCATGATAATCCTAGTGTGGACGGGAGACGTTGGTTCATTTGATTTGACGGAATAATCAATGTTAAGGAGTTCGTGACTATCGGAAAAACCAGAATCTGACAACATTTTCGAGGGAAACAGGAAAAATCAAAACACAGCGACAGCTTCAACAATTCTTGTTCTACTTGGCGTCTGCTCAAAGAAATAATCATTGAAACAAGTCTCATATAAAATGGAACCGAAAAATTAGATACTACTTATAGCTACCCAGAAAGAATCAACGATAACAACGCCTAGTTACAACGCCCTGCTACCAAAAAAATCAACGATAACAACGCGTAGCTATAACGAACTAATACCAAAAAATCAACGATAACAACGATGGAAACCTGACAAGTACATGATACAAATCAAACACTCAGATGCTAAATCATACGAAAAGATACCATTGAACAAGCATCACGCGAGAAACGAAGCGCTGTCTTAATCCTCAAAGCTAAACCCAATGAGTCACTATATCCTGGTAGAGGTGGACTACAAAATACTTCAAACAAAACATCCATAACTTCTTCTGGTTCGCAAGAAAAAAACTCAGATTCCGTCTTTTAAATCACAAAAAAAAAACCATCTGTAATCGAAAATAGTAAATACTGTTCATTATACTTAGCTAGCAGTCTTTCACGTGCAAATTTCTCTACATCCTATGACACTCACAAATATTTTTCGCTTGTCCTGACACTGATGTTGTAGTGTTCAGTTAATGAACTGCTATTTTTTTCGGTGCTGTTCAATAAAAATTTTTCTATGCTGCGCCTTGTTTTCTTATCCTCGCACATTAGCGGATGAATATCAACAAAATACTCCGTAGTGAAGAACGCGATGATCTTAGACTGGTAGACCATCTTCTGCTACTTTTTCCATCATCTATGTCTAAGATCTTACTCCTGGTCCTCCACTGGTCCTCCAGATGACTGTAGACCGTATGGTACTGATTTTCTTCGTTTAGTTCGGGATCCTATCTCAGTCACTGAAGATAGATCTACGGAACTCGATGACTGTGGAAGATCCAGGCATACTTGACATTAAGTATGCAATGGCTCTGCACAGTTTCTTCAGGAACTAAAAGATCTGCGGGACTGGGAGCCCGCTGCGATCCGCAATTTCCGGCGCTGCTCATGTCCCTGGGAGCTCATCGACGGTCTACTGAATGTCATCATCATTGCGTCTCAAATGAGCGTGCGTGATCATCAGCAAGACGAAACAATTCAGTCATTTCTTGATCTTTGTACATTAGCCATAGCAAGTTATTGCGCAATCATGAGTTAAATTTCAGAAGAAACTGCGTTTCATAATTCCAAGACTCCGACCACTGACGGCATACTTAGAACTGCTTGTGAAGCAGAACAACAGAACTTGCAAGCTTCGTTTGATGTTTGTTAAGGAATCCATACAGGGTTACTGCAACTTCTACTACAGGACACAATGAATTTCTTCGACGCTTCTCCTTCTGTGCGTAATGATTTGCTATAATTCATCTCATGTATTCCTTTCTTCCAGCCCACCTTTTTGCTTACCCCACCTTTTTGCTTTCCTACTTTCTTAGGAGCGGCGAGCACTGGCCACAGTCTGAAGTATAATAGGCATAGCGCATCATCATGCAAGAGCTATACCGCCCACGCGCCCCCGGCGTGTACACACGCCGGGGCAGGGCGGAAGGGTCCTACAAATTCTACTAACTGCATGCAGTAGAGACTTCCGGCCTACCCGCGTAATACGAAGGACGCGAAGAAATACGAGATACGACTTAAGTGAAGCAGTTACGTGGAACACGGATTTACTACGCATACACTGGCAGCACCTTAGGAGACTACGCGTAGCGAGCAAGTTACTCTTCAGAAGCAAGCTACGCCTAAGAAGCAAGCGACGTCTAGAAAGCTGGCCATGCTCAGCAAGCACTCTACGCCTGGCCCATGCCTCGCGCGCGAGCAGGGCCCTGGGTTTAGCTAGCAAGCAAGCAAGCAAGCAAGCAAGCAAGCAAGCAAGCAAGCAAGCAAGCAAGCAAGCAAGCAAGCAAGCAAGCAAGCAAGCAAGCAAGCAAGCAAGCAAGCAAGCAAGCAAGCAAGCAAGCAAGCAAGCAAGCAAGCAAGCAAGCAAGCAAGCAAGCAAGCAAGCAAGCAAGCAAGCAAGCAAGCAAGCAAGCAAGCGACGCCGATGCTTACTAGCATGCAGGCAATTCTTAGCAAGCAGGCTACTCTTAGCAAGCAAGCTATGCTTAGCAAGCAGGCTCGGCTTAGCAAACAGGCGCGGCGTAGCAAGCAGGCTCGGCTTAGCAAGCAAGCCCAGCCTAGCAAGCAAGCTACGCCTAGCAAGCCAGCCATGCTTAGAAGGCAAGTTATGCTGGGCGAGCAGGCTTGCTGTGCTTAGCGCGCAGGCCATGCTTAGCATGCAAGCAAGCTAAGCGTATCAAGCAAGCTATGCCGAGCAAGCACGCTATGTATTTTGAGCATGCAAGCGAAAGCTATGCATAGCAAGCACGTTATGGCATGCTCAGCAGGTGCAGGCGAGCTATGCTCAGCAAGCGCGCTATGCTCAGCAGGCCAGCTACGCCCAGGCAGCAAGCCAGCTACGCTCAGTCAGCAAGCCAGCGAGGCTCAGGCAGCAAGCCAGCTACGCTCAGCAAGCCGGCTACGCTCAGCAAGCCAGCCACGCCCAGCAAGCCAGCTACGCTCAGCACGCCAGCTACACTCAGCAAGCCAACCACGCTCAACAAGCCAGCTACGCTCAGCAAGCCAGCTACGCTCAGCAAGCCAGGAACGCTCAGCAAGCCAGGAACGCTCAGCAAGCCAACAACGCTCAGCAAGCCAGCCCCGCTCAGCAAGCCTGCTACGCTCAGCAAGCCTGCTACGCTCAGCAAGCCTGCTACGCTCAGCCAGGCGGCTACGCTCAGCCAGGCGGCTACGCTCAGCCAGGCGGCTACGCTCAGCAAGGCGGCCACGCTCAGCAAGGCGGCTACGCTCAGCAAGGCGGCTACGCTCAGCAAGGCGGCCATGCTCAGCAAGTCGGCTTGCTACGCTCAGCAAGTCAGCTACGCTCAGCAAGCCAGCTACGCTCAGCAAGCCAGCCACGCTCAGCAAGCCAGCTACGCGCAGCAAGCCAGCTACGCTCAGCAAGCCAGCTACGCTCAGCAGCCACGCTCAGCGAGCCAGCTACGCTCAGCGAGCCAGCTACGCTCAGCAAGCCAGCCACGCCCAGCAACCCAGCCACGCCCAGCAACCCAGCCACGCCCAGCAACCCAGCTACGCCCAGCAACCCAGCTACGCCCAGCAAGCCAGCTACGCTCAGAAAGCCAGCTACGCCGAGCGAGCCAGCGACGCTCAGCAAGCCAGCTACGCTCACCAAGCAGGCTACGCTCACCAAGCGGGCTACGCTCACCAAGCGGGCTACGCTCACCAAGCAGACTACGCTTAGCCAGCTATGCTCCTTAGCAAGCCCGCCATACTTAGCCAGCAAGCTACGCCCAGCAGGCAAGCTATGCCCAGCAAGCCAGACCCACTTACGTAGTGCATTGGTGACGAAATTGGTAAAGCACGCAAACAGTCCAGGGCTTTGAGGTACTGCCAAAATGCTTAGCAGCAGCAGAACCATGCAAGAGATGCGCCCAAAATCCAAGAAATTTGGCGGCGTGAGATGTATAGACGCGGCAGTCTGGCTGCGCCTCTCCTCCATGATTTCCGTACATCTCAAAAGCATGGAACTACGCAAAAGCCCCAAGAATCACCCCAGTGCGAGTACATCTCAAGCGTGCACCCTTTCCATGATTTGCGTGCAGCGTATGCATTTGTATATATCCCCGCTGATACATCTCAGACGTATACATACATGCCCAGAAAGCGGGCCCATCAAGGGCCCGCTGCGCCGGGCATAGGTTAACAACTAGACAGATTGACTACTAAGAGACAGAAAGACAAACGAAAAATAAAAGTCGCCAAGTCTGCTCGCCAAGGCTGGGAAGGTGGCTCCCACTGTGTCAAGGAAGGGAAGGCAGGCTGGGGATGTGACATCCTCGACGGCTTCGATTTTCAAGCACGGAGATGGACCTCTTTGGCCTTCTCATGGATATGATGACGCTCACCAGGGTACACCCTTCAGACACGCAAGTGCTCACGGCTATCATTCTCACAAGAATCGACATCCTCAACGGCTTCGACTTTCACGCGCAGAGATGTATATCTTTGGCCTTCTCATGGATATAATGACGCTCACCAGGGTCCACCCTTCAGCCATGCAAGTCCCCACGGCTATCATTCTCACAGCCATCGACATCCTCAACAGCTTCGACTTTCACGCCCAGAGATGTATATCTTTGCCCTTCTCATGGATATGATGACGCTCACCAGGGTCCACCCTTCAGCCATGCAAGTCCTCAGCTCACGGCTATCATTCATTCTCACAGACATCGACATCTCCAACGGCTTCGGCTTTCCTTCCACGCACAGCGATGCATATCCTTGGCCTTCTCATGGATGTGAACGCTCACCAAGGTCCACCCTTCAGACATGCAAGGCCTCACGGCTATCGTGTCACTCTCACAGACATCGACATCCTCAACAGCTTCGACTTTCACGCGCAGGGATGTATGTCTTGGGCCTTCTCGGGGATGTGATGACGCTCAACACCAGGGCCCACTCTTCAGACATGCAAGTCCTCACGGCTATCATTCTCACAGTCATCGACATCCTCAACGGCTTCGACTTTCACACACAGAGACGCATGCCCTTGGCCTTCTCATGGATATGATGATGCTCACCAGGGTCCACCCTTCAGACATGCAAGGCCTCACGGCTATCATTCACTCTCACAGACATCGACATCCTCAACGGCTTCGACTTTCACGCACAGCAGTGTACGTCTTTGGCCTTCTCGTGGATATGATGACGCTCGCCAGGGTCCACCCTTCAGACATGCAAATCCTCACGGCTATCATTCTCACAGACATCGACACCCTCAACGGCTTCGACCTTCACACGCAGAGACGTATGTCTTTGGCCTTCTCGTGGATCTGATGACGCTCACCAGGGTCCACCCTTCAGCCATGCAAATCCTCATGGCTATCATTCTCACAGACATCGACATCCTCAACGGCTTCGACTTTAAAGCACGGAGATGGATCGCTTTGGCCTTCTCATGGATGTGATGACGCTCACCAAGGTCCACCCTTCAAGCATACAAGTGCGCACGGCTATCATTCTCACAGGCATCGACATCCTCAGCCGCTTCAATTTTCAAGCCCAGAGATGTATATCCTTGGCCTTCTCATGAGTATGATGATGCCCATCAGGGTCCACCCTTCAGCTATGCAAGTGCGCGCGGCTATCATTCTCACAGGCATCGAGGACGTCCTCAACGGCTTCGATTTTCAAGCGCGGGGCTGTATATCTTTGGCCTTCTCATGAGTCAACACGATGACGCCCGCCAGCCTCTGCCCTTTCAAGTGCTCACCCTCTCCCTTACAAGTCTCCCACTTTTGTGCTGGTTAAAAGTATACTGGTTAACCATCTCCAAGGGCTGCCGCGCGCTCCTGTGGTCGATTGCTGTGCGCGGAAGGTAGTCGCGGAAGGGGAGCGAGCTAACTTTTTCACAAAAACTTCAGGGAGGTCGTTCGGCTTTCTCTGTATTTGAATGACCTCCCTGAAGTTTTTGGAAAAAAATGAAGGCGCTGGGTGGGCGATAAATGACAAGGGTAGCGGCTGGGAGTTCGTTGGGGCGATTCGCTAGGGGTGGGCGCGTAGTGTCCTGCTGCAGATGTGGCTGGGTACGTGAGTCGCCTACAAACTAACGGCCGCGAATGCGTTAACACGTTCGCGGTGCCTTTGAACTCGTAGCACTAGCAGCGCAAGGGCTTTAGAGAGCCCTGCGAGTCCTTGCGAATCCCTTAAGGAGGGGCCTAATATTAGCCAAGGGCTATAACAGATTTTCCTCAGGGCCCTTCCTTAAGGAAAATTCTCCCTCTTGAGGAAAGTTATAATAACACTTTGTAATAGGAATTCCTTAAGGAAAACCGTTCTCCTTAAGGAAGCCACTTAAAGGAGTCCCTTAAGGATTTCGCAAACCATCGCTAACCCTATAAATACTAATATAGGCCGCACATCTTAGCCATGATTCCTGTATATCTAAGACCATGGGTCTACATCTGTTAGCACTCAAGTCTAGCATTGACTTCTAACATAGATAATAGTAATACTGTGGAAGGAGAAAAGCATAGGGGCCACCCATGGGCATAGCTACCGAAAGAAATATCCTCACGGCCGCGTCTACTTTTGTCCCTCAAACAGTAGACGCTCCTATCAGTCACTATTCAAATCCAAAGTAGTCAATGGGTGGACGAGGGTCCAGCTGTTAGTAGTCTGCTGCCCATTCAGGTGCATTTCCTTAAAATTCACGCAGGAGCGAACGCACAGGAGCTGTGACCGCATTGCGAACAAGTTTCGACGTAGCTCCAAACCCGCCCACCGCCCCGAGATCCAACCTGGAGGAGGCGGACACACTACGGAGCCCCATCAACATGTAGAAGGCCAACGCGCCTACCATTCTTGCTGCTCGTGTTTTTTTGAATTTGCTTGAAATTCTGAAAAGATTGCGGGATGGTTAACTTCTGGCACCAGGAAGGGGGGCCCCCTCCCCTGTGGATGGAGCGGCGGCGGGTGGTGTCCGCGCGCCCATTTTTCCGCGGTGGTGACATGTGAGGACTCCGGGGGGCGAAGGCCTCAAAAGGCGGAGCCGGGGTGGTCCCCTGGCGGCTGGCTCTCCGCGTGTACCCCACAGGCGTGCAGACTCTTGGACCCTATCAGGGGGACGGCCTCGCGGTCGCGAGGCCTGGCCCCTTTGGCGCTCATCCCCCCAATTGGTGGCAGCGCCAGCCGCCAGCAAACACCCGGGCGGTTGAGGACCAAAGGCGAGGAGGAGGGGGGGCAAGGCGTGCCCACGTGGGTTCTGTCAGATACACGCAAGACGGCGAAAGAGGTCAAGCCCTGTCACCTGCGGCCCGAAGAGGCCCTCCGCCGCACCTCCCAAGAAGCTCCCCTAGTGAGGAGCCCGCACTCGGGGAGCCTGTAGGGTACACGCACCACGGCGCTGGAGGTCTGTAAGATACGCGCAACACTGCAAGGGGGTCCAGCCTTGCCACCTTTGACGCCTTCAGAAGCCTCCCACCCCCGGCCGCCGGTGCTTGAACGGCCTCAGGGGTTTGGGCTCTGTAAGGCACCAGCAAGAAGCCGCGAGGCCGCGAAGGTGGGCGCTTGGAGGCCTTCCCGCCCGGCCATCCCTCGAGAAGAAGGGCCTGGGGCTGGAGGCCCCCCCCTCAAAAAGTTAGACCGAAACATATGTAAACGCATACCCTGAAAAAATGGCGATGCTTACTTGCTCGCTATTTTGAAAGATATTTAAGAAAGCGGAGCAGTATTCATACCGTGGGCGAGTGTGCTTGCTTCGCTATCGATCGGCCGAGTGATGTGAGAAGTCTGGCGATTGAGATGCGTGCGCTGTTAGTACTGAATGGCTTCCCTTAGGATCCGTCTCGTCTCTCGCTTGTTGATATTTCGAGTGGGTTACCTATGTGCGGGCATCGCTAAGAAAGCTCCGCTCGCAGTGCAAGCTTTTGCCCTTCTCTGCTGTTGTATGTATGTCGGGGCTTGGTGTGGTATGATAGGGGCCCAACAGCAGGGCACCCGGCCGCAGGTGGGTAGCATTCGCCTCCTAGAGGTCGAGGCGCGCAGTAGCCTCATAGAGTTGGCTGTAGCTTGTTTGCGAGGATTCGCCTGCACTTGGGTCCGTTGGGGCCAGCCTCTTTTCAGATGTTTTATCAATAGACATAATTACGATCACAGGGGGGGCTGCTCTACTGGGCGCACTCGAGCTACCTCCCTGTGATCGTCGTCACTTCAATCCTTTGGGCCTCAGGTTGCCCCAAGGTAACCAGAGGCCTACGGGATGGGTCTAGGTATCCCCCAGAAATGCCGCTGGGTCTAGGGTATGCGGCCTCCCCTACGGATGCCCTAAGGATATCCTTAGGAAGGCCTCAGGGTATGCCTAGGGTATCCTTAGGGCCAAAATCAGGTATGTCTACGCATGCCCTAGGGTGGCAATCGCGTAGCCATAGGCCAAAAAAAAGGGGGTCTCGGGCGCCTTAGTTTGTTCCATCCATTTTGGGACCGGGTCACTTTTTAGCTTGGGGCTTCGCAGTCATTATATTCGTAAGGTATGACGATGATCACGGGGATGCAGCCCTACTGGGCGCGCCCGAGCTGCCTCCCTGTTAGGGGGCGACATTTATCATTGCGGGTAACAAGGCTCCCCATCTTAAAAAAAGTCATTTTTGATCGGCCCGCCTTTGTAAACCACTTAGATAGGCGCAGACCATCTAGAATTCACCTAGCTAGGCGACGGATGTCGGGGACCACGAGCGCCGATGGCGAGGCATGAGAACCTCGCGGGGCCGACGGCTGTAGCGTAGCACCCTGATCGCCGACCCCGATCCCGGCCGAAATAGTCCAGCCCAGTCAGCTTGCTGGCCGTGGCTCCATTTTGGACAAGTTCGACGGATCTGCGCCAGTGTTCAAGGTCATCACGCACCGCCAGCGCCGCCACGCTCTCGCCCTCGATCCAGCGGCATGACTCCCAGACCCGGAGCTAGGTAGCTGGGTGCAGCCTCAATGAATCTATCGAGGTGGCCGCAGAAAGAGGCCAGATCAAAAGTGAGCTTTTTGACGATGAAGAGTTTTTTCCTCGGAATATTTATCTTTCACATATTTATTACCACAGGAATGATAAAAATGATCACAGCAGGGAGGCAGCTCTACTGGGCGCGCTCGAGCTGCCTCCCTGTGGTCATCGTTACCGCTGGTTCGCAACGATCGCACGGAGGCAGATGCTAGAGCTCATCATACCACGACTCTCTGACTCTGATGAAGGATCTTCTGAGCTCTAAATTATATACAAACATAGTTATATATAATCCGACGGAAACCGCTGGAGCAAACCGTCAACATCCGGATCCCACGCAGACAAAAATCACAAGCGTAACTCATTCTCAAGGAATTCAAAGCAGAGCGAGAGAATTTGCCAAAATTGTGGGCTAAAACATGATACCGACTTAGATTGAGATAGGAGGATGAGGCAGACGCAATTCACAACAGAATTCACCGATTTGGTCGCGACAATATGGTCGCATACTTTCTCAAGATACTATCAAGGTAATCCAAATTTCCAAAATTTCCTATCATTATCAGCAGCCAGAGATCGATCTCCCTATATTTTTGATAACATCATTATCAAGTCCCGCTCCCTGTGCAGAGGGAGCTGCATAAAGTGAGGTGCCAAGGTATGAGACTGAGTGGCTATATAAGGCGGAAGCGGATGGGTTCTTTGAACATAACCAAATCCGAGGACTAATCAATGGGCAAATTATGCACGCCTATCTTCATCGTAAAAAATAGACCTCCCTGTGATCGTCCCCGTTCCCACTGGTTCCTCGTATTTAGGAGGTTCATCCTGATACCATGATTCAAATTTCTGATCTGGTCTGACGCTGAAGAATCTTCGCGCCTCTAATCAGACGGAATACTATAGCACTATGCTTTAACAGGTCTGGCTGTGCCATTGATCTCAGATTAGATTTGGAAGCGATGAGCATCAGCTCATAACTACACTTATGGATCACGCACGGTAATGAATTACTGTCGTAGTTGTCGATCTCCATATATTTTTGATCACATCATTCTCATGATAGTTTTGATGTGCACTCTGCGGCGTTCTTCTGTATATTGCAGGAATCGAACAGACGCAGGAACTGAACAGACAGAGACGTCCCCACACGACGGTATAGACAGAACAATATGCCACACGGAACTCTAACTCGCGTTCTTAGAAGATGCGAATCAAAAATCGCTGTCCATCGATCTGGCAGAAGTAGATCGCGGAGTAGCGGTTGGGGCGCCCAATCTCTATAAAGAAGACTATACTGATTGAAAGCCTCCCCATGGAGTATCAGATCCCCATTGATTCAACACTCATTAAATTATTATGACCAAGACGCCTGCTTGAGTTAGCCATGCTCCATCGTCGTGTGGCGACCTAGTTGACGTTCCATTTATATCTTCCCGATCTATATGCAATTACTTTTCTCCTTCTCTTGCTCACAGCACTATTTCTGGCAAGCATGCCATCCCTGTCTCCCGATTCTGCATTTGGTTCTTTACTGTGTGAGCGAGTTGTCTAGGTAGAGTGCTACTACTCGTCTCTTTTTGTTTTTCCTTTCCGTCTTCTTCTTCTACTACTACTTCTTCTTCTTCTCCTACTTCCTCCGCTTCTTTCTTCTTCTTCTTCTTCTTCTTCTTCTTCTTCTAATTGTTCTTCAATCCCATTCACAATACTTGACAGTGCACCTAGCGCCTCCACACAGACACGCCTCCAAATGGATCCAACCGAAGAGTCTTAGAAGAGACAGGCAGCACTAGAATTGACTGACGTAAGATTGTAGCCATTATCGTTATTATCTTATGCCAGCCTTCAAGTAACTAATTATAAAATAAGTAAAGAGAATATCGGCTTGCTTCTCTTTACTTACTTTCGGACTACTTACTTTAAGGTTGCCACATATCTTTAAATTTATATTTATTACAAGTACAACTGACAACTCCAAAGCAATAATAATAAAGAAAGACACACCACTACACCTATGTATGAAGACAATCTAAAAACGAAATCCATCGGGGAAAATAAAGCACAGAACCTCCAACAAATGCCAATAAATTCCAAACAAGGAAAGGAGAAGGTACCAAGAAAAAAGAGCTAAAAAATAAGCTAACATTCATTATAACGGCCGACATAATAATGAGCGCCTGATCTGCTGCGATGGTCCCGGGGGCTCCCAGTAGTTCGATTTCCACTATGACAGACTCGCCGCCTGCCTTTCTCGAGATGTTATAACCATCACCAGACGCAAACCAGTCTAAAAGTGTATCACTTGGGTTTCTATCTTCACACGAGCTACCACCGCGAGATTCAGCGCGAGACTCAGGCAACCCCCTGGAGCAGTTGTGACTTCCGGACGCAGAGTCAGTTCTGAGATAAGCACGCATTCTGGCAGCAGCGAAAAGACGGGTCAAGAAACCGCGTCGAGTAGCGCTACCACTTCTTCGCCCTTCACCATCAACATCATCGGAATTCATCATACCACCGATACTAGTCGCTGGAGTAGAAGAAGACGCTGCAGTAGAACCTCCAAAAGCTCGATAGAGAGCATCATCGAGTTGCTGGGATACAGAGGCAGGAGTCGAAGCTGCTTCCGATGCAGTAGAGGTAGTCTCGAGCAGGCTTTGTTCAGTGTTGAGAAGAATCGCGCTGATGTTCTTGATTTCGTGCCAGCCTGAGGATACAACTCGAAAATAGGAATCAAACATTACGAACCCGGGGTCCTGCTTCCCACGCGGACGTGGCTGCCCATCTTCATCCTCATGAAGCTGAGCAGGCGGAGCCATGCCGTCACTCACCCAGAAGAAGCTTTTCACGTGACCTGGGTCGTCACTGATACCCCGGTGCAGGTAGCGAACTACATCTGCATGCTGATGCTGGCTGCTCTCAACATCATCCCGCTCCCCTCCCACATCCAGCATTGAAAAGGCCCCCTCGAGGTTTGCTGGAGAGGGCGGTGGAGGAAAAAGTTTCTTCAGAAGTCTCGTCTCTCTTACCAGAACGTCCAAGCTGTCCCTAAAGTCGTCATTCCGTGTAGTCAGTCTTCTTGCAGAAGTCGTGTCAGCATCTTCGCCATCTTCAGATTCGTCGTCTTCAGATTCGTCGGCAGCTTGATTGCCCCAATCTTGGACCACAGGAGCTCGCGGTCGAATGTTGAAATGCTTCAAGAGCGCTTCGCGTAGCCAGGTAGAAAGCAATCTACAATAGGTGCTGTCTTCAAACGGTTGCGAAACAAAATCCAATATCCTATCTGTAACAGAAAAGTCAGTTTCAAAGAGACTACCAGCGCGGGACCAGAGCAGGCGCTCGTTGGACAAAAAATTAATGCGCCCAGGCCCCCCTCCCGGCCCTCGCCTGATCAGGTTCTCGGAAAGATTCAGTTTGGAAAGACTCAGATTGGAAGCTGCTGTAACCAGGCCCCTTTGTCCCCCGTTTTGCTGATTTTGGAGCTTGACTTCGAAACTTTCGTCAGTGACGTGTCCCAATACCGATGCCGGCGGGAAATAGTCTTCCTCTTGTTGTTGTAAAAACGCTTTCGGTGGTATTGGCAAAGCTATCTTCAGCTGCCTTGTAAAATGCGTCCTCCCGACGCAAACGCGAACTCTGTCACCCAGTAGTATTCCACTGGGATCTAGACTTCGATTCGGAATCAGACTGCTGTCGTAGGTATTAGGACCCCACTGCCACACGACAGCTGGCGAAGATTCTTTTTCCGTATCCGCAACTTGAAAGAGCCCGCTTGCAGAAATACGGTGAAAAATCAAATGGAAATTGTAGGCACCTCCTTCTGAAGCAGCAGGATCTGCTCTTCTACTTTTTTCGATGATTTGAACTCCGAAATATCTCATTTCGGTGACGTCTCGCCCCCTTTCGTCCGGAACACTCCAAAGCCGCTCACCGCCTTCTTCCAGTTTCTCCACAATCCGACGCAGTTTTTTTCTCGTAATTTTTTCCGCAGCAGCTTCCGAGTGAACGATAACATCCTTCTCCGGCGAGAAGATGTAAATTCTACCCTTTCTCTCCAAGACATTGCTGCTATTGATGTTCCCGGAATTCGAGGACATCCAAGGGTCACCACCACTGCTGGCGAGAAGTTCCCTCCTCAGCAACTGGAAAGCCTCCATGCTCCCATAGCCAAGTGAGGCATTATTCCAAGTGCTACGGCTTGGTCCAAGTTCGTCCTCGAGCTCGAGGTCCACCTCCTCCGGGGAATTATTCTGATTTTCGTGCTCGGCTCGGTGTAATTGTGCATCTCTCACCAAAAGGTAATCCAGAAAATCCACAACTTCCGCATCCCACGCACCAATCTTATAAACGCGCACCGGTACAGCATCAGGAGAAGAATGGTGAGCGCCTGCGCCTGGAGTGTAGGATGAATCCCAACAGGGTATGAACTCCTCGTCCTTCTGCAGCAAATCTTTGCTGAAAACGGGAGCTGGTACTGGAGTTAAGACATCGCGGGTATCGTCCTCAGAAGCCAATCGCGAAGCCGCGATGGTCGAAGCCGTCGCGAAATGTGAAGAGAAGTTATACGCCGCGAATGCGACTTTAGCGCCAAACACTAGCCGGATGAGCCCCATCTTCAAGAGTCCGAATCTAGTATCCAACGTCTTTTTTGCTTATTAAAAAAAGTATATTATCAGTTAGATGGTCTAGTTAAAATATCAATTAAGTATGTTCTTTGCTTCAACTTCTCAAATTGTTCCCTCTTTCGCAAGACGAGCCAATGAGGCAACAATGTGTATGAATGCGACGACTTTGCTATCGATCCATCGATTGACTTCAGAAATCTGGGAATTGAAATAGTCTGTGAGTACTGAAAAATTGACTTTCCTTTAAAACGACCTTCTCTTTTACTTTTTGAAACTTCGAAATGGGTTTTTATATGTAGATATCGTCTCAACTTTCAGTGTATCTATCAATTCCGCTTGCAGTAAAGTCTATAAAAGTCCTTTTCTGCTGCTGTCTGCGTGTACGAGGAGTTGGGTGTAAGTACTTGGTTGCGAGGATCAGCAATAGCATGCGATTGGGGTTCGCTCGCGGGACCTGCCTCTTTTCATCTTATCACTTACCTATTTTTTACGAACTCTAGCATCTGCCTTCCTGCGATCGTTGATCTTGTTTGACTCTACGGAAGGATCTTATGTAGCGCCTCTAAAATCTAACCAAATCGGACGGAAACCGACGGTGGAAACCGTCAGCATACAGATCATCGCGCGCATAGAACTATGAGGACCAGCGTAACTCATTCGCAAGGCTCCCGTCAACAGTTTTTCCTTGCACTGAAATGAAGTGCCGGTCTCCTGGGGATCCAATAGACTTAGAAGATCATGTCGGACAAACGCAGAAGCATCAGTGAAAGCTTGGGAAGACAGAGCAGCTATTGGCAGGTTGAAGCCAGTTTAGAATTGAAGAAGCCGCGCAAGTTAGCAATCCGGGTTTGGTCCGGATGGAACATTCTCTGGCCTGGAATTGACACCTAAAAGCTGCGATCTTCTACTTAAATTGATATACATGTCTTTTCATTTGTCAACTATTTTATCGGAAAACTCGAAGATGAGACTTGTACGATTTTTTGGTGGATCTACTCATTAAAATTGATGGAGAGTGAGAATTTATATTAGCACGCATGTTGATTGAACTTGAAATGAGTCCGACCGGATCTTCGTGGTGGTTGATCTTGTTTTCGCTGACTTTCATTCTCACAGTTTTCGGCACGACCCCAGATTCTGCCTGGACAATTTCGTTTGCGGTTGTTCTTGAATGATGGCGTATAGAACTACTTTCATTTGTAGGCTCAAGCAAGTGAACTGGAGGAAACTAAAAACACCTGTGTAGGTGAATCTGGATCATCGTAAGCCTTACTTGTAATGCCGTTAGATTCAGGGTCGTGACGTCTCCCAATTTCTTCGCTAATGAGTGCTTGCAGCCGCATGCGGGTTGCTCTGCTACGTTAGGATTCGAGGCTTAGAGCTTACAACGCCTAGTCCATTTCCTCTGTTCATCTTTTCAGGTTTTCCCTTTCTCGGAATCTGAAAAAGAAAGTGGTGAAAAAAGGTGAACTATCAACATCATAGACAAGCCTTAAAAAATAACGGTCGTCGTGTTTTTGTGGTACAATAAAACTCAAATGCCTTATTTGCAACTTTGATGATCTTTGACACTGCCGCGTCCTGAATGAAGCGCGACCCGTGCCCTGTGGGTTCTTCGGCCCTGACCATGATCCATCAGGGGTTGCGCTCACCAAAGAAAACGGTGAAATTTTTTTCACTCTCGTTCGCCAACCCTTCGTCCAGCGCCAAAGCGACGCGACCCTCAAGTCGGTCCCTCCAGAAGGCGCTGTTAAGCATGGCGCACATGCCATCCTTTCCTCCAATCTCCTCGTCAGGCACAAACGAGAGCCACACTGGACGCCGAAACGACGGAGTCTTCGAGAACATTAGAAGTCCATAGATTGCACTAGCGTGCCAAGAATTACTTACGTAGTTATGGATGTCGTCAAAATTGTCGTCCAAGCTCAAGAATGTTCGCTAAGTAAGTTGTAAGCAGTCATTCACATCGTCATGGTCATGAATGTCCATAGTATGAGAACCTTCGCACTCGGCGCGATGTAAGAAGTGGTGATAGTTGTTGATATTATACTTGGTGTCCTTAGTAATACTCTCTCCAAGGCCAGAATATACTGGATGCACACGCATTTCATATCTTGTGTTCCGCGCGCGTAGATGCGATCCTCCCGCATCTTAGAGATAGAGTTCATTCTTCATCTCAAAATTCATCGGTCTTGTTTAAGATTTCTTATTTTCCCCTTACTATGGGAAAGACAATTCCAAGACCAAGCTTCCGAAAATGAGAGATTCGAGCACGCCTTAAGAATTTCGAGCGCGAATGGATCCGTCGACCAGTGTTCTCGCATGGCGGGAACCACATCCTAGTGGCTATTTAGCAAGATTGCATCCGCGTAGTTTGGGGTACCGTCAGGCTCAACTGGCTCTGTCGCACCTTGTCTAGAAGGAATGTGGACGAGCAACACCGGCTTGCTTGCAACGAATTCCTCCTCATAGATTTCGAGGTCACTGCGCAACGGCCGTAATTTCCGCTCAACAAGCGCGCGCAAAAATTGGACGGCTTCCCGGTATACGCCTGTTGTTGGTCCCTCTTGGGAGACCGAACGGAAATCCTCCATGTCTTTATGGTCTTTGTCACGCTATCAGATAACAGAAGACTATGTCAATAAATCAAGAAACAAGTGAACGAAAAATCAAAGTCATTTTGCTCTCGAGATGTATGATGCACTACATTTAATGCAGCAAAAACAGGATCAAGAGTCGGAGCATAAGGTACATGAACTCTAAATCTTGGAGCCTCAATCTAATAGATGCTAGGTCGGGGTGGGTTTGTCAAGGTGCACAAGGTCAAGGGGTCCATATATGTTCCAGGGCTCAGGGCGGGAGGCCCCCCCTCCCCCCCGATCTAACTTTTTGAGGGGGGGGGGCCTCCCCGCCCCGGCCCCTCTTTTCGAGGGGCGGCCGGGCGGGAAGGCCTCAAAGCGCCCACTTCTGATCCCTTCCCGCTTCTTGCATGTACCCTACAGACCTGGCAAAGGTGGCAAAGGCTGGGCCCTCTTGTGGTGTTGCGTGTACCCGACAGAGCTGGCAGAGGAGGCAAGGCGGGACCCACCCCCTTGGCGTGCTGCATGTACCCGACAGACCTGGCAAAGGTGGCAAGGCTGGAACCCTCTGGCGTGTTGCATGTGCCCAACCCTACGCCAAGGGGGTGGGTTCCCGCCTTGCCTCGTCTGCCAGGTCTGTAGGGCACAGGCAAGAAGCGGGAAGGGGTCAGAAGTGGGCGCTTTGAGGCCTTCCCGCCCGGCAGCCCCTCGACAGACCTGGCAAAGGTGGCAAGGCTGGACCCCTCTGGCGTGGTCCCCCACAGATCCATCCACAGGGGGGGGGCCTCCCTCCCTGGTACATATATATACTTACGTAAGTGGAAGCATCTTCAGAACGCGAAATTGACCGACATGGGTTCTTAGTTTTTTTCTAGCATCGTCCATCATAGCAAGCATTCATCAGCGATTCCAAGTGAAATAGATAAGAAAGTCCACCAAAGCAAGACATGATTATGGTGGGGGGGAGAGGGTTGTAACAAACTAGAACTTAGGGTTTAGAGACCGCGCAACAACAGGATTGGAATCACCTTACACACTTGCTGCTAGAAGGATTTAGAAAGACGCCCGTAGCTACTAGTTAGTAGCTACTTACTAGTTAAAGATGCTGCTTGCTCAAAGGGGAGTCTGTTTTCTCAGATATGGCTGATCTAACACTCGTCAACCAACATGCACTCCGATCCATAGTTGCATGCAGGGACCAAGACTCAGAGTCCATCCTACACAAACAAATTACCAAGATGATGCTGAACAAGCTTTTTTTTGTTAGTAGCACATGCCGGTGATTATACTCTTCTTGCTTTCTATCGCTTGAAATAGAACAGATATCCACTGCAAAACAATGTAGAGTTGCATTACGTCAATACTTAGGTTCGCCTAATTCGTATCCGTTTGGGTCTTCCTTTACTCATCTTTTCGTGGTTGTGCTCACAATTGATCCTGGGTAAGTTCTGCTCTTATCTTTGCGTAGTTGTCGGGGGTAATGCTAGTGGCGCAACATCAAAGTCGGATTTGTGATGGTCCTACTTGTTTGGGTTTAGGTGACTTTCGTTAATAATGATGACAGGACTAGATTGTAGGTCGCAAGGTAAAATATCCCCTGCACTAGAGCTTAAAATTATAAACAAAGAGAAGTTTTGTGTGAGGGGGAGGGAAATGGTTGGAGGACCTCCTGTAAAAGTTTTTTATTGGTAACCGATGAAGTAGAGGGATGGTGTCAGGGCTCTGTGCCATAAGCACCACCTGCAGCCCAGAGCTCCCGGCACGAGGAGAACAGGTGCCAATCTGTGATCCTCATAGAATTAGAAGGGACTTTCTTTAATAAATAATAGTAATACAGACATGCTAGTATGTCTACATTCGAAGACCATTCTTCTCCTTCTATTTCTTCGACTTTATCTGCTTCATCGCTGTTTGATGGTTCAGGATAGGATAGATGCTTCACCTTTGTTTAGGATCCTTTTCCTTCGCAACACTTTAAGCTATTAAACGCACCTTGCCCATCATCCAGAATCTCAAAAGAGCTCTTGCCGTCGAAAGTAACTGGGACGATGCGCGGATCCATCTTGTAGTAACCCCAGTCGCCCTAAGGCCTCATCTGATCTATTTGTTGCAGTGACGTGTCAGGCGCCTGATCCACGCCATCGGTCTCATACCCTTTTTCCCACAAATTATGTAGGAGTCTTCTATGCAGAAAGGAAAATAAATAAAAACCGCGGTCATTCTCCTGTGGAATCTGCAATCCTGTGTGTTGGGTGCACAATAAGCTGCTGCAAAACGTCACCATAGTGCACGTCATCGATGGTCTCGGAATCGGGACTAGCGCCACCATTGCATAAGCTGTACGCTCTGCCCAAGTCCACATATGCTCCTGGGTTTTCCGTTCCCGATGGTTTCTCAAAAATGACCAGTGGTCGGTTGCTGTACTCGGCTTCGTTGTCCGTGCCAATGAGCTGGAAACTCTGCTGAAAAAAGTCTGCAAGTCGAGACGCAAATACTCGGAAAGATGAACTATATAAATATGTAATGCTCCTTTATATGATGTGGATACGGTTGAGTCCCCATACAAAGCTTCAGTGGAAATATGAGGAGCGAAAACGGATAAATGGAGCGCACATTCAAGGAAAATCATCGTCGTAGTAATGTCACTCTAAATGTTTAAGTTTCATGTTTGGAAGGTATGTCGTTGCGCAGTTTGGGTACAACTTCTACAAAAAATAACAACGATGTCAGCTCCCTCTGCATTCTACTATTTGGTTGCACGTGAAGAAAAATTGGATCAGTGAGGTTGATGAATGAGGAATATTGGTCAATCTGGGATACAGATTCAAAGGATATTAATCTGGGATGCCAAAATTGCGTTTGCATGTGTCGCGGACCACGAAGTGGTAAGTGACGCGGTGCCGGCCGCGAAACCTCCTACTTGCGCCACTCACCAACAGGAACACATCGGACAGGATTACATCGAAAGCGCATTGCGCCTGCCTTCAATCGTCCAAAGTCTCTACAATCATGCACTAAGAATAAACCGAAAGAAGTGTAGTAACACTCATTGTTCACCTTTTCATGATCTCCCTGAAGTTCTCAAAAAGCAAAAGAAAGTGTAGTACAACCTATAATTCACCTTTTCATGATCTCTGTGAACTTCTCCAATGTGAGATATCCACCCTCTGGCACCCCAAAGTCCGTCATGATCCTCAGCAAGTCCTTCTTACCGTTCTCGGGAAAGAGAATTTGGAGATCCCTGAGGTCAATGCGGCCCGACCCATCCGCGTCCAGCACTTGGAAAACGCCTCTGAAGTGCTCGTCGCGCATCGTGCGCCAATCGAGCGTTGCGGCAATGAATTCGGTAAAGTTGATATCGTTCGAACGGTTCAAATCCACGCCACGCCAGGTCGATTCCAGAAAATCCCGAGGCACACCGAATTCCTAGTGAGTAAAGATGAGATGTCGAAGCACATCGAATTCCTAGTAAGTGAAGACGAGATCATGATGTCGCTCAACTATTACTATAGAGTGTATGTGCAACGAGAGAATTGAAGAATTTATGTAGCTGGCAATGAAGGTGACAACTCCCTTAAGAAAGCAAAGTCATAGAAGACAATGACTTTCTTCATCGCAAGCACGGGTAGAAATGATCTTCTGATGACTGATGAAATTAAAGTAAGTACTTACATTTAACATAGAGATAGTAACATAGTAACTCATACCGTGTCTCCCTGACTTTTCATCGCTTGCATGAACTCTGCAACCGTGAGGGTTCCGTTGCCGTCGATATCTAGTTGCCGAAAGGTTGCTCGATGCGCCGCTAGCTCCGCATTATCGGTTGCCGTGAGGTGCGCCAGTACCATGATGCTAGCGCGCTTCAGTAGTGGCAGTTGTGCGAAGGCGTCCATCCTCGTAATCACTTCATCCATACTCAACCGGTTATTTTGTCGTGAGCCTCCTGTAGTTGCTGTAGGGTAATTCATCAAATCTTTTAAAAAGGAAGAAATCACTATTCGGGAGTTGAGATGACAGAAAACAGAGACAGCTCATTAGCGAGAAAATCATCTTCGCGCCGCCATTTAAAGAAACTGTTGCAGCTTTGCGATTCCACTTACAATACAAATATATCAAGCTCCACCTACTTCAGCCTGACCGACAAAGATTATACGTAGACACCTTTTCCCGAAGCTGCTCGGCCCACGTCGCTCTCTACTATTGCGTCGAAGGCTTTTTTCACAAACGGGTGCTCTAACGCTTCCTTCGCATCTATCCTGTGGTGGTGGTCACGCTCCAACATCTTTTCGAGCAAGTCATACGCATCCGGGTCTAAGCCTTTCCTTTTCTTCCGCATCTTCTTTTGGAACTTGCAGAAATCCATCCTGGGGAGCATCTCGGCACCCGTTTCCCTTTAGAAACGGGACAAAGATGACTGGGAAGATGTATTTCCTCAAGCCTCAATTCTTTCTCTGGTGTGCCGGATTCAGAATCTGCGTCTTCACCTCGTCATCCTCGGCCCCGAGCGTGAAGAGCGGCTCTCCAAACATTAGAAGAAAAAAAGAGTGCCAGAGATAAAACCTGTGTTCTTGGTAAGCATCTTGGTGCTAAGAAGCAAAGCATCTTGGTGCGAAGATGGAGCTAAGCATCTTGGTGCTAAAGAGGTAAGCATGTTAGTGCTCCTATTGCTAAGGCACTAAGCGTCTACTTGGTGCTCCTTTTAACATTTTGGTGCACCCTGTCCCTTCGAAAAGGCATGTGTGTGCTCCTGTTGTAATTATTTCGCAATTACCGTAGAAGTCTCAAGAACTACCGATTACGACTTTACCGTGATAAAAGAGCTTCTTTGTACTAGAACTAGAGAAGCGTAGCATGTTCTTCTACACGATGAAGTTCTCCAGGCCTTACTGTTAGCATGATGTACAGGATAATTCCGAGACCCCAAATATCGACACGCCGGTCGTACTTCATCCCAGCGAGCATCTCTGGTGGCATGTATGCCACTGTTCCACGCTCACCCTCTATGCAATCCTCATCTGTCTCTTTCAGCAAACCACCCGCTCCCGCGCAGACATTAGATAGTCGCATAAGGACAGGAAGTCTTCTGAAGGCATAGGTAAAAAGCTTTAGTTTTAATACGACCCAGCGATCGGCTTGAGGTCATTACAGTTCATTATTTTGAAACTTTTTTTCTTCACAGTGAAGAAAAGTTTCTATTCACAACACTACAGATACACAACCAGAACCAATACCAATTGTATTAACACGTTGCATGACTACAAGATCATTGTATTAACAACCAAGACCATTGACAACCAATAGCAAGTGATCATTGTCATAACAGTGCTGACGGAGAGTCCGAGGTCGATCAACTTCAGACTCGAGTTCTTATCTGCAGAGGCAAACATGAAGTTCTCTGGCTTGATATCGCGGTGCACGATACCTAGACTGTGACAGCAGAAAACTGCTTTTAGCATGTGCTTCAATAGTCGCCCCGCCTCTTGATTGCTGAACTTCCCCTTTTTCCGCAGCACTTCAACGATCCTGTGAAGAAATGTTGAAAAAAACAATGACGAGAGACGATTTGCAGAAAACTAATCTTGGGAAAAATACTCGAGTAAATCCCAAATGGTTTTAAAAATGGCCTGACCGAAATTCCATGGAAAAGGTGACAAACTACTGTGGCTAAGGCACGTCGCCTGTTTCAGTATTAGAGGATTTAGCAGTACCGGTCGAAAAGATCCGGGCCCCGGCATAGTTCGAAGACAAGCACGATATCCTTGCCGTCGTCGAAATATTCCAGCAATTTGACTATATGCGGGTGGTCCAGGGTTATCAGGTTTCGAACCTCATTCTCGAACATACCCCAATCCGCCTTTAAGACCTCCTTCGACAGGAATGAAGCGTGACAAGATAATACTTGTGGCGGAGCAAACCTAACTAGGAAAAAACAAAAACCAAGAAAAGTAGATTGTGGAAACCTTGCAGACACTCTACTCAAAAATGAAATGGAAACCTTGCACCACTTGCACGCATTATTACCGAACTAGCTGGTGGGATGTTCGACTTCATAGGGAATCTACTGTACTAGGTGAGGTGTAGGAATTTATTCAAATAAGTACCTTAAGTTGGAAACAAGCATAAGATTCGTTTTGCAGCTCGATTGACACCCGTGAGCTTATGTCGACATTTGAAGACAGAAGCAAAACCCCCTTCGCCGATAGCTTTTTCTCCTGAGTAGCTGTCTTCGAACCGCCGCACGCTTTCACGAATGTAGAGTCCTCTATCCATGCGCATGGACTTTACTCGCTCTATCTTCGGCAGCTTCGAGGAAGGGCCTGCGTCGTCCTGTAGTTCGTCCGCTTCAGTATCGTCGAAAGAAGGTTCCTCACAAATGCTCGTCTCAGTAGATGTGGAACCCACACAACGATTACCACCTCCGAAGAGGTCTTCTTCCTCACTAGACCTTATTCTAGTCGAAGTAGATGGACGAGCAGCACTCTCGTCATTATCGCGTGATCCCACACAACAAGAGGAAGTGCTGTCCACCACATCACAATCGTCTTGTCTGGGTTCTTGACTTAGTCTGGGTTCTTTACAGTGCTGTCGAGCATGAGTACAGCCGTCTTTTCTAGCCGATTGAACAGTTGCAGGAGTAGCCTGAGTTGCTCCAGCCAAATCCCAGGACCGCACCTCGCAAGAAACGAGCCCTTTTTTCCTCGCAAGAAACGAGCCATGATCGCCACTCCGCCTCCTCTGCAATCGTGCAGCACGCAAAGCACGACTGAAACTCGTCTTGTCGAAGCCAGTTCGTCTCCGAAAGAGATGACCGGACGTGCTGACATTCTCATCGATCGTCGTCCTTGGGCACGACCTTGGTACAACTACAAACCTCAGAAGAGGAACTTCAGATTTATTACCATGGTGGCAATTAGCGACTGCTACTCTGCGATGCGAAGATTGCGACAACGCTTGTCCTTCTCCATGCTTGTACTTGCGATCCACAGCGACAAAACGCTGAACATCGTTTGTTCTCCGACAGGACGAAGGCGAAGAGGGCGTGGCAGCGTCCTCACGGAGACAACCCGCAGAACAGCCGGCAGCTGCAAGCGGACCTAACGTCCTTGCTGTGCCGGAAATAGATGCAAACATTATTTTCTCTCACACGGCCTGCTTATACCTATTCAAGACGGAAACAAATCTGATTTTTTAACGAGGAAGGAAGATCACTCTCCTGTCTCTACAAGCTGTAATCAATGAGGACTGTCGAGGACACCTCACTAGCAAGAACATGCAACTTTTCAATGGTGACCTATCGAAATAAAAGTTGTGGAATCTGAAGACTCAGGAACACTGCGAGATGGAATAATTCCTAAATCCTTCCCATATTTATCATATTACATATACACGCACCTTCTACTACATCAACACTGAGACTCATTAAACACAACGCCTTTATCTATGTACACTAGGACTTCTTCTTTACATGTTAGTCACGCTAGCATCCATTCATATATTCATGATCAACACAACCATCCAGAAAAAACTTGAATGGGCTGAGTATCTAATACTTACACAAAAGCTGCGTATCTAATACTTACACACTTTGACCATCTGTCCGGTTACCGAACACTTTTCTAGAGAGTTATCAAGAGCAAAGAAAATTCAGTGAATAAAAAAACTCATAAAATATGGAAAAGATTTTACTCATACTGCATGCCTCAAAAAAGTCGGTCTTGCATAAGATGTCATCAAACTTTCATAAACAGGTCTTATCTCAAGCGATTTCCGAATTTTGCCCAATAAACTACTAGGATGAGAGATCGTACCAATCAATTCGAATAAAAATATCTACAACTATCTACACTTTACTGGGGAAAGACCCGTGACACGCGCGATTGAGGGTCCTTTCTGTTAGGGTGGCAGGATCAAACAAGATTCGAGATCCTGGAGCGGGATGCAAATGAAGCTGGACTCTGCAACTTGAAGAACTCTAGATTAGACACGCTTTGTGGCCCTCAGTCCCGATGTAGTTCATCCTTTTCTCTGACCAGATTCGCCACCCCTCATACATCAACTCTTGCGTACCTGTACAAGTAGAACATCCTCAACACGTGCATCTTAGTACTCATCGCTCCCTGTCCTCTCGATGTGCTTCTTGGCCATCAGATTTTGTATCAGTGACATCAATGCTCTCTTGGAAAGACACGGCAGCAGCACGTGCCTCGTCTAGTGTCTCGTGTTTCTAGGAGAACACAGTTCATCTGTCCTTAGTTTTTTCGTTGGAAAAATCTTGCTGACAACGATCATATGTTGTTGCCAAATTATTCAAGCTGAGTTTTAAAAGAGGGTAGGAGTAGAGCGCTTATGTCCTTGCCCTTGCTAAAATAGTTGGTAGATCAGGTATTGGGTCTTCGTATGCTTCTCACCAGCAAGGTACTAGAATAGGAGGGAATCCATCTCATATGACAGATGGACGCAAAGGAAAGCTCCTTCATTCCATTACCAGAATGTAACTAACGCAGCCATCTTCTCCGCTGTGCTCCGTGTACATCAATCTTCATAGAGCTAAAGGTTATTCGAATCAGTCCTGGGAAGGGCACCGTATGCGCCACTGATTCGCGTCAGGCATCGGCAAGGCTTTAGTCTAGTACAACCAATCTTCGGGAAGCGGCTGAATTGGGTTGTTCCTAAGTATTTCCTTCATTTTCTACGCGTGTCTGCCATGAAACTATAATGGGTTACTTCTAGTAGATCTCTCTGTTTTTTGTTCCCTTAATCATGTCTCCTCCTTGCATTTCACCAGCCTTGGGGGATGGCGACGTAAGGCAAGGTGTTTCTGTTTCCGCTCCTCATCCCGGTAGATCGTTGCATGTCAAGCATTCACGACGCTGTTTCTGTTCACCCAAGCTCTCGAATATCTTAAATATAATAGGATAGGATAGGATAGGATAGGATAGGATAGGATAGGATAGGATAGGATAGGATAGGATAGGATGCCTCCACTCCACCGCCACACAAGGTGGCTGCTCCGCTGCGGCGTATAGCCCCAAGGAGGACTTCTTCTACAATATCAAGATAGACATACAATGACATTAGAGTTAAATGGGCTGCATCTACATTTCAGCGGAAAAAAAATCCAAAAACAAATATAGCAATCACATCGACTTGACAAGGATATCTCGATGATTGATTCTACACACTGCGCTAAAAAATGAAAGTTCATGCTACGATGTTATAGACGTTTGTGTTCCCTTAGAAAAGAACACGGTCGAACTCCGCTGCCAGAAATCAGTGCGTATTTACCATCTTCACAGGTTCAAATTATAAAAAAATACCTATCTCACGGGGGAAGGTAGAATTCTATTTTTGCGCTTTGATACACGTGACCGCAAGGAGCGTTTGAAACAAGGGCACTTACTAGAGAGTTGGTATTCCTCTTCTTGTGATCGGGATATTAAAATCATACGAGAATGAACGAACAACAGGCATATATCTCACATGATTGACGTGAAACTATGTTCGTTCTAAATCTAGGTGGTATCACGGAAAACAGAGTACAACTTCTGTATTGAGTAAATTGCGCGAGAAGCCCCTCAGGATTCAGCTGCATATCATTCTACTTTCTAACTCGTTGTATTCCTATTAGAGTACAATCTGATAGTATTTGATTGAGTTCCGGCAGGGGAGATATCTGCCAGGAGTCGTACCTACCTGATCATAAACAAGTAGTGAGTCTTCACATGAAATATTTGTGGGGATGCTCATCGCGCGCGAAGGAGCGACCGCATGGCCAGGACAAGCTATCTAGTGTCGGAACACCTTGTGCCCAAACACGGAGAGGATAGCTTAATCCGGCCCTCTAGAGCTTGAACTTGGTTGTATACAGATACGGCTGCGCATCTGCAAAGCAAATGAATCAAGAGAATATACACAGCTCCTTGAAAAAGTTGAAAAAGAGCTCAATTCATGATTACAAATCTCACTGCTAACGGTAGAAGGGAAGTGCAATAGTACAGGTGGATACCCTTTTGATTACAGTTAGGTTAGGATTTAGCTACAGCTATAATTTCCCTTTTGCCAACATAAAAAAGGTTTCCAATTCAATTCGGAAAAGCTGGTGCCACACAACCACCCCACGGATTTTACTAAAAAGCAAGTCCCATCCTCACGCCGCTGCAGATGCCGTTTTTGTCGCCATGAGCTCTCGCATGCGACTTTTATGTTCTTCTCCGATCTGCTTCAATATTTCTTGTATCCGATCCTTTTCTATCTCTAAGGAGTCGATTTCCTTTACGAGCGCTTCCCGCTCCTCAGCGGCAGCGTCTGCGGGGAGTCCTCCAAGCCGGTTCACGCACTCCGTTTGCAACTGCAACGTGTCAGAGATCTGGGTCAAGATGGGGTTGCTCGCGTTCAGTTGCGACGTGAAAATGCCGACGGCGCGACTTGTTAGAGCTCGCGAATATCCATCTTGAAACTCATCCTGGACCTCTTTTCCACATGAAAAGCCACTTAGAATGACTTACTTCTCTAAAGATGGATCATTAGAAGGAGCCTTAACTTTGCTATGTCCATCTCGGCTGCGTCGCCGCGTTTTGCGGCAGCCTCATAGATGTCCATGAAATTACTCACCTCGATGGAGAGGAACAGCGTGAGGAAGTTTCGAATTCCGAAGCCGCCGCATCCTGGTCGCATCGTGGCAGCGTCCTTATCGCACACACGCTGGATAAACTCGAAGAACGGGGCTTGCTGTCCTGGTTCCTGCATCAATACTGGGCAAATTAGAAAAGGTAGGAAGGGACCTAGGTAGGCAGGAAGGCAGGAAGGTAGGTAGATACGTCGGTATGTGGGTAGGAACGTAGGAAGGCAGGAAGGTAGGTAGATACGTAGGTATGTAGGTAGGTAGGTAGATAGGTAAGTATGTGTAAATTGGTATGTCGGTAGCACAGTATTCAGGTTCTATTCTAAGTTGACAAATGCTACCCGCTAGATTAGCCTGGATTTATCCATTCATTTTTACCTCAGAAAATACTACAGGAAACTATGCCTTAACTTTGAGAAGATTTGCAGAAGCACGTCCCGACCTTGCACGTCCACGAGGATCTTGTTCTCAACGATCCGCAAATATTCTTCTTCGGAGAAGGTGTCGCCCATCATTTCGTATAGGTTGCGATAGCGACCTCGCGACACGATCTGCACGTCTTCTTTCGCACGGTTTTGCTTCCCGGACGAGGAGTCCGCGGTACTACGGGATGATGATGACTCGACAAGAACCTTTTCGACCGCAGCTGTGTCAAGGTCGAATCGCACAACGTTGTGCTCGTCAACGAATCTGTGCTCTCGGAGTAGACTAAGAATTTGCTCCCCTCGCTCTCCTGTCTTGCCACTCCCCTCAGGATCAAAATCTTCCGCCCTCAAAAATCCGTAGTAGCTACGAGGAATGTCGAGGAAAGCGAGGCCCTCTCCGGTAATTTCGCGGAATCGATTCGCCCGCGCTATGAACGCGGGTAAATTCTTCACGCGCGAAGCAAAATGCTGCACGCCCTGACCCACCTGCTCTAAATAGAGGTGCACGTGCCCATGCTCCGACAATGCGTTGTTGATCGGCAAATAAATTTGGTCCTGAATTTTGTATCAAGATGCAGATGACCTCACGGACGATGTCGAACAATAATATATCTACAGTACTATAACGAGTTGTTGATAACACGAACATGAGATATATCTGTATCAATCTACGTAGAAGTCCAGTTTGAAAATGAGAGCCCGTATTTCTACGCGAATGTAATCTTTAGCTATCGAAGAGGCTAAACCTTCGCTAGTACCATTCTTTTCGATACCATTCACTAGCAAAGGAAAACGGTACCTGATTCTTGAACCATTGCAGTTCATCGTCTAGAACGGTGCTAGGTTGGTTTCCCGTCACTGTTGACTCAATCACCGCTTCGCCAGCACCAACGACCCCAGCATTGAAATTCACTTTCGGCTGAAACCCAAAAACATCAGCAAAAGTTTGCAACACCTGGTCATGGAGAAAACAGAAGAGGTGTGATGCGATGGGGGCGGGGTAATGAGGTGTAATAAAGTCGTACCTTCACGTGCATCTTACCATAGTCTTTCAATCTGATCCAGTCGTCAAGGTACAACTAGCTTGAATCTCTTGAAGCAAGAAAACTTCGGCGGAATTCGAACACCCATTCTTATAATATTCATACCTAAATCCAGCTACATATTACTTAGTTCCTTGTTTTACAGCAAGAATGGCTCGTACCTGTTCCCGGTTGAACACATTGCTGACCCAATGGTCTGGGTAGGCCGCACAAACCGCTCCGTCTGCAATGCTGTACTCCACCGGCTGCATGCCTGGCAGCGGAAAGACTCTGCGATAGGCCGACGTCTCCTCCACAAACCGCACTACAGTTCCCAAATCGGCCTTGTTGGAACTGCCTTTTTGGTAGTACGCGTACACCTCTAGAATTTTTGTCGTGCCGTACGTCCGCGGGAAGCCCGAACGAATAATTAGAGCTCACCCTAATCCATCGCGAGGTTCATCTTGGGCCTATTTTTCCCTTATGGGACAGGTCTGAAATGCTTCAGAAGATGGATTGGGGCAAGCCTTAAGATAAGCACAGGATGGGTTTTGCGGTAGCGTTGGATCAGTTCGTCCACGCTCTGCGTGTAGAAAGCGAGCACAGCGCAACCCTGGCGGTGGCCGTGCGCTTCAAAAAACTGGTTCAAATTCCGAGGATGGAAGTGATCGAGCGGTTCTCGCATGCTCAGTTGTTTAGCACCAGTGTTCTCCTGCGACTCCTTTTTCAACCCGGTGACCACGATTGCAACTCCCTCCTTGGCATTGCTGTGCGCACAGACCTGTGGTTGTGAAAGTGAATATAGAAAAACTTTTCTGCCAGTCTGCCTTTCCGGGCAGATCAAATATCTTGTCATCAGCAATATTACGACGCTGTACTTCTAGGTCTATTTTTCTGAAACCTAAAAAAAAAAAGTAACTCTCTAATAAATAATGAAACTTTGAAATAATCGCATTTCTAAGTCCTTCATCTGTAGTACGTGGAAGCTGGTGCTATCCTCTCCCTCGTGCACGCCCGCTATCCGCCAACCGGCTCCTACAATCATTTGCGTAACCACATCCTGCCCATGAGGCATATAGTTTTTAGGTGACGGCCCATCTCCGCCATTCAGTTTGAGCCACTCCTCTCGCGCTGCACCTTTATCCCCAGACGCGTGTCCTCCCTCAACGAACGCATTTAATCTGAAAATATTGGTGCAAGAATCCAAAGTCTTTTGTTTTAAGATGAGGTACTAGCTTGTTATTGTTTTAAGAGGACAGGTCATCAGGTTGGACTGCGCATCACTCTTCGTCCCGAGAAGGTACAACACGAAACAAAACAATGATTGCGGAGAATCGACATCATGCCATAGTCAGTTATACGACTGGGTATTCACTCATCCATTTGAAAGACGTAGCAGCTTTCAGCTGACTGGTTCCATTGCGACCGGAATAGAGACAATTGCCAGTGCACGATAACCATATTACCAATCACAGAACTCCATAATTAATGGGAGTAGAAGTACTTTTCCTCGATCATCTTGTATTCTTCCAGCGTCTTCAGCTCGTTGACATAGAAGTGTAGGTGATGGAACTTCATCTGGTTTCCCAACGTGTCCGGGACGTTAGCCCCGAAGGTATTGCTGCCCTTGGAATATGGGTTCAATGCGGCCTCGCCAGAAAATTGGCGCTTGCTATTCTCACTCGTCATCGCGTGCGGATCGACTACCGTTCTCCCTGAGGCAGAGCCTCTCCTGCCTCTCCGCGTTGCGGGTGCGCTCCAGACCGCAGTCCCGTTACCCAGCACTACGCTGCGATGCTGCGAACCAAGCAGGCGGCTGAGCGTAGCCATCGAACGCCGGTCATTGCCATGCAAATGTACCACGATTCTTGGTTGCTCTGGCTTCGCAGATGTCAGCCAGCGTCTTCCGACAGCCGACGCTGACGACCCACCAGAAGTGAAAAGCCGCGGACGCACGACCTGCATCTTCTTCCCGATCTTGAACTCTGTACACGATAGTCTCCTTGATCGGACTGCCAATGATCTCTAACCTTGATCGGAATAACGCTTTGAAGCTAGGCTTACACAGTCTACTAGTAGATGTGTTTTTCTAAATCTCAACTATGAAGGAAAAGAATACTGATACTGACAGTCGCTCGCAACATCCACGAAGTTTAATCATTAAGCCCACTTCGTAAGAACGGAAAGGACTACTAATTTCTGACACCCTACAAATGAAAGAGAGACTACGATGACCCACCCAGACTCTAAGATTTTTAAAGAAAATCAAAATACTGCTCTCCTCAGCTTTTATCAGCGGTTTTTCATTCACCATACACGAAAAATGAAGAAAGTAGACGGGGGCGATTTCTAACTTTTGGAGCACAGTCGTCAACTCGATACAGCTGGCCTAACCTGCAGTTTCCTAGTTTTGGTGGAGAGATGGTTTCTATGTCAACCCGAGAGAAGATCTCGTTAGCAAAAATGAAGGCACACTAGGGATACAACTCACACCGAAAAGAATCGGAAGGTCAGAACTTTTCCGGAACTTTTCAGACACAACAGACGTCGTCTCTCTCACTCTCGTTTTGAAGGAAGTCACCACAGATAGACTCGTTTTTAAAGCAGATGACTCTCTCTCGGTTAGCAACTGAGTACAGATAGAGTCCCTCACAATTTTCTCGTTAGTCACACGGGGTGAACACAGTAGAATGAATCACAGCCAAAAATGAGTAAAGCAAGAGTTTCTACTTTTGAGCGGTATCTGATGCTGCTAGTGACAACAACTTATGTTGAGAGCCGACCTCGAGTAGAGCACACTAAACTCTACCTCCTCATAATCTGAAACCGGTTGTAGATTGTTCTTACAGCAGCGAAAGATCATTCTAGCAGCGAGGGAAATACGAGACCTCTACCTGTTTGTGTTTAGACCGAGAATTCGCGTTTCGTGACGTTCATGAACACCCACTGAGAACCACGTGGTATCTGATTACCCAGCAACTGCAGCCTCAGTTAAAAAGTTGTTAGGTCTACACTTGACCTTGTTAAGTAATCTTCTCCAATGCTGCTCTACTCATCCTATGATCGTATTGTTTCTACGAGGTGCGTTCCCATGGCACGTCTCGAAATCTCGATGCAAAGATTTGGTCTTCACCAAGCGCAACTGCATCATTGCCCTTCTTAAGTATCCACACCGCATGCTCGTCTCGTCGCGACCACCATCTGCGTCCGCCACTGCCACTCTTGGCGAAGGAATTTTGCCGAGACGCGCGCCGCGTCTTGAAGCGCAACCCGTGCCGGAAATAGGTTGCCCCACTTGTCTTGCAGCCGGGGAATGATCCTCCTAAAGAGAGTAAGCTGAGTCCGGAGGAGGCTGCAGCAGCCGCGTTGCCCTCTGCTGTACCGCTATCGGACAATGTTTAGACAACTGCTCACTCGTTTTACGAATTCGTCTCTTCTTCTGGTAGTTGCGATGCGCCGACAATGCTACTATCAGCAGGAACATCGGAGTCAGGTCGAGCATTAGCTAACATCGAATCTTCTGCAGGGACATTTGCAGCTCGCTCGAAGGCAGCTAATACTGCTCTCCCCTCGCGCGTGAGCCTCGTGTCTACTCCCGTCGGAGGGGGTTATATTAGATTTGAGTGAATTCGTTCGGCTTGAGAATACACCTTCACATTCATTCTACTACTGTTCACGTTTGTCCCATGATAGATTTTGAATCTTCCTTACTCTTCGCCAGTTTCCACTAATGAATTTGCTGTAAAGTGTGCTCTTTGCCGCCACGCGCGAAAGCCACATTTTAAGGTGTCACGTGTTCGCTCCATGTCATAGTTGTAGCTGAAGTACTTAAGACCACAAGCCTGAAATATTACAAAGAGACCTTAACTCTATCACTGTTGGGATGCTCGACTGAGATTCAAGAACCTTTCCGGGTATACCTTGTTCTTCTGGCTGCTTGGTTATACCCTGATCTGCAGCTTCCGTCGCACCTGCTCCAGCACTAGTATCAACACAGCTTGAGGACGCTGAGAGCGACTCGCCTTCGCTGTTGCTTGACGAGTCCACATCTAGAAGCTCGGTCGACCCTGACCCGGCTGGCAGAGGCGGAGTCTCACGCGGCGCAACCAGCAAAGCTGCGACATCTGGGATCGGAGATTTTTCAAGCAATAAAATAGGTCCATATACAACTTCCACTACGTGCATCCATCCTACAAATTCTGAGTCAAATTCAATTCTATCGTAGAGCAAGTGTGTGCTCTGCCTTACATAAGTCAACTTTCTTCAAATAGTCACTTTCTTTACACGATAGCATGATCGGCAAAAATCAACATTCCAAGGGGTCAATGACTTGTTACTGTCGGTAATCGCTTCTGTAGATGTTCCCGGAGGGTTTCGCACTGCCGCGCTTGGTGCTCCAGCATCATTTTCCGGCGGAAAGTCTTCTACCTCTAACCCTGGAGCGATTCTCTGCATTCCTATGGGAGTTGATCGCGGAAGCATTAGATCCACCCAACTGCATTACGTAAATTCAGCGTAAGACAAGTAAGCACTCAACAACTTGAAAGATCCTTTACGTGTTACTTTCTACTCGAAAAAGCTGAAGCTTCTTCTACTTGAAAACAAAGAAATTCAAATTTCCTATCCACAGATCCACAGGAATTGTAAGTTTGTAAGTGGATCACCCATAAAATTGAGTTCGATTCCGAGGCCATCCAGTTATTCAGCTTCTGTTGAACCCATGGCTCCGGTGCTCCGTCATCCGTGTCGTCCTCGACCTCGTCCTCTAGCACATCTTGATCTTCTGCCGATTGTGGCTTCACCTTAGCGCGAGAAAAGGACACGATATTCTGTGAGTTCTTCCAAAGAGGGGAGACAGAACAAAAAGCTGCTCTAGTTCTACTTCTACTTGTTGAAACACTACGTCGCCCTAGTTCTATAATAGCCATTTGAAAGACAAGTTTGATAATTTGTAGCGGCTGTCTCGGATCCAACCAGTCTACACATTGCTGCTCATCCGAAATTCTTGTTCTTTTGTCGTAAGTGCTTCACTCCCCGCTGCTGCAGCAGCAGCACTTTCCGCAGCTTCCAGATCGCGTTGCCGCGAGCGCTGTCTCTCACGTACTGCCGCCTTCATTTTCAGCACGTTCTTCTTCCAAACCACGCGCTTTGCCCGCTCGATCACTCGAAGAGTCATGTAGGATGCAAGCACCACACAAATGAACAAGGTCAGTCTGAAGATACTTCGTGGGTCTGGGTAATCAGATCAATTACAAGGACACCTACATTGAAATGAAAATAAAGTTGTGCTCACGAAACTTCTCAGACCTTCCTGCTATCCTGATTCAAAGTTTTGGGAGAAGTTTGCAAGCATAATGAGGCCTACTAGGAAATGTGTTCCCGGTTCCACGATCGACGACCGGTTCTCGCTGTAGTTGCCCGAGGGCATCGCAGTGCCACCGTCGCTTTGCGAATCACGACTCCTGCTCGCATCGCTCCCCGCCGCGCCAGTGTAGGACAGAACCGCGTAGACAATGACCATGAGAAGCCACAACCCAAATGTGCATAGCAGCTCTTTTTTCTTGATTGCGTCCGTAGGCGCATCATCGGGACAGCGAAATAACAGCTTGAGAATCAGTATTGAAGAGGGTCGGGATTCATCGGAGCAAGTCAAGATTCCTCCTAGAACTAAGACAGAGCAGAAAAACTGCTCGTCAACAAAAGATGGAAGCAAGTTTTATACTATCAAAAGTATTTTGTGATCCTGCTATAAAAATCTGTAGCTTATCGTTAGTACTAGCTCGTAGCAGTAGTCGCTTACATCCAGTTAGTACTAGTAGTAGTCGGTTACAGGATAATAGACATTCCACGAGACATAAGAACAACACCAGGGCCAAGATGATGGGGACGAAAATCGTGTTCGTGAATTGATCCTGCTCAATCTCGAAGAGATACAGCAGGATCAAAAAATACCACCCTTGAAGCAACTCGTCGTTGAAAGCCCATTCATTGCACATTCCTGAGTGACAAGAGTTATTTTTTCTAGTGGTTGAAAGTGAAACCATATTCATTGCACATTCCCGATCCCGAGTAGGGAATTCGTGGTATGCAAAAACCTGTGAAAAATGCACTCGACACAACAGATCTATGAAAGGTGTCTAACCAACATGATCATAGCAAGTTGACGAGTTTTTTCTGATACGCTCAAGAATACCATGTATGATCAGCAGCAGAAGCGCGTACACGGTGAGCATGGACTCGACCTTGTACCATGCAGCAACGTCCATTGATAGATGCGTCCCGCCCGCATAGGAACTGTTAAGAGAAATGAGGGTCAGCAGCCATTTTCGTCCTCATCTTCTTCTGCATCTTTCCATAACGACTCAGCAGTCGTCTGAGATTTCTTTCATTTGATTTGGCCGCTCTAGACTTTGAAAAAATGCTTCCAGTGGAGCCCTAAATAGATACTTACTCAGACCATCATCATGTCGTCTCAAGTAGCACTACGAGTCTACCGGCAAGACGAAGCCATAACGTGAAGACAAATTAAACATGAAAAGATGCCACCACGTCGTAGTAGATACCTGTAATAGTCAGCCTCCACTCGATCATTTGCTTTGTGAATGTGGTACGTGTTGAAGACAATCCACAGAAAGCCCAGCACCACAGATTCGTAGTAGTAGCTTTTCCCGTATGTCCAGATCCCGAGTCCAATTATGCTCCCGGAAAGCATTAGCAACACTTTTTTGCATCATCCTGCTGCGTTACGTGACTCTCATCTGATCCTCCTCACTAAATTCATTCACTCACGTGCCCCACCAAGGCCAACTTTATTTTTGTATGCCAAGACCGCCGGAAGGGCGATCCCAGTTATATCCAGTTCGTGACAACATTAAGCAACATTAAGCCTTTCGGCAGTATTCAACCACCTAACGGGTTCTAAACATCTTGATAACACTTGAGTCCCATATTAAAAAAAGCTGTGAGTCTGCTGATTTCGGACTCCGATTGTGAAATGGTCACCGAGAAATAGTAATAGCTAGCCTATTAATCGTGAGGCGCGATACAAAACTACAGAGTTCTATTTGAGAGTAGAGAAACTCGCCTTAAAACAAGTGTGGTTAGCGTCACTGCAACCGGCAAAACGTCGAGCTGGTGACGCTTAGCGTCTTTTTGGAACTCCAGACTGTACGCATTAGGCTGTCCTCCGGAACTCATCTTTTGCGAATGAATGAGTGGGCCTATCAAGGAACAGGCGTTGCAGTCAACGCACCCGCAGAGAAGCTAGTTCCTTCGACTTTTCTGCCTGATTGTTCATTTGCTATATTTTTGGTCCTTCACTGACGGGTGCTTACTTGTTAATTAGTTTCGATTTGATGCATAGTGTAATGTGAGGCTCTACCTTCTTGCATCAATGAAAGGCCGAGCTACTGACCGTGGGCTACATTCTTGCATCACAAAAAGAGGAAGTAACTTGAATGCAAGGATAAACCGCACAACAACTCATCTCTCCTGTTCGTTTTGAATACTTTCATCGTTCTCATCAGCATTATGCCACTAGTATGCTTCCTTTCGTTTCAACTTATCCCTTTCGTGAGCTAAGCGGGTTTTTTGGAAACTTTGAAACTGCTCATCGAACTCTTTCTTACAATCCTCCCATCTCTCAAGCACCCCTCCGCAACCAGTAGTGTGACACGGACAACTTCTCACGCAAGGAAGAATTGACCTGCTGGAATATTCAATAAGAGCGGGAAATGTGAACAGACTTTGATGGTACAGCTACTCTTGCTCGGTACCCGCAATCCGACCAGCCTGCCACAGGAAGCAATCTCCCAGATCCTGATTAGCGGCTTCAGAGATTCCAGGCCTGTGCAAGTAATCGCCTCAGCGGAACACTCCCAAGAACTGTAGCCACGAACTCCTTCCGTTGCGCCTGAAGAAATTTCAAGCGGTATCGTGTAAGAAAATTAATAGGTAAATTCAATCCTCCTTTACGAGCGGTTTTTGACAAGCAGTTTTTTGAGCTCGAATTCAGTGGTCCTGTATTACGCCTATGCAGTCTGTCACCTCGTTGTTTTTCTTCGGGTTGTCGCGGCAGCAGCATCCACTTCTTCATCTGGTTGTTTACGGGCCACGATTTTGTCTCTGCAAGGCTGTTTAATAAACCAAAAGAGCACATGGCTTTATTGAAAGTTCGTGCTAGGTAAAAGTACTGATATCCTGACACCAGTCGTGTTCCACCTAGTTAGAATAATGATGATAATGATGAACCCAGCGAGGTGAATTTGAAGAACTCGCATATTTTTCGCGAGTCCGTCGCCATCCCCTCTTTTTGAGCCCACCTTCAAACTAATTCCGGCTTTTACTGTAATTCAACATTATTTTCATTCTCTTCAAACATGAAGTACTTACTTATGTTCTTCCTCAAACATGAGGAAACGCTGTTCTTTTGCAATCGTCATTACAGAATGGCGAAATCAATAATAGCGGTTCGCCTCACATCTATAGTTTTCGCAGTTCTTCCCATTCTTGTCCTCAGTCCGCTTGATCGAGACGGACTCGGACGTTGTACTCCTAGGGTTTAGGAATCCTTCATCAACATTTACTTTTAGCAAATTATAAGGGCCTTCCATCAGTTTCTCCCACTGCGTTAGATACATACTCACCCGTAAAAGCAAAGTCACAAATTTACTTCTAATTCATCTCCTGGCCGCCGATGTGACAGAGTGTGACCTACGGAACGTTCTAACTCGTGATGATGTGTCTAGGAAGAAGTATTCCTATCCGAAGTGGTGCTTCTATGCTGGATAATCATGTTCAACCGACATCAATGAGTTTCTTCATTCTCGATAAATAACATGACGGACTACTCTGTGACGACATTGTGTATGTCGTTTCTACTTCTTGATGGCAAACCACCAAATGAGGAAGCCAATTAGGCCAGCGCCCGCGACACTACCGATAACAATGCCTGCAATCGCTCCGCCACTGAGTCCATCATTTTGCGGGGGAGGCTGCTGTTGGCCCTTTTGTCCTTGCTGTTGAGCGTTTTGTCCTTGTTGAGCACCAACGTTCCCCTTCACCAATCCGGTGACGTAGATGGCCTCAAAGAAGGCGCCCTTCGGCAGGATCTTAACGACTCCATTGATCTGAACACTCACCCTTTCCTGAAGGACTTGCTGGATGAGATTTTCGTAAAACTCAGCAGTCGGGCCCCCATTCTTGAATCCTGAGTTTTTATCACCCGCCACATTGCGTGGCCAGTAAATCCCTCCACCCAACTTGTTGAACAAAAGCACGCGAAGAGGTCGGCCCCGCTCCAACTGCTCACGAATGGCCGCGTCGATGGCGCCTGAGATCGCCGCATGCACGCCAGCCTCAAAAAAGCCGAAGTGCGTCTGCGCGCGGGTGCTCAGCGTGCGCGTCATTGAGCCCCAAGCAGAGTTCCCACGGTTCCCGTTTGGCGCTGCAACGAACAGAAAAGCGCCGAACTGCCTGCCCCCAGAGGCAATGTCCACGTAACGCCCATTTTTCTGCCGTCCGAGACGCGGGTTTGCCAGGACCCAACAGTCCGCAAAGGAGTAGGGATTGGTGGTGGTCGTGTAGTCCATTTGCTGGATAGTGCGGTTATCGCCTGGCGTGTTCGTTTTCATTCCCCATGCACCCATAAGCGTCTTCTGATACATCGCAATCATTTTGGCTTTCGCGATGGGGTCGGTGGCCAATCCTCTGGCGGAGTGGACGTACCAGTTGCTCAGGAGCGACTCTTCCCCCCCGTGCTCTCGGTTGATCTTGATCTGCTCCGTGTTCAACGGGAAGCGGTAGGCGACACCGCGGAAACGGTCCGGCTTCGGAATGATACTGGTTTTACCTCCGGGCAAACCATGGTTTGCGGGGACCACGATCCCCACCTTTCGTGGATCCACCCTGTTATCGACCAGGCCATGTGCGAAATTCTGCAGGAAGTCTTCTTCGTTGGTTCCCTTGAAAAAGGTCGGCCCCGTGACCACCGCTCCATTTTGTGCCGAGCGCTCCGCCAGCGTGAGCGAATCTTGGCCGATCGCTGGCACTATGACTCTGAGCGGGGAAGCATCGGCTCCAGAAACCAAAGCAAACTTTTGACGGTTCCACTCATTCTCACCCATGCGCTCCCAACCGCGAGGCCAATAGCTCAACTCAGTGCCACATGTGTCAGCATCAGCACGCCCTCTCCATAATCTCGGCTGCGCCGCGGCGCCCTCGCTGTTCAAGACGGCAGCCAGCAGAGCACCAGCCGCGAAACCTCTCTTGTTTGAAAAAAGAGCCACCATTTTGTCTAGTTCTGGAAAACGTCTGTTTTGTAACTAATTTAAGCGGACAGCGAGAGGTCTTCTAGTACTTTCTGTAGAACTTCTTCAATATCGCTTCTTGTTATTCTTCTGTGTCTCGCGTTTATCCTGATAGTTTAGGTTGTTTATCCTGATAAACTTCTGACGCTAGTACAGTAAATTTTTCAGTATCTAAGTTTTGTGTGTTCTAGGTAGAGGGTCAAACAAATCTAATGAATTCGAGATAAATAACAGTGAGGCTAGGTCCAAAAAATAAAATTATAAAACGATATGACCCAAAAAAAGTCAGTCTGAGCAGCCAATCTACCACAACTTACGACAAACTTATGTCAGTAAACGGAGTAAAATTGGTTTCAGACTTGTGATTTCAAGAAGCGACTTTTTCAGTTTTTCCTGTGTGTACTTGAGTTGTACGTAGTTGGGTGTGTCTTTGGTAAGCAAGACCGCAAAATGTGAAAAACTTCTCTTTGTCGTTGCAAGGCCTGCCAATAGTTGATCTTGGCCAGTGGAAACTGTAGTCGAATCCGTGAGTCAGCTAATTTCACAGTAAGATCTTCTGGTCAGTTATTAATTCGATAGCCAGACTTTCTGGTCCGTTGAGCTTTGATCATAGCTGGTTGATTTCGTAGTCGGATCATAATCAGTTCTTGATCTATCTTCTTGTAGAGAGTTGATCATGCTCTGTTCCTCTGTAGAGAGTTGGTCATGCTCTGTTCCTCGTCATGATCTGATCGAATGAGGAAAGGATCTTCTAGAGTTTTGATTTCCTGCTTTGCTGACAGGTTGTCTGCATTACATGTTCCAGTGGAGACATGCAAGCGAGAAAGAGACTATTTGTTGAGAGAAATTTGAGCTGCGCCCGTCCTGCTCTTTCTTAGCTGACGTAATTCGTGTCAATAATTACAGAAGATGAACCAAGCAGCATACATTTCATTCCCGACCATTATGCCTTGTTTGTCGAGTATCCATGACATACATAATGCTGCTCAGCGGAGGCCGTGCATGACTGTTCACACACAGTAGGTCTCCGTAGAGATGATGACGATGACATGCCCAATCCGTAGACGGGTGTGAACTGTGTCTGACATGTTTAACCCATAAACAGAAGAAGTATCAAATAGGACCTTTAACGACTGGAAGCCCTTCTATATAATGGTTTCATTAGAACCTACATGCTCGACGTCGTTCTGGAAATAGCCCTTCTGTGTGACTTCATTAAATAACATAAATGCTCGACGTCGTTCTGGAGAGATCTGAAAAGAAATACGGTGTCGTCGGAACTATGCATGACGAAGACTGAGTGGATCCCGACTCGTCCATCGCACCACCTTCGTACGGTCGCAGGCGAATTCGCGCCAGGCCTTGTTTTGATCGCCGCCGGTGAAGATGCGCTTGCTCCCTCCGCAATACGCCTCACGCCACGCATCGAAGTCTGCTACTGATCGTGGTTGTGTCATTCCCGACCTTTTCAGCCTTGCGACTTTCGAAAGCGAATTAGAATAGCGTGCTTACTCCACATCGACGAACCATACTCTGCCTTCACAAATTGACGACAATTTTGATGCCATGTTCAAATTCCTGATACTAACTATGTAAGTATACTAGTAGGCTAGTATACTAGTAGGGTAATGAGTAGCTAGGAGAAAAACACCCCCTGGAAAATGAAAGCATGACAACAAGTGGAAGTCGTGCCATGATACGCAGTGATAAATTATCAGAGCTGGTGTCTTCATTGCCTCCCAGGGAAATCTATGCCACAGGCATGGCATGAATGCCATAGTCACGACCAGAGGTAGTAAGTAAGTGACTAATAACTAGTCCAAGGTCAACATAAACAAAGATTGCCGGTCCTGCATTCGATCTTTGGCTAGTTGCAGGGCAGCCAACTCCGCTTCGCAGCTCTGGACGTTCTTCAGCCTATCTGCAATGACCGGCTGATGTTGGAATCGATTCATAATTGTAATATTATCTTTAGACTTGTTCATTCGCTCAGTGATCTGTCGTACAAGTACATGATGTCCTCCACTAGTTGTAAAAGTGAATTCGTTAATAATTCGACTTGGGTACTGCCCCGAATGTACTTGCACTTGTTCCCGTGTGCACTCCATCCTACAACATAGTACTATTGTTGAAGAAAAAAATACATGCTCGCCGAAGTCTTTAGATCGTCGTAGAGCTGGATGCGATATGCTTCGGTTCATTTTCTCCACGTACTTGTCACTTCGAATCTGCTGTGCCAAAAAAGTGCCCAACTGCAAACTTTCCTGTCGCATTTCTCTGTACAAATCGATTTCCTTCGTAGCCATCTCCTGTAGAAGTTGAGGTATTATCAACATGTAGATGAAGCAGTACGAGCAAGTAATTCAGATTACTAGTAGCAGGTCAGATTATACCGATGAATTTGTTCACTGAGGATCATGTTTTCGTGTTTTTGAGTTAGGTTCTGGAATCCGCACTTATAGTTGTCAAGGATGCTACTTCTGCCCTGAACGAGTATATTAAGCAAGCGCCAAAATATATGTTGTCCCTTCTAAAAGCCTCTGACATCTTTCTTTAGCATGATGGTAATATTTTTGCGAAAAAAGGGGCTTTCATAAACATTGCATGAGCATAACCTTGCCCTGAGCGCATCAATGCGAACAAAGTTGCATTTGGATTTTCGCAGGCAGGTCCTGAATTATTAGGACTCGCTCGAACTACAAAAAAAAACATATTTGCATATGTATCTATAATTGAATTGTTCACGTACCGTAACTCTTGGCAAGAGGCGGTCTTCCGTTGTCTCCGTTTCTTGGATCTTCTTCCAGGCCTCGCCTCGCAATCGCCCTGAAGGCCCGTTTGGATCTTTTTTGATGGTACTACCCAACATTTTCTGTACAATTTTTGTCCACTATGAAAGTAAGTGTGGAGTGGGGTGTCTACCAAATGTATACAGAATATAGGGATACTTACTTACACTTCCTATGAAGACGAGCTTTTCGTGTTATGTGGGAGTGGAAATCAGGATAGAAAAAGATCAAGTGGATGAAATGACGACAAGGAAACAAGAGAGGCTGGGGTGAGTGAGCAGCATGAATGATTAAAAATTTCCTCAACATGCGCCAGAGACTGTTGCTAGCCTCTGCTCATCCTCGCTTCCTGATCGCATCACTCGCGTTTCTAACAATCACACTGATCTGTCAGCGCCTAAGGCATAAGTGGCACCAGAATCCGACGCACTGTGAAGATACGCAGAACGACGACCATGGCTGTCAATTACCGATGATAGAAAATTCAGATTGACTCATCACTCTTCACCGATGTTGTCAGTACAGAATCGTGAGGTTGTGACCATCAACACAGACAATACGCGTCCCTGACTAATGCCTGCTGTCGTACGTACAACCGACTACGATAATTTAAACAGCTTTTAGCACTACCTCAGACACAGCAAACACATGCAGCTAACACTTGCGGCTCTTCCAAGTTCAATAAACAACTTGGTGATCGTAACGTCGTGATGTAAGATGGTGAGAGGGGAGAAGAGAGGATCTCATTTTCTTGTCATACGCAGCAACTATTACCAACCATCTTGTACTTTGTGGCTCGACTTTGTTCAGGTTATCTGTGGCAATCCCCTTCCCTAGGCATTATAAAGGTGGAACTTAATGAAGGGATACTTTTATGAGGGGGAAAATTGCCACACGCACAGCGGAGGAGCATGATACGAGACGAGGAAACACGAAGAGACTACGCAGGCAGGTAGCTACGCCAAATCCACCCCAGCCTTGACGCCTTTATTTTTTGGCTTTGCTAGTTGTACACCCTTGGACAACAGGATCGACTTGTACTTCGAAACCCAGAACGCACTCTGTCCCTCGCGGTGTGGAGGTTGCGACATGTCCTCTAAAAACGGCAACGCTTCGTGCCAACCGACTGGATGCTTCAGAAACTGTACAGGTGAAGAGCAGGTGGATGGGTAAATGGTGGTCCACAAGCAGTCTAGATTAGTAGGTAGAAGAAAAAGCCTAGAAAATCATAATTACCGACTTTGCTTCTAGGTTATCATGTACCACAAGAACGAGAATTTTCGAAGCTAACACTTATCGTAAATATTCTGTCAAATAACTCCCTGTCAAAATATAAGTTTAAGTTATAATCAATGTAGTTGAAGTAGTAGCCATGACGCGGTACAAAATCTTTGCAGTCTGCGTCGATGTCCCTCGCATCTAGAGCGCTTACTATCCGCTGCTCCAGTATAGGGTCGGCGCCTGTGTTAGATGAGTCAGCTTTTATGAGGCATCCCGGGTCGGCCTCCTCGCTCATCTTGACGCCATATTTGGCCTGGTATTTCTTCATGAGAATACAACAAGGCAAAAGGGTACCAAGTAGATGCCGAGAAAGATGGATAAAAGCTGGCCTTAACTGTGTCTGCTACTTCCTGAATATATTTGCGCATCACTGAGGTCCAAAAGGATGACTCGTTGTCTTTTCGTGCTGGAATTGACTGATCTTCTAGCATTGGCAGAAAGTGCGCCCACGTCCACGTTTCCCGCTCATAGTAGTCAATGCACTGCTGGTCACACCCCCGCGAACTCACAACTTAGAAGGTGGTGTTCTTGATGTTGTGGCCAGAGATCAACATACGAAAGTATGTTTAAGAAGTCATCTACAACTTGCTGAGAAATTTACATAAAAACTCATCTTGATCATGTTCTGAACAATTGGTACGTCGATGTAGGTGTAGCTGCATTTTCAGCTACCTCGTAACATGACTTTAAGAGTCAGTTTCCCAAGATAGAATTCATCAACACGAAGTTTGTTGTTTAAAGCTTGGATGCGGACTTCTATACAAGTGGAGTAAGAGTCCAGATGATCTGGTCATAAAGTAGGTCTAAGACTCGTGACCGCATCTCTTCGTGCTGGAGCGGGTCGTTACCGTGAAGAAAGGGCTCTTGAACTTCGGAAAGTTTTTTGGTTCCCATTGTTCCCCAATTCGAGCCATTCCATGGTTTAGTTAGACTCAGCCTTTATCCACCTTGGTCCCCTCATCTCGGACCCTTTCTTACCCTTGTAATAATTCATAGGAATAATACAAGGCAAAAGGAGCAGATCAAGATGCCCAGAAAGATGGACGCTAAATGTTGACCATAACTTAGGTACTGCCGCAACAGTCTCTAAGCGCTGCCTTTTTGCTGCTGGCAAGAACGGTGTTGAAGCGCCTCCTATCCCGCCTCCCACGGTCCCACCCGCAGAGGACAACTCCAGTTGGGTGATGCGCAAATTCAACCGGTTCAATATGAAAAGAGAAACGAGGACGCGTAGTTGATGGCACACAGGACGAACGTCGAGTAGTTGGTGAAATAGGGACATTGAGCAAGTCGTATGACGCATTGGTGGAGTAAGAACTCGTTGCAGCGGTACTATGCGAGGAGAAGAAGAATGAGTACTAGAGCTACTTTCAGGGAGTACTAGAGCTACTTTCAGGGCAGCAAAGAGTGGTACTACTTTGGAGTTGTACAAAGAACTAGTTCTTTTATCGATCAGCCGAATGAAGCAGCCGGGTGTCTACAACAACGGAGGAAAAGTAGATCGATAGGAGAGACAACAAGGATACTCTAATTCATTCATTCATTTTGAAGCACGTAGCAGCCTTCAGCTGCCTGGTTCTCCCCTAAATCTTAATCAATTTCAATGCATGTGGCAAATAAATAGACTTCGCACGCCATAACAATTACTGCACCTTGGTCTCGCACCTCTCCCTCTAGCGTTCGAATGCGTGCTTCCATAGCACGATTGTTCTCGAACAACCGCTTGTTCAGATCTGAAACTATAGAAAGCACCTCCATTTTGATACAACTCTCCGTGTAGGTACTTAAATAGAAGTTGAAGTCAAGTCAAAGTCTCTCCTTTACTTAGTTATGCTTATGGGTCGTTAAAAACGTCGAGTACTAGAGTACTAGTAGAGCAGGGGCAGCACTTCTAGATAATCTATGTTGTAGAATAGAGCTCGGAAAGTCGCAAAAGCACAAAAACAATCACCCGCTTATTGAGATACTGAGTCCATGACTCCGATGCCCTTATGGAGGTCGAGAGGAACTGCTACTTCCTGCTTGTACGGTTTCCAGGAGAAGGACACTGACTGTGAAGGTTGTATCAACAACACGGAGAATCAAATAATGCAGATCCGAAGACTCTTGCATTACCTTCTTCCCCGCCAGTATGGTCAATAGTCCTGCTATCGTAGACATGCCATTTCTAATGCCAGGATGATGCAAACGATCTCATCTGCGACCGGGAGCAGGCGAAACACCTTCAAAGTTACAGGTAACAATACGTACATGCGCAACGAAATTCAAAATGAACAACATGATACTAGATGCATACACTAGTTATGATAATTACGATTCCTTCCGGTATACTTGTTCGTTCTGTGGTTCAGCAGGGTTCGTATGCTCGTGTTGGCTGATCAGAGTAGATACAACAAAAGGTACAAGATCCTTGAAGACACCTTTCTCGCGTGATCTTTTTATAGACTGGATCATCACCGCATTCAACACTACATCACTCATTAAATCTGAAACTTCACGTCAGCCTAAAAGTCCACTACGCAAGTGACATTTCATCAAAGCAGTGACGAATACACAACCTATCCGCATAGTAAAATGCCTATTTTTTGTCGGTCGAAGACAAATTGACTCATCCTCTCACAGCAGGGAGTTTTGGTTTATTCTTAGCTGCGTAGATCAAACGTTATGCTCATTTTTACCCGTCACTGTTAAAAGCATGGCACTCCAAAAGGTAGGAGTATGGTACTCCACCGATGTTGGAAGGAGTTGGGAAGCCAGGGCGGCGGAATACGTATATTAAAAGCGTGGAGTACGATCAATATTTTCTTCGAACTTCTGCGTCTACTCAACACAGTCTCAGAAATTATAGCTTGACGTCGAATTGCCTAGCGCAAGACAAATGGTCACCCCCTTATTCATTTTCGGTTTTATACATACTGCAGTCACCTTACTCGAATTACCCAATTTCTTCCCTACTTCTAAATTTTTTCAAGTGATAGTACTTACTTTAAAGATGAAAATGCGGCGAATCATTAAATCTATAAGCGAAGCTTAGAACCAGCTGAGAACCAGGCGTCACCCAGCAAATGCGTAGCCAGCGAGTCGGCGGCATAGCTTCGTCCTGTCCGCGTGTTGACTGCAAAAATCTTAAGATTATAACCTTCTTTCGGCCTTGTAGAATCGGGCCGACACCGTGTTGTTCATTTCTCCCCCAGCCAACAAGAATATCATTTTCATCTTCCAACTTCAATCACATCGTCTTCAACCTCTGTGATCGAATGTTGGAGTCTTCGACGTTGTATCTCCAGTCCTCGACGACAGCTAACATCCTTAGTGGAAATCGCGCCCCCGCGAACGCGAGCGCTTGCCTTTGCCTTTTCCCTTACCCCAATCGCGCCAGTCCTTGCCGCCACCCAAGCGAAGCTCGACGTGCCTGATGAAATGTACACGTCGTGCAAGGGCACAGAATACTTGTACTAGCCTCCGCTTATTTACAACTTTCTGTGAAAACACATTTTTCTTCACGACATAATTACTTTAAGAAATACAACAATACAATCCGACTTCTTTGAATAGTACAACGAGCCTCAACATCCAACAAATATACAGAAACATAGAAGCATCTTCAAAAGATGAAATAATAGTGGAACTGGTTGTCATCAAAAAGCTCAAGGGTTACTTTTTGAGACGGCTCATCCAATATGGGCTTTCGTCACGACCGGAGTCGCGGTTGGGAGGTAGAGTCTCATCCTCCACAGACGGAAGCAAATCCGCATGAAAATCGGGATTGGATCGCCAGTAGTCCAGGCAGCGGTGGTCGACGCCTCGTTCTTCCAACTTATCAAGAACCCTCTTCGTGATTTCCGCCGCACGGTCCACACTTCGCTGGGACACTGATCATATTTAGAAGTAATAGTGCTGGTTATGCTTTTTATTTGATTTTAAGAATTCTCGAAATGAAAACGACAGTAGTATAATTGTTCGTAATCAAACAGGAAAAAAAAGTCACACTACTTCTAAAAGTGTAACCTTCGATGCAAGAATTCAGAGCGGACTAAATCAAACACTTACATGTCAGTCAATCAAATTCTTCGCAAAAAGCATCCTGCTTTGCAGGTTTAAGCATAATTTTCCAGAAAGAAACCGATTCTATTCACGATAAATATAGACAGATGATACCTCCCGAAGTGGCAGTCGCGCCGGAAAGCGCTCCACCATCGGAGACACGAAGCATGTCCTTCTCCAGCGCATTGATTCTCTTCTCCTGGTCTGCGATCTTGTCCTCAAGACGCGTGATCATGTCTGTAAGCCTGTCCATCTTGTTTTTCCTCTGCTGTCGGTCCTTTTCTACGTCCTGTGATTCTGATAGTAGATCCTGATCTGCTCCACTTCCTGGGCTTTCAGAGGAAACCCTCTGGCTATTCATACAACTTGGTTCTCGACGTCGGGGTTGTAACAGTGGTAGCTGTAGTAAGAAGTTGTAAGAAATCGGAGGATCTGGCTCGGGGCTGGTTTTTTTTCGTTGATGAGGTGCTTCGTCCGCCTCACTTCTAGAACCGGTAGAACTGGGATCTGCCGTTGTTCTCCCGCCTTTTGTTGCGTCGTTTGGTTCTTCAAGACTTGTTCATCGACTCTACGGAGTGCGACCTGATCTCTTTACTACAGTTAGTCTTCGTCTATCCTTTCACTTTCGCAAGAGCCTCTGCTTTTCTAGGCTCTAATGTTCCAGGGCTCAGGGCTGAAGCCCCCCCCCCGATCTAACTTTTTGAGGGCCCTCGCGGCTCCTTGGCGGTACCCTGCAGAACTCAAGCCCCGGAGGCCGTTCAAGCACCGACGGCCGGGGGTGGAAGGTTTCCGAAGGCGGCAAAGGTGGCAAGGCTTGACCCCCTTGCCGTGTTGCATGTACCCGGCAGACCTCCCGCGCGCGGGCTCCTCACTGGAGTAGTTTCTTGCGGGGTGGAAGACCTCCGAGGGCAGCAGGTGGCAAGGCTTCACCCCTTTTGCCGTGCTGCATGTATCCGACCGCCACCAGGCGGGCACGCCTTGCCCCCACTCCTCCTCACCTTTGGCCCCTAACCCCCCGGGCGTTTGATGGCGGCTACCGGGGGATGAGGGCCAAAGGGGCCAGGCCTCGCGACCGTGGCCGCCTTCGGCGGCCTTCTACCCCCGGAGGCCGTCCCCCTGATAGGGTCCAAGAGCCGCGACGCCTGTGGGGCACATGATAGGGCCCAAGAGCCGGGACGCCTGTGGGGCACACGCGGAGAGCGGCAAGGGGGCGCCGGCTCCGCCTTTTGAGGCCTTCGCCCCCGGGAATCCTCACACGCCACCACCGCGGAAAAAAGGGCGCGCCGACGCCCATCCAGCTCCATCCACAGGGGGGGCCTCCCTCGCTCCCTGGCACATATATGCTTTCGGGCTGTACGTCCCCCCCGTGGTCTGGTCTGTGGTGGCGCTCACGCGCTCTTTTCCGCGCTGATTTTCGCGGATCCTAGTGGTGGAAGGCGTCAAAACTGGCCGCGGGCGTCCCCTTGCGCCTCTCTGAATGTCCCGCCGGGTCCTCCGGGCCTCTGCTGACCCTCGCAGGCTGGAGGCCTCCGGGGTAAAAGGCCGCCGAAGGCGGCGACGGTCTCAAGCGCAAGCAAGCCGACGACCAAGGGCCCGGAGGGTACAGGCCGCGCGGCTCAGGGGGTCCAGCCCCTCGCCTTTTGCCGCCCTCGGAGGCCTTCCACACCCGGCGCACTGCTGCGGCGGCGAAGCATATCGGAGGCATGTAGGGCACAGGAAGGCACCTGAAGGGGAGCAGGGGCGGCCCCTTGGGCCCCTTCTAGAGCCTTCCACCTTCGTCGGAGGCCTGTAGGGTAAAGCCAGGCAGCTGGGAGGGAGCGGAGAAGGCCCCTTGGGCCCCTTTTGAGGCCTTCCACCCCCGGCAGACGGCTCCCGAAAGGGTCCGGGGCTACCGGTACCCTCCTCCCTGCGCTAGGGGGAGGCGGTACCGTAGCCCTGAGCCCTGGATCATATATAATGTTCGCTGGACCATTAACCTCAAATCCTGGCTAAATCATCAACCTCAAATCCTGGCTAAGAAAGTTGTAGAAAGAAGGATTTACTGGATGCTCAAAATCTCTGGCCTGCCTATCGATGAATACCCACCAGGAAACCTTCCCTCATCCATCCTATTCTATTTCCTGGAACCAGTCACCTACTTCCTACTCTACTTCCTGGATCTATCCACATTCGTCCTCCCTACATCCTTGACGCCCTTGACTAGCTTTCAGATCCAAGCGGTGCTTTCTGAGCCTTGATCATCTTGGTCGCATTAAATTCACTGCCTGAAAGATCCTAGACCGCTGAAGACGAATCGCAGTATTTCGCACCAGTACATCTGATGTAGCCGAGAGCGAAGATTTCATCGTTACTAGTCCTGCGCAAAACCGATAAAAGTCGTGAATCTCCATCATCCGGCTAGTCCTGGAGACCATCACCATCTTCATCCTAATCATCATCCAAAGGGCGATGTCAAAACCTTTTATTTGCCACTGAAAACTGAGTGACTTCACTCTCAATCTAGTTCGCGGAGTACTTCTGATTTTACAGCACGACGAATCGCAAGGATTACTTCTGATTTTTGAAGGCCGTCTCCTGCTTCAGCGGTAGGATTTTTTGTGTTCGATTAAAAAACCGGAGCATCTTACTGCTCTTCTGCCTCATGATCATCTGGCCGCTGCGTTGTAGGAACTTCCTCTAGCAGGTAAGTCCCTTCTGAACAAGAAGGCCACCTTGATGCGCCTGCCTCTCTTTCCAGCTCACTGTTACCTTGATTCACTTCCAGAGTAGGTTTCACATTTTCTCGTCCTTCCTTTCAAAGTTCGCCCATATTTCTAGGAACTGCGCTAATGATCTTGAATCTTGGTTTTTTTATGCTCCTGAAATTTTTCTATCATGATTCCTGCTCAGCGCTTGTGCTAAAACGATACGGGTCACTTGCGCTTATGCTCAAAATGTGATTGTTGATCCGAAGGAGCGAAAGTATGAAGTAGTTGCTCCACCTCCAGCAAAACCATTCTTCTGCTTCCTCCCCTACACCTACTTGAGACTTCCTGCTACCTCCTGCTTCTCCTCCTCTCGCTCGGCTTAGCTACCATCATCATTGCGTCCCAAATGACCGCACAAGATCATTGGCAAGACAAAACAATTTGTGCGACGGTGGAGAATTTGTACGTGTTTCACAAGAGCTTCCCGGCAAATACTGCTTTCAGCCTTTGTGCTTCCGCCTTCTCGTACACCTTTCGGACCCGTTCTAACTCTTGCAACGCCTTGCGGGCGTCCTGGCCGTGTTCTCCTGCTTTTGTGAATTGCTCTTTCGCCAACTCGAATTTTTCCTGCTCTTGATAAGCCTGCGCGAGCTTCCAGTGGGCTTTTGCTGCGTTGTACATCATGAAGAGAAGTAGACGAGAGAAAGAGAGTAGATGTCATGTGTGCGTCCAAGTTGCTAATGCGTGGATGCAAAGAGAGTAGACCAAGGACGAGAATCTTTTTCTTTCAATTATCAAGTAGCCAATGGAGATGAACCATATCACGCTGTGCCTGATAGCACCGAATAGAAGAAGTAAATTTAACTGTAATTCTTGGAAACGTCGACGCACCTCCTGTGGTCACGACCAAGCATCTTCATGAAAACGGCAATAAAAAGCAACCCAAGACAGGGAGGTGGTCTCAAAAAATCAAACTATTCTCTACTTGTATATTATAATTACAGCCTCAGACGTTTTTTTTGTGTTGCGAGCGTAAGCTAGACAAGACGTTTGTGCATGCTCTCATAAATTCGATTGGATTTCCGATACCTCGGAAGTGATCAAGCAGGTTGATAGCTGTTTTCCCCTCTGTGACACAACGCTCTAGCAACCGTGTGATCTCCGTCTTCGTTTCGTTTGTGCCCGCGGAGTCCCCCTTTCTAGCTTGTTCTGCCAGATTCAAGAAGCAGTTCATCATGTTCACACGGGTAGCGACCCCCATTGTCCGGATCTCGGGACGCCTGGATTCCGGTATTGCGCTGGACTGAGATCCCTGCGACGCCAGTGCGAGGCCGAAGTCCGATTCTTTCTTCTTGGCGTCTGGATCGTCCATCGCGCGCAAATACAAGAGCGCACGATGATATTGCCCCAGCGCCTTTCGGTAGTCCTTCTGCCGAAACAGCTCATTGCCTTGGTCTTTGTGTAACACAACGGCTGCCATGTGCTTGTCGATGATCATGGACGAAGTAGGGCTTGTTGGTTCTTCCTCTTCTTCCTCCTCTACACCACCCTCGATTATATCCCCCTTCGCATTCATCTTCCCGGATGACGATGTGGCACGTATAGGTTCGGTCCCCTCTGACATCCTTTGCACACGACCAGCGAAGTCTTTGCTCGCACTACAGTAGCCCATGCAAATTGATAATAATGCAACAAAAAATTCCTCAAATTTTACTTAGTAAGCACCGAGATACGAAATCGAAGAACACGAAAAAAACAATCAAAAACTGCGAAAGTCATGTACCTAGTATCACATGTACAACAATGGAAGCAAACAACATTCGCCGCGACCAAGAGAAACCATGGATCCAGACCCTTGAATAAAAACACTGGTGTTAAATGCCATGCTCGCCCATAGGATCACGCATCGATGAACGCTGCAATGTTAATCTGCCTTCGCAATAGCAAAAAGATGCACTACACCTGTGATCTCTGTTAGGCGTTCGACTGATTAGACAACTGTTCTTGATCATGATCATATTACGTTCAAGCTGTACCAGCTTTCAGTGGATACATGATTAATGTCGTCCATTAGAAGCGTCGCGTTACTAACATGACTTCCTCATGCAGCTGCTGTGTTTTCTTCATGCCACTTGCAGAATCGTTGACGTGAATGATTTCTTTTTGACCTAGTTAGAGGCATTCAGATGTGCAAGAGAACCTAAGTTGAAATCTTTTCACAAAGATGCCTGCTGTTCGAGCCCTTGCATGAATTCGCGAATCTCTGACTCTGAGTTTTGCGTTTGATCAGCCCCGCCCAGAAAACCACTGAGATGTTTTTCTTGCGAGACGCAGTCAAGGTAGAAGCATCCATTGTCCAAGTCGCGTGTTGCTTCCGGTAGTAATAGCCAACATATACCTCGAGCTCCCTCATAGGCTGTTCGCATCGGCTCTAACCACTTCGCTTGCGAACCATAGGCGCTTTGCACCGCAGCCGTCGCTGCCCAGCCAGGATGACAGCTGAGAAAATGCACTCTCTGGTCTTCTTATCATGAAAGGAAACACTGTAGTCATACTCGAAAAAAGAGGCAGCTTCCTACTTAGAGCATGCCTCTACTTTTTTGAGGATGCGTCCACTTTTTCCTTTCATATTTCTTTGGATCCTCCTGTAGGACCTCCTTCTCCCGTTTCTTTCGAAGATAGCTGCTCTGCGAGCAAGACTTGACCTCTTTTCGCATACACGTACTGCATCTGTCCGTCAAAGTCCTTGACTTTCGAGGGTGTCGCCTCTTCTTGCCGAGACAACAAGGATCCCCAACCAGGCCATTTACTGTTGTACATGCCACCGGAAGAGGTGTAAACAACGCGCGACGTCGACGAGGAAGAGCCGCCTGAATATACAGTAAAACGAAGAAATTGAATCCCATAAAATTATGTTTTCGTTTTGATCACAGCTTACCGAAAAGACTTGACAGCGAAGACTTTACAACGTTTTGCGTCCGGTCAGACAAAGTATAAGACTTTAGTTTTTTATCACTGTTATTGTAAGTAGAGGTCATGGTCCTCTCGTCACAAAATTCCCCTTCTGAACCCTTCCACCACATGAAATAAGGCATCAACATGTACTAGAGACATCTTGAATATTAAGATGTTGTAAGTACCGGTCTCCTCAAGCATGGGTAGCGCAAGCTGTGTCAAGTAGTGACTGCCGAATATGAGATGAGTTGCCATTGTTGTCTCTACCCCGTCTTTTGTGTATTCCGGTTTCCACGTGAGGACTCCGGCGTTACACACCAAGCCGTCCAAACGTTTCTCGCGACTCCGGAACTCTGCCCACATTTTGTTCAGCGATTCCTTTTCCCCACAGTCGGCTTGCAACACTGAGACGTTATCTTTAATAGTACTTGAGTCGGAGTCTGTTGTTCCCTCATGACTCCCAGACGAGGATTGGTTCTTTTCCTGCTCTTGGAGAATTTCTCGTCTGGCAGCTTCTCCTCGCTCTGCACTGCGGCAGACCATGTAGACACGTTCTGCACCGTGACCCGCTAAGTGGCGCACTACCTCTTTTCCTACGCCACTGTTAGCACCTGTGACCATGTAGACGCGGCCCCGATGGTTAGCGTTGTCCACGGCAGCAAACCGAGACTTGCTCGGCTCGCTCTCAAGGGCAGCGCGGTACCCATTCTGGTTAAATTTCGCACGGCCTTCGAAATAAAACTGCGTCGCCTTCGCAGACTGAGCGCCCATTTTGTTTGTCTGATGCTTTGTTTGCCAGTACTAGGCACATAAAAGAAATAGATACTTGATAAGGTAGGATTGAATACGGACAGATTGTTGACAAAAAACAAGAGTGAGAATATAGAAGATTGATTCTTGCAAATATTCAATCAAAATGCTCAGAGTCTGGACTAAAAACTTCACAACACTTGATGCGACTTCCCATTACAATCTTTTGAGAAAGTTGTAGATAGATAAACCAAAACATGAAGAAATGCTCAGGGGAAATACATCCTGAGAATCGTAAAACTCCACCAAGAAAAATGTAGACCGGAGGGAGGATAAAGAAGAATTAAAACCTGCGTGACAAGCAACAACAAAGACAAACTTTTCTGGCTCCATATGTGCTACAGAACCAAGTCCTAAACAAGGTAACCGTGTCGTCACCGATGTTGACTCACTTTGTCGCGTTATGAACACGGTATTGATGTATCATGAATTTCTCATATTCATCTCGTTGCTCTAGAAAGACCGATAAAAACAGTATGTAGGACCGAAGAAACACCAAATAATTCCATCTCGCTAAGTAATGGAGGTAGAAGAAGACCTCCTTGTACAATATGAATATTTCTACTCTACAAATGTTGAGAGAGGTCGTAACAGAACAGTGATGAAGAACTTGGAACGGCGAGATGGGTCTAAGACACGCCCGCCTAGTATGCGTATTTCGCGTATAAGAGTCTCCTTGTCTTCATTCTTTCAAGGAGGCCCGTTTCTTGCGAGTGAAACTACAATATCAACATATGCGCGTGGTCGTTGTCGTTAAATCCAAATGAAAAAGATGAAAAAAAGGTTGTCGTAGTGATGGAATAGCATCCTCGTGGGTCCTTGCGGGTTCCGCTAGAAGACTCCGTTTATGAAATCATCGCGTCATTACCTCTGTAGTCCGTCGCGTCTCCCTCATCCTGGTTCAGTAGTGCTAACGCCAGTGCTTGTCGTAACTCCCGCTTCACGTCTGCACTAGATGTTGTTGAGGGTGCACTAGCTCGTAGTAGTGTTTGACTTGCACCTCCTAGTAGTGTTGTTGGTCCATACCGACCGAATGGGTCACTGTGTGCTACTACTTCTAGTTCGCGTAGTAGCCAAAGCACGTCGCTGGCACGCAATTCCGCTGCACTTGGAAGCAGATCTTCTCGCAAAACCTGCACGAAGAGACTTGGCGGACAAAGGCCCTGCGCTGTCAGGAGAAAGAGATCACGCACTGGGGCTTTTCGCTGGCGCACGTACGAGAGATAGGCAAAAAAGTAGAGTCGGCCACCGCGTGCCCAGTCGGCTGCCAAACGGTACTCCTGGCCTGACGCCTGGTCCCGCACCCACAAGTTTCGCACTTGCAAAGCCTGCATCCGCGAGGCAGCGTTCTCGATCGGGTCGCTGGAACTTTGCTCTAAGGAAGCCTGCGCAACATCCTCCTCGGTGCAGAATATCTCCAGAAGGGGCTCCAAAAGGTTTTCTCGTTCGACTAAATGGTCTAGAAACTGGCTGACGCGCGCGCCTTGCCCGGCACGTCCCGCTCGGCAGGCCCAGTAGACACCACGTGCCAACGAGTTCGCCGCTACCGCACTATGACTGCGGGCCCAGGCAACGGAGGCAAGCACGCTGGGCTCCGAACGCAAGACCTCAAAGAGGTGCGCTTGAGTCTCGACGCGTTCGAGAGCCGCAAGGCACATCGCGTCACCATCAGCGCTGAGTGGCAATGATGACCACCACCTGAGATGGACATCAGAAATAGCAACATCACAAGATAATATTTCAGTAGCAGCTTGCTCAGATGGAATTCAAAAAAATAATCCAAAATCACTGCTTTCAATTTCGACTACGAGAAAAAGTAAGTATAAATACAATTCGAAGGTTGCTCTGATTCGCGAAGCATCTCGAATGGGGTCCATATACGACAACGCTTCGGAGAAAAGCCCGACTCTCGTCAAATAATCGCAGTAGTCGCTCAGATACCAATGCCGCACTGCTGCATCTGGCCGGGCACCTGAAATTTTCCCAGAAAAAACAACTATGATGGACCACAATGTTTAGTCTTTTTTCCATTGGCGGAAGTCTGCAACGCTCAATTACAGGCTCCATTGAATCTTGCTTCGCATTGACTAATCAAAGTTACCTATTCATAGGAACACGGTGAACGAAAACAAAGGTGGAAAAGCTAAAAGTATCGTACCTGTCAGGTAAAGCAGTTCTGCCAAATGAGGAAGGAGTGTGGGTGGTACATTTTCGCAGTTTTGGAGAAGTCCGTACAGGCTATCGTAATCTCGACAGAAAATCTTCGCTAGAATTTCGTCAACATCTGCGACTTCCTCGTCTAAGTACTGACCAGCAATGCGCGAATACTCCTTTGCCAAGGCTCGATGCTGATGTGGAAGCATTGATGGATGTTGCGTGGTTCAGTTGTCTCACTGACAGAAGGGGAACTTTTGGTTATCAACATTTTTTCTGTCCCTGTTTTCAGTAGACATGATTTCCAATTCAATTGATACCGATTCAATGAATAAATAGAAGTACGTTTTTGTCAGCTGGTTGAGCTGGTTTAAGCCAGATGAATTCGAAGAGCAATTGTTCCATCCATGTCGTCGGAAAGATTTTCTCTCCTGCATAAACCGCTAGCAACTCCCGTGCACTGCTGTCGAATTCTAGCGTGGCCAAGAGCTGCTTCGCGCGCGTTCGCACGTCCTCCCGCAACTCGGCGTAGTGCTCTTGTGCTACAGAGTTGTTCGTGCTGTTCCCCATCGCACCCAAACCGCCGAATATTTCGTGGTTCTGCGGTTCGCGGGCTGCGTTGTCTAAAGCCGTTTCCGCGATCTGCCGCAGAGTCGGCACCGACAGCAGAAAATCAATCATCAGGTCGACCGCTGATTGTTCCTGCGCACCGCGACTACTGTGAACTTGAGCTTGAGAGGAAGAGGATGAATAAGCTTGCAGAATTTGTACAGCTTCCTCCTGGCAGTCTAGTTGCACTAGTTTGATCGCTAACGCCCACGTTTCGGCGGGCACAGCGGACGTGCCATTGCTCCCACTTTCGCTGCGTCCCCAAGCACCAGGTACCGGTGACCTGCCGGCCAAGATATTCGCGCCGCCGCGCCTCGCATCCAAACTTGCTTGTCCTGCTTGACGGGCTTGCATCAATGCCTCCAACATCTCGTCCACGAAATAGTGTCGGACGTACCACTTCGCTAGCAGATGCGGGACTAGGAGATCGCTTTCTAAATCAAAAAGCATGATGTGTGCTAGCTCCCACACAGCCGTTCCGACACACAAGGCATCCGACTCCGATTCAAGCGGCTCAAGCACAGAATCTGCCTGACCCGCACGCGCATTCCGCAAAGCGGTACGAACCTGTGATTTCATGATCATCTACAATGTTTATAGTTCTACTATATTTATTCTTGTTTGAATAGTGAGGTATACCTAGGACTCTTTAGAGTCTAAATTTCTAGATAGAGTGTATGATGGTGTTTGAATAAAAAGGACATAATGAAGTTCCAAGCATGTCAAAACGTTTTCACTCTGCTCCTGACTAAATATTTTCACTCGCAGCAGCAGAAAAGGTCAGTACGTCGGTCTTCCCTGTTTCGAGCACGTGGAAAATTTCTGCGCTCAACGCTTGCAGGCTTTGCACGGCTTCATTTGTGTCTTTTCTCGGCATTTCAGCTTTTGGTGCGAAGAAAGCCTGGTAGACCGTCTCCAAATTCTGTAGCATATTTCGTTCAGTTTCTGACAGACCGCCTGTTGAGGAGCTACTGCTGCTTGAAGAAGAGGAGGAAGATGTGCTAGAAAAAAACACGGGATTGCGCGACCCAAATACGACAGCATGGTCGCGTCTCGCGCCCAACACCGGTGGCGCTTTGTCGGCCTCGAGCTGCAGCTGCCGCGCCCTCGGAGGCGGGTGCAATTCTGAGCGCAGCACGCCACCCTGAACCAAAGTATGCAAGCGCACCATTCTCGTTGATTTATTTCTAGTATACTTCTCTGATCTAAATGAAAACGGAACGCGTCAATCGAAGAGAAAAAGCAAGAACTGCTCAACATTGACAGTTTTCAAAGGCAAGAAATGACATCCCCAACATCACAAAAGGTGGTCTGCCTAAGCAAGAAAGGTACACACAAGAAATAATATTTTCCAAGTAGGTTAACTTAACAATTACTCCTCTGTAGTTGCATCGGGATTCAGCCAAAGATGAAACATTGATAGGTGAACATGCTGCGGCTGCTTCATTATCTGATACCCGTCTGCACAATGCGATAGCAAGCAGGAATCGAGTCTAGCGGCGAACAGGGAACTTTGCGAGATATGATCCTTGAGTTACACAGAGGGAATGTCACAAATCCGGATGCAGTTGTATGGAACCTGGATCAGTCGCTGCTTCGCAAGAACAGGGATTTGTGACTATTGTACAGCTTACATTCAAACAAAATGTAGCATTCACAAGACCGAAAACATTTCATTTGAACCATATCCTTACTCTTTTTCGACATACACATATAAATATTTGATCGTTGTAGATCGCACTTCGTGATGTCGGGATCCGTCTAAAATGCAAAGATGAGAGGAAAGCGTGTCACGCACAAGACCGACATTGTTGTGTCTGCTCTGCTATTCTGGTGAAGCTTGAATTTCTTGTCAGTTTAGGACAGTGAAGGAGCGTCACTAATTTTCGTTCGAGGCAGCTGGTACTTCACGTCATGTGTTAAGCGTGGGATCCACATTGTGTATGGGGTGCAGCTATGTGTAAATTGTCAGATGGACGAAGTCCTGCTCGAGCAAAAGTTAAACCTTGAACCTCGCAGGAGCTCACACGAGACACTGCGAAAAGTCGGGTTGTTCATATAGCACAACAAATTCTCAATAAAGGTGTGCCAGTTTTAGCTCCCGTTCCTGGCGAACCGCCCGACCATGATATCAACATGCTGCCGTCCTCCTTTCATTCTGTTGTTCGTATAAAAAAAGAGTATCTATACGTCTAATCCATCCTCCTTCGCATGCGGTCGCCTCGGTCGTCACCGCGGTCGTCACGACCACGCTTTCGCTCATCCCTGTCGCGGTCCCGACGGTCCCTATCGCCGCCTCTGTCGCGGTCTCCACGTCGTTCTCTATCGCGATCGCCACCGCGCTCCTTGTCGCCGCCACGATCGCGGTCTCGCGTTCGGTCTGCATCGCGATCTCGGTCTCTAGTGCGGTCGCCGGCTGCTTTGTCGCGTCCCGCGTCAGCCTTGGACGCCTTCGCACCGCGAGCTTTTCGCCCACTGCCGCGGCCGCCGCCCAATCGACGGGGAATCCAACCCTCTTGAGTGCCTGTGTTCATATGTTGTTTTTTGCTTCGTCCCGAAGTCGAGAAGTAATGAAAAGTGTAAGGAAAAACGAGGTACAAAGTGCCCGTAAGCGAATATAAGAACTTGAGTATAGACAACTAGTCAAACCATGCAGTCATAAGAACAATCATGAGCATCCATCCTCTCCTGTAGTACTTATCAGCCATCAGATAATAGAAAAGAGTACGTCCTCTTTCGACGTCGACCATGACTCGCCTACCGTCAATCTTCTTTCCGTCGCCGAGCTTATATGCTGTTTTCGCATCGCGCTCATCCTCATACTCGACAAACGCGTAACCTCGCGGCTTACCCGACTTGGAATCATAGATCATCTTCAAACTGTGAGTTTGCAATTCGATGTCAATAAGGATAAAAACAACTGAACATTATGGATGTAGTTTTGTTTTGGTAAGGACAATAAATGAAGATCGTGCTAAATATAAGGAGCTACTAATGCAATTGCTGACGCCTTTCCTATGTTGAACCATGGAATTCGAGTTTATTCATTTTCATTTCCACGATTACCAAGCACGATTCTACCTTCTAGGTGCAGGACATCCTGCTTGGTACTACCACCAAAATACCATTAATCTACTCCTAATATATTATTAAGCTATAATTTTTCACTCTCGAATCGGGCTCGCGGCTGAAGCAGCAGCGGCGAGCTCTCTCGGGTTCGTGGCTTGGCTTGCTACTCTGGCGGGCTGAGCCAGGTATGGGCTCGCTTTACCGTTCACGCGTAAAGGCTTTCACATCCTAAAAAAATGCAACAGCGACGAAGAACAGCGCTCGCTTATATTCTCGTTCACGTTCGACGTTGCAATTCTTTGAGCCTTTCAAGCTGCTTGAGTGTTTTCCTTCTCTCTTTCTCGTTTTCAAAATAGTCAAGGAACCTAAAAAAATCGTGTTGCAGTGAGGAGGAAGCTCCTAGCCCACTATATTTGCCACGTGGGGTCCAGAGGAGCAACTTCCCTAGTAATATCTGTACCTTTTTATCGGTCCGTATTGTTCGAATTCTCGTTTCAGCTTCTTCTCGGATGTGTCGTAGCTGATTCTAGCGATGAAAACTGTCTTTAATGGATCACTTTCGCCACTGTTCGGATCATTCCTTGGGTCATATTCGGCTTTCAACTCGGCAATCTTCGCCTGGTGCTCTTCCTGTTTTTCTTTCATTTTCCTTGCTCTTCGATCCCTGGGGGCTTCGTACCTATGTATTGTAGCATGTTGGATGTGCATGGACGAGAAGAGGAAATGTTGATAGAAGCAAGCGACTCTGTAGTTTTTGTTACCTTGTGATACGCAATACGGACATCATAATTCTTGAGACAATCATCTAATAAAGACGATCATATGAGAGAGAAATGTGAAAGACGATGAAAGAGAAATGTTGTATATTTTCCAGAGCTTCTTACACTTCTCGCTTTGGCGGCTTGGTGTCTTCGAACTCAGCAAGAAAATCAGCACAGCCGGTCATGTGCCGGTGACTTTTCACCACTGGCAGCACTCGTGGGATAGGTTCAGCTGGGGGCCGTGGACCAAACAGCGTCAAGATATGAGCAGGCAAACCCTGAGCCGACATTTTCTTTTTCTTGCTCTATAGAAAGATTTTTCACGATCTAGAAATAACAAGTAAATCAATCGCGAGATGAACAGGAAGATGAATATACTAGTAGTAGCCACCTTCTGGTTACGCGTCTTAAAAAGATGTGCTACCTAACGCAGTCATTCATAGACAGAGTCAAAAATGTCGTACTCACACGGATTGAATCACCATGAATTAAAAATTCAGTTCTGACGAAGACGACGGCATATCTAAGAATTTAGTTACAACAAAATCCGTATGATGATTCCCATGTTAGAGCCTATAGTCACCGTAGTCAAAAAGGACCAATAGAGACCACCTGTGCTTCGTTCCCGAGCAGATATTCGCACTTCTCCGTACCTTACGAAGATGTAGTCTTTGAATCGCCTTTATGTGAAGTAGCACAGAGAACCAGACGCACTGTCACGAGCAAGTAGATCCGAGGATAATCGTATCAGACATTGTCATTGTAGGTTTCAGAGCAGCTTTGCAACCAGACTTCAGCACGATAAAATTCGGATTGATATCACCAGAAGAAATTGCAAGTCTATTTTCGGATGTTAGAGTATGGTTTTCATTCCAGTCCGAGCAGACGCGACATTGCCTTAAGAACAATCCTTGAGTTTCAAGCTGCACTAATAGAACTCGGACCAGAACAAGCGCCTCTACTCCCACTGACTTGTGGTCCGGGTACATTGCCGTGAGCGGTGATTGTAAATTATCATTCACGTTGTTGCAATGCATTCAGATGATGGCTCTTGCGGTCGAGGTCTGAAGAAGTTCAGAGACCAATTTTGCTTTTGCAACATAAAAAAATCCTGCATATTTTCAAAGATTGTTCCTCGAATTTTCAAAAGCGACAAAAGGCGCGAGCAGACTCCAGAGTCATAAAAATCCAATTGCATTTGCATTTTAATTCACTATAGGCGCACTTCGCGGTTGAACTATTTTTCTGTAGACGACCCTTTATTTGCATTCTCAGAAATATCAATATTCTAGCTACCATGTGTATGAAGCCTTATATGAAGCTGCGTTTTCATTGTTTGCAAAAGAGACCCGTGTCACTACACGATCCAACGGCTTGCTCTTCATATGCGCGTCCTGAAGATATCATCTTAGTATTAGTTACATCGCGACGAGCAGCGTGTCTGCATCTGCTGCTGGTTGGCCCAGAATAAGATGACCGTCCTCACCAAAACAGCTAGGAAACAACGCCGCCAATTCTATAGTACAGTAATGCGATCGATTTCTTCTATTCCATCAGGACAACTATTTTCAAACTCATTAATTATATCACGACAGGAGGACGTGGTTACTGATTCATGCGATTCGTCATGATCAGAGATATTAGTAGAAGTGGAATCATGATTAGTAGTTAGAAGTTGTTCCCCTTGATGTACGAGTATTGACTATTACGAAGATTGCCTCTAGTAACGTGTGCTCTAGTTCCTTTTTACTCGCTTTGAGATGCCGTTTTCTTACCGCCTCACGAATAGACGCATCACATGGAGGAGAAAAATACACTCACACTTAGAGTTGAGCTTTTTTTCTCGTTGAAAATACAAGCTGCTTTTTGAGTGTCCTATGTGTATTCTTCTCTTTCATACAGCAAGGCTTCCTTTTATTCGCACCTCTCGTCGGTGCCTTCGAGCCGTCCGGAACGCAAGCAGGAGATCAGTACACACTCCCCGAAAAATTCGCCCGACGGGCTTGGCACACCAAAAGGCCAGCCGCGTCGCAAGGTGGGACACTTACGGACCTGTGATAACGAGCAGCACCGATCCTGGCATTAGCCTTTCGAATTCGGTCGGGAAGTGAAGGGAACACTCCGTGCTAACTACAGATGAGGATGACTGTCCTTCATCGTGCACTTCTCTTGTTTTGTAGGCGCAACCCAAAAGGAGCAGCGGTATCATCGTCAGAAAGAGGAAGTTGTGAAACAGCAACTGCGAGGAACGACAACGACATCCGAGAAAAGATAAAAGACGCGCACAGCTGAAGCGGGAGTGATATATTTTCATTGTCGTCGCATCCAACCTTGGAGCGTCAGCAAGCGTCGTGTCGTCCCAGGTACAAGCCTCAAACTGGAAGAGCTCATCGACAAGCGCATTTAAATCGCTCGAAATGAAAGGAGAGCACAGAGACGCTCCTTCTGATGCTTTGTTTCACTATCATACTAAATCGGCTTCGCATCAAAAGGATTAAGAAATACGCAACTGAGAAATGGGAGTTTGAGAGCACAGGAATCAATCTAGCACAAATATGTGAGAATCCATTTTTCTACATGATCCGTAGGTACAAATCGAGCGATTTGTTGGGACTGACTACACGACAGAAACTTACCAAGAGGTCTAAATATAAAATGCTAGTACTCTGCATAACTTCGAGGACCCCCCTACCGGAGCATCTCCTTGGACAAGTAGATGCACGCGCAAGCTTCCACCAAAACCCATCTCCACGAGTCGCGTCTCTAAGATCACGACTTGCTCTATCTTGATCTTCATTAACATCATCCTCTTGAACATCTCCTAAAACGTCGACCGCTTGTAGTTCAGCATTGTCTACTACACCATCTGATCCATCCTGTTCTAAGCTTATTCCATCTTCTTCTTTCTCCCACGAATCCGCGTTAGATTGCGAGAGCAAATTGGAACATGTTCCTGCACCGTGCGATGGCGCAACACATACATCATCCGCTATTGAAAAATACTTCCTGCTCGCACCACCTCCGATACGTCTGTGGTCTTGCTTCTCCTCCCCATCTCTTGTGGATGCAGTGCACACGAAGAAAGTTCGCCCAAAGCTTCTCGACGCTCTGTTTTCTGGCAATTCCTTTTCTGACGGAATCTTGGCCTCGAGGTCTGCGTCTGTTTCATTAGTACTCCTGGAGGTCATAACCATTTCCTTTTCAGTTTCATGAGCGTCCATTTCAGGATTCTCCGGCGTCGCCATGCTAGGAGGTTCGTGTCTACCCTGGCGACACAAGTCTGATAGTCCCAGCCCAGGAAAAAATGCTATCCGATGTTTGTCTATGTCTACAACGTACCCACCGAAGTTAGCGTCGTTGTACCAAATTTGCCGCCCTAGCAATTCTCTTCTTTCGTGTTCTGTAGCACTCCCAGTGGGGCTCATATAATCACCCCGACCTTCTGCCCGCGGCTGCAAAACGACACAGTGGTCACAGATTTTCAATGCCGCGAGCCTTAACAAGAGGTCTGTGATGAGCGAGTCGCTCTCCTGCTTTGGTCTGTTCCTCTCTCGTGCAGCTGCCCGCACGTTTCGAGTCCCCGAAACGGCGTCGTTCCCTCCTTGCTCTACATCATACGTACTATTCTGCGCTTCACCTTCTCGTTGTATACTTCGCACCTGTCGTTTTTTCCGTCTCTGTTGTGCGTGTTTTCCAAAAATACGAGCAACCTGCACATTCGCACGGCATTCTTCCATGTAGAAATATGGCTGCAAAGAGCGCCCACCCCCCTTCGCTCAAACTACTGGACCGGTTCGCCTCATAGCATCGCAGGGAGGTTAGTTGAGCTCGGGCGTACTTTGCAGCAAGGCGACACATTCGCCGACGGTTCTTGAGATGGGCATGGCATTGCGTTGTTCTGCTCTTAAGAGCGCTCTCACTTCCACAGGCACTATTTTCTTGTCGAGCATCATCACTTTTACCGTATTGTTGACGTGATTGTTCAATAGCGCTCGCGGATGGAGTCGCGGGTACTGTTAGAGTTCAAACTGGCATACACACCCGGCGTGTCAACATCGCCTCCCCTATCAACGAATCGGCGCCGCAGCTGAAGATATCCCTCTCGCACCCGCACCTAGCGATGCTGCTACTTCTAAAGATCGTGGTGGTCCAGCTATACCTCTAGACCCCTAGACCTCCAGCTAGTGGCTGATCCTCTAGACCCCTCGTCATAATGAGGATCACTCGAGCTGCTGTCTCTTCCTCTTTTCTAGTCCTTCCTCGTGCTGCAGATGAAACCGGAAATACTAGGCCGTCAAGCGTCGCCTGCGGAACCCGCATTGCTTCCGCCTCAGCGGCGCGCTGACGTTGTGCCCTCATGGCGTTCACAATACCCGCCCTGCGGCGCTCCCGCAGCCTCACGTACGAGTTTCCAGGCGACCTTCCATTAGTACCGTCAGGACCCATGATCTGGTCGTTCGGTCTCGACGACGCCGGGGAACCCACGATTATGCCCGGGCTCGGAGAATAGGTTCCAGAAGACGCGGCATTACTGCTTCTCGGTGATGAACCTGGCAGCCGGATTCCGTTCCGCAGCCGTGTCTCAATGGAAATATCAGTGCTAGCTGTTGTCTCTGACACTGTATCGGGGCGTGAGTTGTTCCTTCGTCTTGGGATAACATCATGATTGGAAAGTCCTCTAGCAGAAGAAGACGACGGGGAAGAATGCCGACTGCCACTATAATTTTCCATTGTTCCCCTTCCGCCCAACGAACGAGAAGATATAACTCGAGAAGAAGATCCTCGAGGCCGCCTCTGCAGAATATCTCGTATAAGCCGTCTCACACGCAACAAATCCGAGGGATCTCACCTACACTGCGGGCATCGACGCATCACGCGCTCTGTGAATGAAAGACTATTCAAAGAGTCCCGACAAAAACGGCGACTGCAAGCGTATGGCCCAACCGCGAAGGACGCAGCCTCTCTCGCATACGTCGGCGCTGAAGTTGTGCAAGCTGGACCAGAAGCTGTTGCTGGTCGTGGTCCCGACGTTGTGGTAGAGCTTGGCGTTGGCTCTTCCGCGGTGAGACAGAGAGGGCAAAAGTCCCGCTCATCTTTGCTTGATTCGGTACTCTCATTTACGTTGCCGACCAATCCATTTCCCGCATACCATGGAGACGCAGCCGCAGAAGCCTCTGCCGCGCCGAACTCGGTGGGTCCTTTGAACGCCAGGCGGAGTAAAATAAAAATTCTAACGAGAGCGCTCGACAATTTTCTGGTATTTAGGATTTCCGTTCGAGAAAATAAATCGTGGGAGGATCATGGCAATAGGAAATGAGCAAAGAACGTGGCCCAAAGACATGTATGCTATTCTTGGTCTGTTCCACAAAAAAAAACTCGAATCTTCTACGATAAGATAAGATAGGAACTTATTCACCGGCCAATGTTCCAAAATCTTCAATCATGACTTGGAAATGTATATTTTCAATCTTTGTCTCTAACCGCCTGAAATGAACACCGTGACTGAGCCGTCTTCACGGTCGCGACCCAAGCAGGGCTCCTGTAGTAGTTCCACGTAGTTGTGCATGCCATTATAACAAGTACATTCACTACCCGCCCTCTGCGGATATAACGAAGGACCGTTTTGCACCTTCGTCAAAAAATCGAGAACAGCGCAGCTGCGTTTTGCATTTTGGGTTCATGGCAACCCCAGTGACGTAAGTGAACTAAAATATACTTTTTCCGCGCATGGAGATATCGATATAGCTCTGCATTGGAGACTCCGGCTCTTGCTACCTTCTGAGACGGAAAGATATTCTGCAAGTGATACGATAGAAAACAAATACGCATTGAGAATGAAGTAAACAATGGATACGTTAAGAATGAGAACGAGACGTGAAGAATGAGCATAATACGTTAAGAGTGAAGATAGTCTAGGGTAAGAAATTGAAGGAGAAGGTTGATGTTGTATGGAAAAATATTCTGGTAGTTCCGAGAAGTGGTCAGAGGGATACGAGCCTGTATCTGGATGCAAACACCCAAGGAAACTCGGTGTCATTAAAAATCTATTTCAGCTATTTATCATAGCACAGGAAACGTCTATTGTTCATTTTTAGTGCGTGGAGATGTAATCAAAGTCATTATTATGCTGTTTGCAATGAAACGACCGCCGAAGTCTGAAGCTGCACAGCGCAAACTGCGTGTCCAAATCTAACCAGTGAAAAAGCGTTCTACAAGTCCCTGTGGCATACCCACAACCGCTCCGGCTGCAACACAATTGACACCGGCACCAGAGGAAGAAATAAGCTCGTTGCAATTCACGAGGCCCCTTACGATGCTCTTCGCAGCTGATCGAGGTTTTTCGTGAGGGCTTTTTTATCCGCAACTAATTCATGATGCTGTAGTGCGAGAACTTCTAATGCTTTTTCTAGTTCGGTCTTCTCTTCGGATTGTTTTTTAAGCTTTTGCTCCATCTCTCGGAGTCGGTCCTCGTACTCACTGCGCACACTAGCCGACACGCTATTGCACTCAAAGTCCTTCTGTTGGTGCACTGACCGCAACTTCGATTCGTATACGGCAAGCGTCGTTTGGACCTTAGTGACTTTCGAAAGTATAAATACTTCTCCCTTTCGCTCCTAGTTGAGTCCTTGTAGAATGGTGATCCACGGATCAGGATGAAAACTAGTAGCTGTCAAAATCTGCCACGAAAATATGAAGGTCTATCTTAAAAAGATCAAGACTTACTATCTTGAAAAGTAGATTACAACATTTGTATGTTGATGAACAAATAAGAACCTTTTCCTCCAATTGTGCAATGCCGAGATCTTTGGTTTCTATACTCGCCAGAAACTGGGTCCGTTCGTCTTCGAGTCTGGTCCGAAGGTCGCGCTCATTCTCTAATTCAGTTTCCCTATCTCTGAGGCGCGTCACTTCTTCCTGTAAATTTGTAGCCTCCGTCTTCAAAGTCCGCTGCTCGGCCTCAAGCTGCTCCGCTTTATCACGCCACTGCCGTCGGTCGGACTCCAGCTCCCGTTTCAGCATTAGAAGACAAAGATTTAGTTCAAAGATGAAAAGCCGTTTTGAAAAATATCTATCTGATCGGAAGTCCAATGCCAACGCGGCAAAAACAAACGTGTCGTATAAGAGTACCTAAAGAGGACACCGCATTTGCTAAGGACTCAGTTTTCTTGGCTCCAACAAAGCCAAATCCATAAAGTTTTCTCTGAGTCCGCAGTTGCCTTGGTCTCTGCTTCCTGCAGATCCGCGCAGCGTCTTTCTAAGCGTTCTCGTTCGATTTGAAATTCGGCTGTTTTCTTCTGCAGTTCCAACTCGGAGAGTTGTTGGGAGTGGCTCGCAGCCGCCTGAACACGGGCTTCCAGAGTTTGGAGAGAATCAGAGTGCCGCAACACCGCAGTTTTGTATCGCTCTTCGTGTTCTTTTTCTTGCGCAGCGAGCGAAGACTCAAGCGCGCCTGCATGCTGCCGCTCGGCATCTGCCAGAAGATTGGCAATCCTGGGAAGTCATGGGATTATATTGAGGAAGCAGCATCATCATCAACAATCAAAGTTCTTTAGTTTTTCGACGAACAACTAGAAGAACGCCATTGCAAGTGAGCTTCTACTTCTTATACCTCTTATTCAAAAATACCTCTTATTCAAAAAGAATCAATTATACCGTTCTTCGTCTTCTCGTCTTCGCTCCTCCGCTTGTTTGGTCCACTCTTGCCGCTCGAGCGCAAACGCCTTCTGCAAGGCCTCTTTCTCCGACAGCCACTCGGCGCGCGCAGCCTCTGCGTCCCGTTGTCGGTCTTCCGCTCTGCGCTTAAACACGTCGATTTCGCCAAGCAGAGCCGCCGCATGCTCATTGCTGCACTCCCGCAGTGCCGCAACATCCGCCAGCCACTTGGCCTTTTCCTCGTGCCGTTTTTTTCTTAGCGACACCACTTCTTCTTTCGTAGTAGCCACGTCTGCGTGCGCGCGCTCGAGAGCCGCGCGAGCCTCCTTTGCCTCGCTCTTCAGCGCGCGGGCTTCCGCTGCGCCCTGTGCGCGTGCTGCCTCCAAGTCGTCAGTATGAAAGTAGGAATAATGGCTGTGCGGGCGGCAAAGAAAAAAATGCAAGGTATTGCGTGCGCAGAGGACTGGTCACTACTTAAGTGACAAGCGCTTCAAGTGGTGCAGTCACTACTTAAGCAAAGGCGCGTTTCAAGGGTACGGTCACTACTTAGGCGACCCTCCCTCTAAGTGATGCGGCCACCACTTAGGCAAACGCTCGCTCGGCTCGCTTAAGTGGTGCAGTCACTACCCAAGCGACGGCTCGCTTAAGCGGTGCAGTCACTACTTAAGCGACAGCTCGCTTAGGTGGTGAAGTCAGTACTCAAGCGTCAGTCCCTTTCAGTGGTCTAGGCACTAGTTAAGCGAGAGCCGCTTTAAGTGGTGAATTCACTAGTTCAGCGACAGTCGCTTTAAGTGGTGAAGTCACTAGTTAAGTGACAAGTTCTGCCGTAATTTTGTCGCTGCGCAAGCTCAAGCTTCACGCTTTGATAGCGTTTGTGAGCAACACGGAACTCTTCCAGGTCGATTGCCGCTTTGCGAAGGGCCTCGTCTCGTCGCGCTATCTGGTCCTCGAGCGCTGTGCAGGACTCTGTGTTGGTATGTGATGTACGACGAAGAGTTTAAATCAACACGAAGACAATGTGAAACTAGAAATACGACCCACGTTATTCACCGTGGTTGTATGTCCCTACAGTGCTATGTTGGTTGTGGCTGCCCTTACACGAAAAATGACTCTATCCCTGAGGAGACACGACATGCCTTGGTCTTGAAGATGCTTGTTCTATTTCATCAAAATCAAATAATTGCCTTTTTTCGCTTCGATTGCAGTCTCCGCCGACGCGAGCTTCGTCTGAAATTCCGCCATTTCCATCTCGTGTGCTTTCTGCATCGCGCCAACGTGAGCAGCGTGTTCAGTGAGTTGCCCCTTGACGATTTCTTTCTGTTTCTCTAGCTCCTTCTCGTACTCCGATAGCTCCGCAGCTGCTTTCTGTGAAGATGAGCACGTAGTCGTCTTGGTTATGACTATGGTACGTTCTATTTTGAAGCTTGGTGTGACATGATATGGTTCTTGGATTGAATAGGTTTCGTCGCCTACTTAATTCGATTTGATGCAAAGAGATATACAGGTCAATGGGTGAATGCTTGTTGACAGAGGAGACCATCAAAAAAATATCAGAGTGCAGAATGCATGACAGCTACATATGTCAGAAGATTAATTTCACTCACATGTTGATGTTCGGAGAGAGAAAATAAAATGTTGTCCTACAATAAATGAATCCGAGTCAATACAGCACCTCGACTCTAGTATCCTCTTACCTCTTCTTGAACTCGAAGCGCCTCTTTGAATTCTGTTGTCGTCTGGTCCAGACGGCGCGCCTGCTCCTCGCCTCTTCTCTTAGCAGATTCTATTTCTGTTATAGCTGCTTGTGCAGCGCTCTGTGCTCTTTCAGTTTCCGCTCGCTGTTCGTTGAGCTTCGCAGCGCAGGTGGCTGCCGCAAGCTGGGCTTCGCGCAGGTCCACCGCGTGCCGACGCGCGTGCTGGTTTGCCACGTCGCGGCACGCCGCAATTTCGGCCGTCATCTCCGAACGGATGCTACAAAGTTCGGCCAGCCCCTGACGGGTGGAGGTGGAGAAGAGATAAATAGATTCAAAGCCATACTCTACACATTACGCATAGGCGTCTCGTCTCGGTGGGCCTTACCTGCTTCAAATGTGTGTCCCTTAAGCGCTTCAAGCCTGTGTCCCTTAGGTGCCTCGCCCGTGTGTCCCTTAAGCGCTTTAAGCCTGTGTCCCCTAAGTGCCCCACGAAGCGTCTCGCGCGTGTGTCACTTACGTGTTTCAAGCCTGTGTCCCTCAAGTGCCCTACGAAGCGCCTCTTCCGTTTGTCCCTTACGTGTTTCGCCAGTGTATCCCTTACGCGTTTCGCCAGTGTGTTCCCTAAGTGTTTCGCCCGTGTGTTCCTTAAGTGTTTTTCGGCTCAAGCGCCTATCGGTTTCGCAAAAGGCTTATCGGTTTCGCGAAGCGCTTATCGGCTACTTCCCGGTTGCGTCCCGGTTTCGCAGAACGCATATCGGTTTCGCGAAGCGCTACTTAGCGGCTGCTTATCGGTTTCGCTTAGCACTTAGCGGTTGCATATCGGTTTCGCGAAGCGCTTATCGGTTGCTTATCGGCTTCGCGAAGCGCTTATCGGTTGCTTATTGGTTTCGCGAAGCGCTTATCGGTTGCTTATCGGTTTCGTGAAGCGCTTACCGGCTGCTTATCGGCTTCGCGAAGCGCTTATCGGTTCCTTATCGGTTTCGCGAAGCCCTTATCGGTTGCTCATCGGCTTCGCGAAGCGCTTATCGGCTCTGCGCAGATCCTTTCAACTTCGCAAAGGTCTGATCGGCTTCGCATAGCAAACAGAAAAATGGTGATTAAAAAGTAGTTGCAAGAGCAAGTATTCAATGGAGCGTCGTTCATTGATCGGGACCAGATTACCCTAAGCAGACCTGCTACAACATCACAAAAATCAATTTTACAGCGTCATACACGAAAATGGCTTACTAGTACTTGGTCTTTCTCTTGCACAATGCGTTCCAGCTCTTCGATACGGGCTGCTGTGCTATCTTGCTGCCACGCAAAATACTTTTCGTGTATCGAAGCCTTCGCGGTGACTTCCTGTTTTTTTAGTTCCATCTCCAATCGATCTCGCTCGCTTTGCAGTGTCTCCACCTCGACTGCAAGTGCCTGTGCGCGATCTTGTTCAGATTCCGCCAGACACTGCAGCCTTCGCAGCTCCTGTTCAAGGACGGAAAGGTTCAACGCGTCGGCACTCTGCCTCAACTGGTCCTGCCGCTGCATGTGGGCGCGCGCTTTCTCGAGAATGCCGTCTGCTCCCGGCTTTGCCGTGTCATCAAGTGCGAAGGAGGGCTGGTCCACGGGCAATGCAAGGACGTCCACGCCAGGCGTTGTTGCCGTGGGCGTTGCCGCCGCAGTGGTAGTCAACGAGGCACCCGTGAGTTTGCTGCGTGGCGCTTCGGCGGCAAAGCTACGAAGGTGAGTGTCGGCGCTGCGGACCGAATGGTCTTCCGCCTCACGCGCCGGACCGTTTCGCAGATCCACGACTGGCCAGGCTCTTTCGTCACGCGCATTTGTGCCCATGCGCTGCGCCGGACTTTGAGGTGCAGAATCCTGTTGAACTCCGGGATAAAAAAAGCTTCTTGATTGAGTGTGCGAGTGTGACACGGGCGATATGTGCGATAAGCCAGCCGCGCCTAGCGAATGCGCACGAGAAGCCGGGGCACCCAGCACGCTTTGCGCAGGCCCTAGGTGTAAAGCCACATTTGGCGGTGCATGGAGGCCTCTGGCGTTTGCAACTGAAGGCCCTGCGGGGCCATGTTCGGTCGGATAAGCCGCGCCTGGACGAAAGTTGGGCGCGAGAGGTTCCCTTGTGCTCGTGCCACTGCTATATCGTGAGGTCGAGCCCGACGACTTGCCGAAACCTCCGTTGGCAAAGTCGGTTGACAAATATTGGTGCTTGATCTTCTCGACCTCCTCCGCACCAGGAACGAGGACGCCAGCGGCGTACAAGTATTCTTCCAGACTCGGGCGCGCTAACATTCTCTCCCCTTCTGTGTGCGCTATTTGCGGAACTACTGACAAGAAAGCTACAACAAAACAAATCGGCAACGCCCTGAAGCGAGTTCAGGGAAGTACTCCGATCAAGCTCTCAGTGTTATTGAGGCAAAGCCCTGGAGCTGCCTACTAGCATACAGGATCAGGCTACGAGATTCACTCGCCCCGATAGGGTGGCAGAATCCCTGCACCGCTGTGCCGGCCATACGCTTCAACGAATTCAAAACCCTCTTCGCACGTGCGCCCGCAAGCATTTCGAGAGACCCCTTCAACCGAGGGCCACCCTCAGCCGGTGCGCATGGTTTACTTGCCGGGGGATGTGCGGGCGCGAGTGATTTGGGCTGCTATCCTTCCGCAGCAGAGCCCCGCAGCGGTGAGGCGAATGCCGAGCCTAGGGGGTTTGTGAGTAGGAGGAAGCGGAACCCACGCAGGCGGGCAGCGTCGGATCCACATATGTACGCAGCGGCTGCGCGGCCTTCCGATCTCCGCGGCGATGCGAACCAACTTCCTACCAAAAGACACGACAAGGGCCGAGGGTGATCACAGTAGCCTCTTCCCCCGGCCTTCCGATCTCCGCGTCCATGCAATAAGCACGCGCGAACATCACGTGCCCTGCGAGGTAGAGTCCAGCAAGGGACGCACGCGGCCGGTTTGCCCTCTGCAAAGTGTGCACCGAGAGTCCAGGTCCCGAGGGGCGACCGCAATGGCAAGTGGGGCGCCAAGCGTAGACGGCCCGCGCCGTGGCACCGGCCAGTGGACTCGCACGCGGCGCCAAGTCGGAAGCGTGCAGGCACTTGTAGCGAACCCCAGTCGCGCAATACACAAAGGGCCGCTGCCGGCGCAGCCCGGAAAAACGCCGGGAAACAGCAAGGCACCGAGGCACGGGGGGGGCGTTGTCTATCATAGAGGGCTACTGGGGAAAAGGCCGGCCGCTACCCGTGCCGTCCGCGTTTCCTCCCCGCGAAACTGCAAAGCCTTTTGACTTTCTTAAAATTACGCTTCGGAGGGTGAAAAATATGAAACAAAAAAAGGCCGATCCAGCGCTGCAAGAGCTGTTGACAAGGAAAAAAAGCGGCTGCCCGCGAGCGCGGCGACCAGTGCCAGTGGATGAAGGGGGAGGGGGTCGGTCCCTGAAACGCAACGGGGCAGAACGTGGAGAGCGCCGAGGCTTTTCGCTGTCGCGCAAGAGTGGCACAGGGGTCCGAAACACCAGGAGGCCGGCGTATGTGAATTGGTAGCCCTTTGCTTTCGGCCGCGGGGGGGCAGGGACTTGCCCCGGCAGCGCTGCAACGGCCAAAAGCGCCTCGGCTTTTTGCGAGCCCTTCCGGCAGAGGTCTTCAAGCGTCCGGGCCTTCAGGGGAGGAGGCACGCGGACGGCGGTCCGCCTAGGCCATCGACCCTTTGCGCACCGCCTGTCAGGCTTGGAACATGAGGCCCAAGGCCGGGCCAAAGGGTGCGCACCCGTGGCCCCTTGCTCCCGAGGCCCCGTCGAACTGCGCGTTCCCTCTGCCGGGAGGGCCTTCAAATGTGCCGGCTGTCGGGGGAGAAGGCAGGCGGACGGCGGCCCGCGTACGCCATCGACCCGCCGCGGAACGGCGGCCTGCCAGGCTTGGAGCACGCGGCACGAAACCGGGCCCGAGGATGCGGAGTCGTGGTCATTTTCTCCAAAAGCCACGCCCCTCTGCGAGTTGGCATACGCAAAGGCATCAAAGATCCGGGCCCCCGGGGAAGAAGACAGGGTGACGGCGGTTCGCGGAAGTTATCAGCTTCGCGCGGACCGGCTGCCCGGCGGGGAGCACGAGGCCCGAAGCCAGGCACGAGGGTGCGGGCCCGTGGCCCTTTGCTCCAAGAGCCAACTTTCCTGCGCGTTCTTCCGGGAAAGCCTTCAAGTTTCCGGGCCCTCGAGGGAGCAGGCAGGCAGGCGGACGGCGGCCCGCGTAAATTATCGACGCGTGGCGGACCGGCTGCCGGCTCGGGAAAATGAGGCCCGAAGCCGCGCCCGGTGGTGCGCGCTTGTGGCCCTTTGCTCTAAAGGTGGGGCCCCGACTCTCTGCGAGTTCTTCCGGAGGGGTCTTCAAATGCGGAGGCGGTTTGGGGAGAAGGTGGGCCGCGTAAGTCATCGCCTTACCGCGGGACGGCTGCTAGGCCTGGGGCATGAGGCCCGAAGCCACAGCCGCGGAATCTCGCCGGCTTCCGGTGGGGTCCCTAGTAGTTTCCTGCTCACCTTTTTGGGAGCGGTAGCCCAGGAAGTCTGCGGAGTGTTTGGGGCCGATCGCAAGTAGGACCCAAACAGGGCCGCCCGCCGTTTCCCTGTAGGCCCCTATAGGGAGCAACGCTTGCCCTTAATGGGGGGGGAGTAAGTGCGTGCCTGGGCAGGTGGGTGGTTTGGTTGGTAAGTTAGTGGGGAGGTAAGTGGGAGGGTGCGTAGGTGGGAGGCTGGGTGAGATGAGTGGGAGATTGAAAAACTAGGAGGGGGCGGAAGTGGGAGGGCGAGGAAGTAGGAGGGCGGGGCAAGTAGGAGGAAGGGAGGGCGGCAAGGGGGAGGCGGGGTAAGTTGGAGGGCAAGAAGCTGAGAGGCTTCGGAATCTGAAGGGGAGGGCGTTTGGTTTAGATCACCTTCTATAGCGTCCCACGGGAAACTAATGGAGAAAAGCGGCAGTCCGTTTCCCCTATCAGTTTCCGCCGAACTTCCGACTTTCTCGCTTCTATCCGACGCCCGGCTTTCTCGCTTCTATCCGACTTGCATAGAGCCAGCGTCTTCCACATATGGGCGCTCGACATATCGCGGCCAGGCTTCTAGGCAACTGCGCGCCGCGCGTCTGTTACCGACTTACCGCGGACAGGCTGCTAGGCACCTTTGCGCCCCCCGTCTGTTATCGACTTGCCGACCTATCGCGGGCAGGCGGCTAGGCAGCCTCGCGCTCCCCGTCTGTTGTCGACTTATCGCGGACCGGCTGCCCGATAACTCTGCGGCGCGCTTCTGTTTTCGACTTATCGCGGACAGGCAGCCGGGCAACTTTGCGCTGCGCGTCTGTTGTCGGTTTATCGACTTATCGCGGGCAGGCTGCTAGGCAGATTTGCGCCCCCCGTCTGTCCTCGACTCCTCGCGGGCAGTCAAGGCTCCGAGGAATCACTGCGCACGCCGTGCAGCCCGCCACCAGCCACCGCAGCGCGCCCTCGAATCTCCTAGAAGAGAAGAAAGCGAGAGGGAAACAAAAGAGAAGACAAAGGCAACACAGGCGGGACCGTGTCAACCGGGTCACCACTGGAGAACCACGCGCAGCCAAAGCCGCAGCATCGTCATGCCGTCCCGCCCTTTGCCTCTCTTGTTTCTCTCCCCGCTTCTCGCTCCTCGAGATTCGAGGGCGCGCCGCGGTGGCTGCTGGCATCGGGCTCCCTGCGGTTCAGAAGACCCAAGAAAAAGGAGAGGGAACGAAGAGCAGAGAAGACGCACACGCAGCGCGTCGCAGCCTGCCCCGTTTGGGTTCCACGCTCAGCGCAAGCCCCAGGCCTGGCCCGAGTTTCGAGCATGCTGCGAGTTTCGGCCCTGCCTCGAGCTCCGGGCGTGCTTCGGGCTCGCCTGTTTGGTTTGAGGTCGGGCGGGCTTCCGGCGGGCGGGTTTGGTCGGCTCGCGCTTCGTTTTTGAATGCGTTCGGTTCGCGTTTCCGTTTGGCGTGGGTTTGGTTTGGGTTTGGCTGGAGTTTGGTCCGCGTTTGGCTGGAGTTTGGTCCGCGTTTGCGCGTGGGCGTGGTTTGGGTTTGGTTTGAGTTTGGTCCGGGCTTGGTTTGGGTTTCGGCCCGGCTTGCGTTTGGCTCTGGCTCGGCTCAGGGTTGGTTGGCGTTTGGTCTGTGTTTGGCCTGCGTTTGGTTTCAGTTTCGTCCGCGTTGGGTTTCAGTTTCGCCCGCCTTTTTCAGTTTGGTCACGGTTTGGGCCTCCGATGGAAATTCTGCCCCTTAAGTGCAAGCGGGAGCCCTGTGTGTGGGGGTTCCTAGCCAAGGCGAGGCACGTGGTAAAGCATAAACAACAATAGCCATTGGCATGGTGTATTCGAACAAGTGCAGGGCCCTCCACAAGCACCACAGTAGTAAGGAACGAAACAGAGGCCAAAATCGGTCAGACAACTGGTTGAGATGTCAGAAAAGATCCAAAAGAAAAGGAGAGAGTAGTACGCGAAACTTCACGCCCACATGTATGACACCCAACACTGGGAACAAGAGCAGGCACGTCGTAGTCCTCGAGTACATCGCGCCACCAACAGTAGAAATGGGGCCCCCAAGTCAGGGCAGCGCGCTCATGGACGTAAACGAGGCGAGAGTCAGCGACGATGGAGGCAGGGCGCTTGCGTGGTGGTGGTGTGTAATGCGGTGAAAACCATCGACGGGATATGAGTAAGAGTCGAGCGCTGAAGTCCCAGAATCTCAAACGCATCGCTGTCGGCGTATAGTCCCATATGGATAGAACCCCTAGAGGCTTGCTTGTAGTCTCCTCTGTCCGGTTTTCGTGGAAAGCCACAAAAAGCGGACAAGTGCAGAGAGATCGAAGGGGCAAAGCGCAGAGGAGACCAGGGCGGGGCCGCACTCGTCTGCCGCATTCACATGGTGCCAGCGTCGCCGGCTGCCACAGAGCCAAGGCGATTCGAGGCAAATGCGTCAAGGGTGCAGAAGGCAGGCACCTGAGGGCACAGAAGGCAGGCACCTGACGGCGCAGAAGGCAGGCATCTGAAGGGCGCAGAGGGCAACTAAAACAAGCAACAACCTGAGGGCACAGAAGGCAGGCACTTGACGGCGCAGAACCTCGCGAAACTCTTAAGCGAAACCGTTAAGGGACAGTGGCACTTCTGGGCCGTTTTCGATATTTTGCCACTTTTCCTCACAGTTTGGCACGCCAGTCCCTAGATCGCGAGGCCAGTCCGTCTCCCTCCTCTTCCCATTTCCTTATCGGTTTCGCCTCTGTCTTTCCGGGCTCTGTTCAGATGCTTCCGCCATTCTCTTATCGGTTTCGCCGCTCGCTCGGCGTACCCGACTCCTCTGCAATCCCTCCGGCTACCGATACAAACCGAATGAGACGA